GGCCGCCGTGGTCCTTCACCTCACCGAAACCACTCGTGAAGAAAATGTGCCGGGCTGACATCTGATCCAAATGGGGATGGTGTGATATCATCGCTTCACTTTTGCCATTCAGAGCCGATCTCTGGCCTCGAGATATCAACCGGCATCCTTATTGCTCGACTGTAACATGATAGCCTTCAACCAGTATCGGGTCTTGGATAAGAGCACCTATGACGCAATAGTTGGTCTTCGGCATTAAGCAGAAGCTCCAGGTTGTGCTCGAGTCATGCCACAAAACGGATCGAGAACGGTCTCTTGGTTGGAAGTGGGTTGCCAGACGGTTCTGAACGAGTAGACGAATGCTGCGTAAGGCCCATGACAGAAGTATCCGTGTGTCGTCACGACCAACCGCAGAAACGGTCTATTTGTTGCGCTCATAGAGCTTCCGCGGGACGCGACTAGGTATTGGGTTCACTCGCCTGTCTTTCCGTACACTTCAGATCGAGCACTGTCTGCAGATATGCATGGTTGTATGAGTTGATCGGGTAGGTAGTTCTGGCCGGGATTTGTCGGTGTTTGAACACAAGAGCGTAATCTGGTAATGACGTGCAACCAGGTACATAGAACGGAGAGTTAGTCGCCGGTGGGGTCACTGGGGTGAAGATGCACCTGCGAAAGTTATTTCCGGAAAGCCCCTGACTGTCGGTGCCAGGGAGCCAGGGAGCCTAGGACTGTTGGTAATGAAACGTGGGGACTTCTGAACAGAGCAGCAAAACCTTCGACACATCTGCAAGTGTCTACTCCGAACTGCGTATACTTGGTATAGGTATTCAGCTTCCACCCGGTTGACCTAGTTTTAAGTTGTGCCACCGGGCGGGTTGAGCATTGACCAGTGGGAACGATCCCCCACCCCGAGCGGATTTGGTGATCTTGTCTGGGGATAGTCCCGCCAATGAGAAAGTGGACAAGACTAGGCAAGAATGGAGACGGTGATCTTCGTTTCGAAGGTGATTGTAGGTAAGGTCAGGAACAGAAGCGCCTCCGGTTGAGGCTTTGCAGCATCTCGTAGTAATGAGTCGTAACTGGAACTCTCGGGCGTTCCAGAACCCTTGCTTCTTGACCATGTTTGCTCCTTAGGAGCCGAACCAGGTTGCCTGCGTGATGGCATTTTTCTTTGCTTGTAAGTGAGTGTACATGCTGGGCTGAATGGTATCAAGATATCGAGTCAAGTCATATGGTGCGTAGCAGCTGGTATGCTTAATGATCCACAGAGGTGCGATATGTCCAAGGTTCTCTTAGTCCCAGAAAACTGGGTTGACGTGCTCTGACAGTTTCGTTGATTGTGTCCACGCAATTGTCTGAAGGTGTCCATTGGTTGGTGCCTTGACCTCAAACGTGTTCTCTTAGGCTGAGGAGTCCGGGGGCATCAGCCTTTTTGGTCCTCAGTTGGGTTGCATCATGGACTGAAGGCCCTACAAAAGTTCAGGTATACGTGAGCGGCAACTTGGGACGAACAAGGCCATCCCGGGAGCGCTTCGGGGCGGTATGTTTTTGTGGTCTTAAGCCTCGTGGGTATCAGTCTGTGAGGGGCCGGTGTAGTAGGATCGCTCGATGTATCTGATGTCCAGTCTCTTCTTGTCTGGAGTGAGAGTTCGTTACGTCTTTGCGATGCAAGCTGTAGCCTTCGTAGTCTTAGAGAGTGGTACCGTCCGAAGAAAGCCTGTTTGACCGAGCCGTGTATGTAAATGTTTGCTGGCGGAGCACTGTGCAGAAATCGGGCCCGCCTCATCTGAACAATGGCGTGTTTCTCGCATCTGGAGCGGCCAGTGTGGCGTTGAGAGCGTCTGTGGCCACCTGGCAAGGGAAGCTACATGATTATCGAACTGTACCCTTCATTGAGTTATTGGTTTGACTGATTGGTCTTAACATCAGGCGGGATGCCAGGCGTAGTTTAACGACCTGTATCTTGCAGTCTTGCAGATGGCTAGCGCACGCGCTCACAGCCCACGATTTGGCGAGTTGTCTCAGATGTGTAAGGACACGGAGAAAGACCGAATTCGTCGTATGGCTATCCGTAATTGTACAATATAAAGCGCGTCGCTCGGGAAGGCAGAGACAGATGGCACATGGACGGGTATCGGCTGCAGAGGGTGCAAGACAAGTGGTTGTTCTAGCGATTCTCGAAGGCAGCTGTGCATCGTTGTGACATGAATAGTGGTCGAGCTAAGGCAAGCTGGTCTCAGAGTCCATGCGACCGTGCGGTATTGCGCCCGGCTGGCCGCTTGGTCTCACATTCATCAGACGATGCTGGGATTCCCGGCGGAGGGTTGAGACTGTAGGTACGACACGGGCGGGCCGCAAGTGAGCGAAGCATACTTGTTACGCCGTGCTCGTGTGCGTGTATCGGTATTTGTAGCCAATGAAGGAAGAGCACTTGAAGATTCGGACGGTGTGTCTCGACTCCAGGCTGACCGAGAGCAAGATGTTTGACGCGAATATCCGTACTTTTGTCTTGTACGGATTGGCGACGGTTGTGTGCAAGTCCAAGCAGGTTGACGTGTGTAAGAGGAGAGAGCCTCACGGTTGATGACGGAGTACGGATACCTTGTGGATAGACGTAAGGTAAGGTAAGGTATTGGGCACAGTGTGTCGGGATGTTGAGTCGTGAAGGTACCTTGATCCGGGCACGCAGTCTTCCTTCCGCTGATTTGCTGCATCGTCTCCGTTCCGTCTGTTTTGGGTCTCCCATAGTACGTACCTACCTGGACTGAGGTGGAGCGAAAAAGCCAAGTGGGTCTCTGGGAGCATGGGTATCTGTGCACGGTGCAGGCGCTAGGAAACTGACAGATAAACCAGTCAAGAAGCTCCAATACGACCCACCTGATCAAAGTGGATACCTGTCGCTCTCCCTTGAATGGCTGGCAAGACCGCAAAGTGCAGTATGGGCAGGCGCGACGAGTGCCTCTTAGACACGACGACCGTTTGAAGCTAGGTACCTTACCTTCGCACTTTGGTGAAGCCATTGACAGTCCGGCCAGATTCTTCGCATCACCTGCTGTGCTGCTCCTGCTGTGCCCACCTATCAAAGGCGAGCTGCGTGGGAGCACCAAGTCATGAATGAAGCGTAAGTGTCCATGACTGATTCGGGTGGTCCATCGTAGCTACGTTACACCTAATGACTGTACAAAGTAGGGTATTCATGTGAATGCCCATTTCATATGACGAATAGGTGGGCACGGCAGATGCATACCTAGTACACCTCAGAGTGCTCCGTACAAGCTCACGACGCTGTGCTCGTAGGTATCCCGATATCCCGTGCGCTGCGAGACAAGAGGGGACGTTTGCCCGCGCAATGGTTCGAGTCCCCACATACCCGAAAATGAGGACGCGACACTGCAACTGTGACTTCACGTCAAGGTGGTTGAAGGTTGTCCTTGGATCCCGACTCCCGACCGGCGACAAGCCTTTCTGAGTGGAAAGGGGACAGGGACCTGGATGGGAGTGGAAACTTCCATTGAAAGAGAAGTGGCCAGTGCGGTCGAGTGGGCTCGCTTAGCACTGGACCAGGGATCTGGGCCACATTGACCCCTGTCTTGCCTTCTCGATCGGGGCTAGATTGAAGTACGTACTTGTTGCCTTTCGTTAAGGACTGCAGCCAGGACGGACAGGCTATCCCCCTCCTCTCTTCCAAATTGCCAACAGACGGTACGGAGTACTGCGTAGTTACCGGTATCACAAGCTCACATTATACCGTCTTATTGAAGACAAAAAAGTCTATGATATACGTACAGTAGTTGCCTCTGTCTGAGCGTTGCATGAGATGGAAGCAGACACGGCGGGACGGGTTCTTTCCAAAACCCGGAGGGAGCGATCCTCAAGGTCTTAGGTCTTTAGTCATCAAGGGACAGACAGGCAAATCGGCGCTCGTTCCTTCCTTGGCCCGTCATCCAATCTCCCCCAAAGGGCACCAAAGCTGCCCTCGTGCGTTTTGACTCAGCCGTCAGACCCAGATCACTGGGTGTCGTCCGTCGGTACTGCACCGTTTTCCCACGGTTTTGGGCCTTTGGCGCGCCTCCGACCCAGCATCTGCACGCTTTTCAATCCTTCCAGGCCCCCCTCATTTTCTTTTTTCAAACCGCGTCCACGTTACCGGGTGCCTTGTACGAATACTTAGTACCTTACGCGCACTCAATGATATATCCGTTCAAAACCCTCCGACTCGCAAATTGCAAGCCATACTCCGTACCGTCGCTGGAATTCTTCGCAAACGGCTGATAATCTTAAGGCTCAAATGGAAAATAGATTGACTTCCCGAGTCCCCTCTCTTCCTCTCGGCCCTAGAACCATCACCAGGAATCCTCCGGTTTCAACTCCCGCATAACTCTGACCCACCCGGCCCGGATCTCACCGGTTGCTTGACTTTCCATTGCCTGTGTATCCGTACGAAGTACTCCATAGCGTACTCCGTACGCAGTATCCTTATTACCCCTTCCGACCACCAAGCAGGGACAGGCTTGGAACACACATACCACAGCACACCTCACACAACGAACCAGGAAACGGTCGCCGATCAAGTCTCGACTTGTCATCCTCGCTGACCCTCCTGGACGCTGGCTGTCCCTGCAGCAAAGAGACAGGGCCCAACGAGAGCCCCCAAACCAGGAATTAAGATCCCCATCTAGCTCCCTCGACCCCTAGAATTTCTTCGGCCGAATCCCTTCAACAAGTCTAGCTCTTGTCGGCCTTCACCAGAGCTGACGCGCTTTCCATTGCCTCGCCTCACTTTCAGGCCATTGGCATTCCTAGGTATTTCGTCGCTCCAAATATCTAGGGGACAACATCTCTCGGCTTGCTCCTCCGCTCCTTTTTTACCCAACTGGAGCTATCTGTACGGATAGTCACCCGAACGCACCTTCGCCTCATACTCAACATCACCTTACTCTTAACATCGAGATTTCAGTTCAGCTCAACATCCACAAAGCAAACCCTCCCGAAAAGCTGTAGCTACGCTCACTCGTCCCCCCTCATCCTCTTCTCTGGCTGTCGCACGGCACGAAGAGGAGCACCAGTCCCAGGGTGGTGCCGCCAGCCAACCTCTAGCTTCGCCTTTGTGCAACCATTCTCCTTGTCCCTCCACTGTCTCCAGAGAAACTTGGCCGCGCTAGCTCGCTAGTAGTGCCGGCCATACGGTACGGATACTGCTAGGCCAGATACTGGCTACCGGTGCTGGTTCTGGTACAGGGACGGGTTCCATACCGCATCTTTTGCAACCCAAGGAAAGGACCATATGTGTATTGCGCCCGCCCACGCGCCGTACGCCTCGTCCTGCGACTCTCTTCGACTCCGTTTACATCCAAATTCATCGTCCCCTTCGAGCCCAGTCACCACAGCTACACTACTTTAGCTAGCATCCTCTGCGACGCTACGCCAAATTAACTAGTCTCCTTCGTCTTCCTCGCCCTCCTGCCCTCTAGCCATCCCTCAGTTGGAAACCGTCTCTCCTAATCTAGATCAACTTCTCTTCTCCCATCCCACGTTTCCTACCGTTCATTCATCCTCACCCGCCCTCGTGTCCCTACAAGCAGAGAGACGCCCTCTGCTTGCTATCGTAGCATATTCTGATCGTTGCGAACATCTTTAAACAACAACAATAATCGAATATACGACGCACATAACCAAACACATGGCAGCATCCTCTCTTGGTCAACATCCCGGCCACGCTCAATTTTCCTGCACGCTCTCAAAGTTAGACCAACGTCATTCTTGCTGCTAGTACTCACTACCAAGTATCGGGAGTAATCACTCGAGGGCCTTTTGTGGCCGCCGCGGCGCCTCTTCGCCCAGTCCCTAGCGCCGTTGCGGATGCCTTCATAATAGCAGCCCGCCCTCCCCAGAGCAAGCTGCAGCTCTCGCTGTGCTCTCGTCAACACATACCTAGGGCAAATCCATCTGTTGCCAACCTTCGCTCAAACGTGAGGAAGGATGTTTGACCACTTTGCATTAGGAACCCAGATCCGCTCAGGTGCGGACGGTTCTAGCGAGGAGCCATCTCTCTCTCCTAAACAACGCCCACGAGAATTACCGAACCCGACTGAAGGACTCTTGTCTCCCCCGGCATCATCTCCAGCTCTTCTTGATACACCACCACTTCCACCACAACCCGTGGACAACCTTGCCCACGAGCTCAGCAAACAGACTCTCATTCCAGAATTCCGACAACGAAACCCGCTGGCGACGTCGGCTATAAAGTCCTCGTCACTGGTCACCGATTTATCAATGGCCGATCTAGAGGTGGACGACGATTGCGATATGAACCTTGCTGCTACAGACGATATCAAGGAGCACCAGCCAGTGGCCGATTGGAAGAGAGCTCGGCGTCAGCGTTACAGCCGCTTTGTCAACAATCCCACCAATGCCCGCGCCATAGAGGCACGTATCAAGGACATGGTCTCGGCAGAGTTGCAGTGCAACGTTCATCCATCTGCAGCAATGTCATCTTTGCCAGCAGCTGTTCCTGTATATCCTCATCTTCCCAACATTGATGCCGACGGCTATCCCGAGATCGATCCAGCCTTGACACAACCCGAAGTGGACGAAGGCTTTTGCGACCAAGACGAGGAATATGCTCTCATGCAGAAAGCATTAGCTGCCGACAGAGAAAGGCTGTTGGGAAAGTCGGGGGGCATGCGGAATTACGGTTCTTTACGGTTCAGAGGATCGGCAGAGACGGCGCTTCGTTGCCAGAACGTTGTCAGACAACGACCAAGGATGCGACGAAGAAAAGGACCGGGACCAACCATCGATCCTCGACCAAGCTGAATCGTCCTGGCAGTTGCACAGTTCACTTCGCATCTGTCGAGTCTCTCTTATCATTTCGGTTTCATTATATGAGCGTCTGCGGAACATTTCAGCGATATACCCATGGGAAAAGGACTAGGTTTTGGCTAGGGCAACGGCGTTTATTTGGATGGATTTGAACTGCAACATAACCATGCCCTGGAAGTTCAATTGGGAATCACTGCCTCTGGAGGTCCAGAGTGAGACGGCGTTTTGATCGTGTCAGGCGAGACACGGAGATTTTTGCCTTTATTTTTCTTCCACCATGCGGTGAGCCACTCGATGGTCGGATGTCCGCTTCTTCGGCACTGGTGTTCGGAATCGGAGGCATTTTTCGGCTTTCAACAACCTTGACGGCCCGAGGTCATCACCGAGTCATCAGTTGCGCAAGCTCCGATTCTTTTGCTGGGCGTTTGTCTGCCCATAGCCTTCGAAGGTGCAGACGTGGCGTCAATACTTGCAGCCTTTGTCAGGCAGGGCTTTGCCTCTATGCATCATTGTCTAGGTCGCTGATGAGAGGAGACTATTGAAGAAGTCTAGACAACTTTCGAATTCAACAAACTGGACCTCCCACTTTGGGATGTGTCGCATTCTTATCTGCTGACGTTTTCACTTTGAATCGCAGTGATGACTAAGATTGAGATGATACAGGACAGCGATGTTTTCAGTGTTACCGTTCTTGCGGGTGGTTGGGAAACGTGTGCAACAGACAACGGCTGCCCTGCGAGCAAGCCTTCCCGATAGGTTGGGAAGCTATTGTGGTCAAAGTAGGATTTCAAGGGAGTCTCCATTCATGCATGCGGCACAATGCACCGCGATCTTCGTTTAGAACCGGTGACGTCCACCGTCGCTGCCCCCCTCTTGAGTTCACATCCTTTTTCTACCCCTCTTCAAATAAGTATCATGAAGGGCCAGCCGTACGAACATTCCAGCTGTCTCCCAGCTAACACGCTCTCCACCTGCGCAAGTGCGTATGGCATGATCCGAAAGCTGGAGGGGTTGTAAGCCAAGGAACTCGCAGCTAATGAGGGTGAGATACGCCAATTAGACTTTCAGGTGGTCAGGTCAGCGTCGACGAGGAGACGTGCAGTAGTTCCATCTGGGGCAGCTGATCACCAATGACCGATGTCTTTCCCTTGATAGCTATGGGTAGTCTAGTTCACGAAGAGCTGGGGCAGCGTAGCCGCGGACTGTGAAAGCTACTCGGAGTTGGAGCATGAGCCTGGATCGGTCGCCGGTCCGGCCGTCGAAGGCGTGATTCCTTGCAGTTTGGCACCGCCATCGCTCTTAGCCGACAACGCCCCTACCTTGCTTCTTGAAATATCTCCGTTCCCTTGTTTGTTATCACTTCATCATCATCCTGGCATACTATGATCTATTTCCAACAAGTGCCACAAGGTACAACCTCTCAGTGGAGGAAATAAAATCAAGATAAGCAAGACGAAGCCCCAATCTCGATGTAGTCTTCTGCTTGGAAGGAGGCTGTATGACCGGGAGTCCACGGTGATAATCTTGCTCCGCCAGTGGCGTTTTTGAAGCAGACGAGCAGACAGCGTCCTGTATCAAGCCGCCAAAGCTATGCAAAATATCAATCAAGGTTACAGTCAACTTAGTATCCTGAAGTTTTGAAGCAAGCAGAACAATTTCCGAAGGATTAGACATGTGCCTGCAGTCTAGGGAATTGCAACATGTCTTTGTCCCCGATACCAGCCCTGGTACTGAGGGCGAGCAGATGGACTGTTTCTCCTGGAGGATGGTTTCTTTTCTTGTTAAACGACGTTGCCTTGAAAGAAAACGATGATCGAGTTTCCTTTGATGTTGCTGTCTCTTTGCCCTACCAACCCCAGTTCTTGCAGGTACAGAGTGGGATGTGCCTGTGTTGACTGGAATGCGGATATGCTGCTGGGTCACTAGACGACGTGGGTTGCATTCCTTTGGCCATTCAGGAACAGATGGCATCCCTCGCTGAAAGCACGGTGATCTCTGCGGTCCCCCAATTCCAATGGTGCTCGTCTCCGTGCTGCATCCATATCTCTTGCAATAGTTGCTGTGGCAGGATCAGAGACATGAGCTGGACGGTATTTGTTGACTCTCGTTCCCTCCACCCTATGTGGGTTTGCAACCATCGACGGTTTTCATTTCCGTACAAGAGTCCCATTCTTCGATGGTTATACCCCAGTTTCTCTATCATCTTTCTCTCACTCTTTCCTACACTCTTTTTTTTTCTCACTTTCCGCAAACGAACATTGCAACATTCTCTATCTTGCCCTCTCCTTTACTACGGGTCTTTCACCCACCATCCACCGTTTTGCATCATAATCCACGCAACAGATCTGATCCTCACTGCTGTCTCCAGTCCCCCGCTTCTGTTCCTGATCCTTGCCTTGGCTCTGGATCGTTTGCGGAACTGATTTCTAGTACAGAGACAGAGGCAGAGACACCCGCACAAGAGAGAATGACAGTGGCCGTCTCGCATTGGACGAGGAGCCCCGGCACGAGTGTCAGTCTCAGCTCGCACCCGACAGACTACGACGACATGGCCTACTCGGAAGTCCAGTTCTCAGTAGATTCAATGGACGAGGACAAAGACGGTAGCGGGGGCCAGTCTCACCTGCCCTGGGGAGAAGAGACAGAGGGAGCCGGCGGGGGAGGATCGGGCTCGGGTGCGGTCCACAGCGACAGCCTCCTCTTCGAGGACTTCGTCGACCTGGAGAGGCTTTCTTCGACGACCACCGGGGGTGACGAGCTCCCTCCCTCTGCTGCCGTGCCCGACTCGTTCTTCTACAACATGCCACTCCCCGCCCATGGGTCCGCGTCGACGACAAGCGTATCGGACGATCTGGACGACATACTAAGTTGCCACACACATCCGCTCATGGAAACTAGGACTAGCGCCGCAGCAGGTCCCGCTGCCACATTAGTGCCATCATCAGCAGCCGCTAGAGGAGGGGCGGCGACTTCAGACGCGGTGGTACCGTCTGTTGTGGGCGTTCCGGGTATCCAGTCTTCATGGACGATCGACCGTGAAGAAGAACAAAGGAAGGCTTCGACCTATCCGGACACAGCTCACGCTGGCGGGGCCGAGTCGATCTCTGACTCTGAGCTCCTGCGCCTGGAAGGCATATCGTTGAAAGCGTCGCCATCTCGCGCTCCATCTGTCGTCGTTTCCCATCCTCCCACTCCTCTTCTTCAAGCTTCGTCCGCTACCAGCAGCAACAGCAACCTCCACCTTGCCGGCAGCAGCAATCAGAACAATACTAGCAGCAACAGTCACACCAACGGTGGTCGTAAGCCGAGCAACTTCTTCAAGGTTGTCGCATCGAAACTGCAGCAGAAAGCTGCCTCTGTCCGCCATAAACAACCCACCATGTCTACCGTCGCCATCGACAGCAGGGGTACCCTCTCCCCCAACGCCTCGCCTCGCAAGTTCAAGCTCCGTCCCGAGCATCTCCAGAACCTCGGTGGCCCTCACCCCGCAAGACTTCCCCTGTCCCCTCCCAACAGTGCCACTATTCCCCAGGACCTGCCTTCCGCATCATCAGCCGGCGGCAACCCCATGTCCTTTGGCTGTGGCTACGTCGAAGACCCCTTCTTCGATGCTGGTGTGGCCGTCAACCACGTCCCCGTATTCCGTCGTAGCGATCCTACCACGCCACTGGACACTCCCGTTCTGGATGACAAGGGCGGCATGTTCTATCACCACCAGCAGATGAGCTCCGGTAACGTCGCCAACACCAGCAAGGCTTCCTGGCCAATGGCCACAACAACTCCCCAGACTGACTCTCATGTCGCTTGGTCCAATGCCTATGCCACTACCGATGGCATCGACGACCAGTGGTGGGGTGGAAACAACATGGACTTGACATCCAACTCACAATATCAAGCACAGAACGCTCGCAATGCTACCTTCAACCTCGCCATGCACACACAACACAGTGAACTGCCATACGAATACAACAACATCGCCGCCGCCGGACAGGAAATGTCAGGGCTCATGATTCACATGCCTCAACCCCGTACCACATCCTCGCCCATCGTCCACTACCAGCCCCAACAGCCACTTCACCACCAGCAACACCCCCAACAGATGACGGAGCGGCGGCCCCGCATGCCCCGTGCCCCCTCGGCCGGCGCCCGGCACATGTGTCTATCAACGCCGATGCGCAAGACGCGCAACCCGAGCCGCACACGTCAAGCCAGCCGCGACTCCTCAACGTCGCCCACACCTACGAATCGCTCCCGTCACAGCAGTGGCGGCTCGTTGTCCAGTATTGGTGGTGGCGGCGCCGCTCTCAGCGCCAGCGTCAAGAAGCGTCGGTCTTGGTCTCGTCGCGAAAGCATGCGCACTCCTTCCATCGGAAACTTGGGCGGTGCGTCCGAGGGGGTCGGCTTCGTCAACTTTACTCCTAGCGACAAGAATGTTCTCATGACCGGTGTGGCGCCCAGCGGAAGCTCCAAGACAAAGGCACGTCGGGAGAAGGAGGCGATGGAGAAGCGACGAAGACTTAGCGAAGCAGCTATCAAGGCCGTCAAGGCCGCCGGCGGCGATGTGGACAAATTGGTGGAGGAAGGATTCGTCTTCTGAGCAAAGCATTCTTCTTCCTTTCCAATGTACAGCAGGTATGCGCTTGGGGAGCGCTCGGGAGTTTATTTTTGGGTCAGGACATGCTTGGGTCCTAAGGGATATCAGGCGTTTTCAAGGGATCATCAATTGTCGGCGATTGATCCGCGAGGTTTTTCCTTCTCTGGATGGGTTTTGCTTCTTTCTCGCCTCTTTCAACTTTTGCTTCTTTTCATTTACACAATGGCATGGGGAGCGCGAGCTCCGACTGACGCCTGGCCGGCTTATCCACGATAGCCGCTTTACTTTCTTACCATCACCAACAAGTACCTACTAGCTAATCTCCTTTTCCTTATGTTGGATCAACCCAAAATCACAGGCTGGAACCCAGGGTATGAGATATGGAGGGATAGGTTATCTTAGCAAAACAGATGAAATATCAAAATATCACTATTCAAACAAACTGTGAAGTCCCCTTTCAACGTGATACTATGCCTCCGACTTTTCCATGGCCCAACTTTCCCATCACGAATCTCTACATCACTTATCCGAGACTAATCGCATCACACGAGTCATCCTTCTTTGAAAGAACAACAACAACACTATCAACATTATCTAATCAGTCAGCAAATAGCAGTCATTCAACTACTACTCGGCGGTGCCTTGCGGTCGCTCCATGAGTGACGCCTCGCGCAGCCTCTCGCTAGATCCCAGTCCGCAGGGTCGGGGCAGCCTCTCGTGGTGAACTACGGCGCCGCTACGTGAGGCCGTCTCTCGACCAGCCGTTAGCCGATCTACGCTGGGCAGAGCGCCGTCCAGGTCAGGCCGCCAGAGCAGAAGGGGGTATCCTCCGTCCCTTCTCTTCCTTCCCCTGGGCCGAACCTCGCTCGTCACGTTCGGTGTCTGTGCGATCCCGCATCATCCGTGCCATCCCCATGACAGGCGGGCGGGCGGGCGTTATGGAGAAAAAGCAGGTACCCCCTCCACACCCCCCCTCTCCGGGAGCCAACACAGACCAACTTCCGTCGACGATGATGGAGAGGTTGAGGAGGAGGGGGCCCAGAAGTGCACCTAACCAGGACATAGCGAAAGAGGTCCAGGCCCAGGGATACTTGGATAGTGACTTCCTACAGACAACGAGGACTACCTCACCTAGGAAAGGGTAAAGGCAATGACAACCCAAATGTGAGTGGAGCAAGGGGGTGTGGGCTGGCCTGTGTTAGTCCCTCCTCCCCGTTCCCTTTAAAGGGCCAAATCGCCGCAAACAGATAGCTCTTTTGCCCTCTTTCTCGTCCTCTTATCCCATCATGACTTGGCTTTCGCATCCACCTCAGCCAGACGCTCCCCGGATTCTCCGCTAAGCCTTACCTCTCGCACTCCTCGGTCTCCTCTATCACCCACCCACACTGGCACTCGGAGACGCCTCCTCTGCTATCCTAGCAAGACCGTCGGGATTTGAAGTTGGGATCTCGGTGAAATCCACCCCCTCCTCTAACGGACGATCAAGAGGGAACGGCGTATCCATACCGCCTCACTTCTCCTCGCCCAAGGGGAAAAAATCAAGAGACAGCCACAAGCTGACATGACAGTCTGACGCTTTGCCTGCCCACGCGCCTACGAGCCCGACTCTTGGAGACTAGTGCAAGATCCCCGTTGCAGAATCTCGCAGCTCACCATGCATACTACTGTCTACAGCTGTCGGTCTGCGGCGCCAAACCCGAAATCGAAAGGTGCCAGGAGCATGACGGCAACAGGGCGCAGTCTCGCGTATCAATGTCTCAGTGCAAAGTCCACCCGCCTGGGCTTCAAGCCTCTCTATTCCGCTGCTCTCTCACAATCACGATCTCGCTTGCTCGATCACACATTCGCAGAAGTTGCTTGAATCGGGAAAGTCTCGTTCCGTTCAGATCCCCCACCGTCTACATCGTACACCCCTTCCGGAAACGTTATCGCATCTTTGCATTCCACGGCCGTACGCCGCAGCCGCGCTGCGTCTCGACCCTGAAGGCTCTCCTGGACCCCTTTCGCAACGTCCGTTGCCCGACTGAAAGCAGGTACTCACTACGTCGCAATCGAAACAAGATCTCTCATTTTCGTACGATGTTATCGATAGTCAACGTACCTGCATGGGTCTGGCCTTGCGTAGCCGCGACGCGGGATCACCAACGCATCTGCCCAGGCGCAGCCGCCCAGCAATGGGCTCCGTCTTCGACCGGAAGCAGCACCGGGACGAGCTCCGTCCCCTTGATACCACTCTCAACCGCCACAACAAGCGCAAGATCTCGACTGCTTTGCCATGGCGAGCCTTGTCTCACTCGCTTCATCCGAGAGATCGAGAACCTTGCCCAGAGAGGCGCGCATCTCTATACGCGCAGTCTAGAGTATCACGACACTTGTCAAGAGAATGCGCCCCTGCCCAGAGGACTGAGTAAGGGCGCGAGACACTGGGCTGACAGAATTTGACATTCTACCTCAAAGGAGCCGCGCAACACAGAAGCCTCTGACCCTGTATGGTGGGCCACGTTCTGTTGACGATGTCTTGGATCCTTGTTTCAATTCGGGCAAAGACCTGCGGATAAGTGGCATCTTATCGCCTCGTAGGCAATATGCGCCCATGATATCGTCATTCATGTCCAAAATGGCATTCTATGAGGTAAGGTAGGAACAATCGACCATCATTCCCCGCTTCAAGACCCTCTATTCGTTCGGCAAGCTTCAAGATCCGAAACGATCACCGTTATTTGCGCTGTTCATGCCGATGCTCTCGACTTCTCGCAGATGGTCAAACATGATCAGCATTCAACAAACATCATGGTTTCTCAACCATACACCAGCCATTGCATCGTGTTTGAAGCAGATTTTCTATACACGGAAAGAGAAAAGGCGTCTTACCGATAGTCTTGATGTGGTCAAGCGGCATCTTTCTCTCGTTATTTGGCCAATAACAATTTCTCCGGAGACATCTCTGTCGTTGTCTACCTGACTAGCTCGTGGAATTCTCCGTAGCCAACTCTAAAAAGCTGTACAGGAACTATGGGCACCTCTCTGTCATGTCCAAATCCGGACGAAAGCAGACTTTCTCGGTCGTCGTTTCTCGGTCAGTCCAGATGTATGTCTTACCCCGGGCCCCATCCGACCGCAGCTCACTTACATCTTTCGACTAGGTTCTGATATTCTGGGCAGGCAATATCTGGAGCCAGCCGCCAGCTCGATACCTACTACTGTGGCCCATGGCAGCCTTGCTATGTTTGGCAGTTCTGCCGTGTCCGCCTCAGCCCCCGCCGTCATGACAGCTGGAGTCTTGCAGACCGACGACATGGCGAAGAGGTTAGCCTATAGGTTACTCCGTGCACTATCCCCTTTCTTCACTTTCAGCCCGACTGTGGCGGCCGCCAACTCACACGAGCCACAGTTTATTCTTCTCTCCATCTCTCGGGCTAACCATTCAAGCCTCATATTGCCCAAGCGAGTATGGCATCTCCAAGAGAATAGGCGCGGCGTAGCCGGAATCCCAGAAGACCGTTACCCTCCGACCAGATTGTCCGTGATATCCACACATCTCGGTCAGCCATCAAGAGTGTCCGGGGCTTTGGGGCGTACAACGCGTCTGCTATAGCTAGCTCGCGCGTCTATCTGCCTTGTTCTATCTCAGTCCTGTGGTCGAACGACAATGCAATCAACCAATAACGACGACGAGAAGTCCGAGGGCCCCCACGTCGCGCCTGGTGAACAGACTCCAGACCTCATGGACGTTGGTGAACAACCCAGCAGACTGGTCATCGTACAAACCAAGCGGCCGCCAAGGGAAAAGCCCTTCCAAATACCTGAAGCCACAGGAAAGCCGGCCAGATACCCCGAAGCCCTCTTGTTGACGCCTTCAGTGAAATCCTTGCGATCTCTTCAGCCACTTCACTGCACGTCCAGGAGGGCCCGACTCTACATCGAGTTGAAGTCCTGCTCAGATGATCATCCTCCTTGTCTTCAAACCTAGGATGAAGCAGTTTGTAAGACGACAACCTAATTTTGGCCTGACGACGCCTCGATACCGTGGTATCAAGCAGTAGACTGCGCCGTCGACCAACCTTGCCGTCACTCTTGGAACTACCGAGACGCGCCACACGTTGCCAGGCACAACTGTCACCTCAACTGCAGCCCAGCGGAAGCGAAAAAGCCCATCCCCAGAAAACGCCAACGCAGGTGTACCACACCTGCATGTGCCGCTCTCCGGCTCCTGGCCCACCTGCCTTGGCCCTTACCGCCCTGGATCTGAAGCCTCACGACGACCTCCACAGTTCGAGGCCGTGGTAAACCACCGCGCCACAAGCCTGGCCTTGGTAAGCCGGGCCTGTTGTTTCCGAGAGGGTGCGGAGCTCGAGCAGCCACAGCATGTCACGATGTTGCTTCCCATAGTCGGCCGCTCTACCCTTCGCTCCCGACTGGAGATGCCTTACGCCCTCGTCTCCAGTAAACAAGCTTGGAGGCTTCCGACTCCTCAACGCCCTTTGACGAGCAAAAAGGAGCTCTGTTCACCATCCTAGACCTACCTGGACGTGGCTTCTTCCCATCTACGCACCCCTCCCAGCTAGACCACTCCCCTCCTCGCTTGCCGTTTCCACATTGGAAATAGCTCGACTGAATGCCGTCCACCCTACTTGTCCTCTGTCGCGGCTCACGATGGCCAAGAGGCGTGATACGGGCCCAAGAGGACTGTTTCTTTCTCAACGTCGCGATGCCAAGACACGTTGAGGGGGTCGGTTAGTCGGCTCATCTTGGCCTTGTACTACCGACCCTATCGACGGTCAAACCTGGACATCGTCAACTCGAAATCCTTCCGACGTTACACAAACTTTGCGAAAACCGGTCTTCCGCTCCATTCCAACGTCCCATCCATCATCCGTTGGATTGCGTGTTTGAGCTCCCGTGATCCCATTCTCGTTTCCCCTCTTCCAGCTCGTCAAGGTCTCGCCTGGCGGGCTGACCGATCGACAACAGCTGCCTCGTCCATCACAAATCGATGACCGTTATACAGACAAAGAAAAGGCAGTCGTCTTTTGGTCTCCGGATTTGTGTTAGCCTGGGACGGAGGGGCCTGTCTCACTGCACTCACAATGAATGATAGGTAACCTCCGTGACTTTGCTCCACCTCTTGCTTTGCCTTTTCCCCTTCTTGAGCCCACCATCCTCTCATCCCCTCCACGGCGTCTCTCCCGTCCTGAATCCTATTCCTCATACATCTTGCTTTCTTCCGTGTCGGCCTCTCTATTTCTCCACCACACCTAATCCACACCACCTTCACCGAGCCCACTCTCACCTCCCTCACCTTCCCACGCTTTTCCCCTCCGAGCCCGGGTGGGATGACTGGATCTTCTCCTCCTCCTCCGGCCTCCCCCGGTACGGACGTATCATTCAGGTCCCGCCCGTCCATCCACCCATCCATCCATCCTGCTCCGTCTACAAGAGGATCCAGAACGGCCGTCGGTCAAACCTTACTTGCCGCGGGAAACGATTTTCCTCTTCCAATTGATATCAAATCAAGACAGCCCCGGCTTGTCTTCCGGACCAGACGCTCTATCCCCTGTTGTCTCCTCTCTCACCCACCTACCCACCCATCCATCATTCACTTCTTTGACGGGTTAGACAAGAATAGGTGAGCATCAATCAACTAACGTCCGAAACTCTTCGTGTTTAGCTGTCCATCTCGCGGTAGATCAGCCGGCCGAACCACCCACCGCAACGGCCGAATCTTTAACCCCCCCTTTGCCCGTTTGGCCAACTCTAAATGGGGGGGAACAAGAGAAATAGAGAGCACCTTGATCGCCGGAGTTCTGTCCGTCTCTTGATCTACCGTGACACAAGAGCCGAGGGGAAGAGAGGACAAGACCACTCAACAAAGATGTCGACGGCGGACACTTTGGGCTTCCTTGCCGTCGGCCAATCGTGGTTCCTCCCCTCCCACCCCTTAGATATCAAGACCTGCTCGTCCGTCAGTAAGTAAAGTTTTCATCAAGAAGAATCGCCTGGAATCGGCCGAGACATTGCGTGTCTCCGAGAAGCTTGTGTAACAAAGGGATTCATTAGCTATTTTGTGAGGGTTTTTGTCTGTTTTCCTTATCATGGGGTTCATCATATCCCTGAGAGTATCAAAACCTTCCAAGCCGAGTGTGACCTCGGCACAGATGGATATGCTTTCCTCTTGCCATTGAAGCTGGCTTGTTTTTGTGAACCCCTATCCCAATTCCTAGCCTGCCCAATTCCACCGCTGCTGTACTCGCTGGCGAGGTATCCTTTCTCTTGCCATCAGCAACTTATTTACAAAGTCAAGAAAACCCAGTACGGCGCAGCAATCCTCCTGATTAGCGTGCCCGACAACCCCGTAAAAACAATAATCAACGCCGTGATCTCGGGACGCCGTCTTCAATGCCAGACACAAGTGTGTGAAACATAGAGATGAGAGAAGTAAAAAAAGGAAGATACCATTCCGTCTATCCTGTGATGCATTGCGTCATAACCCAAGGCGAGAGCTCAAGTCTCCTTTCCCGCAATGGCACATCATTACTGTCCTGGTTGGGATTTGAGGTTCCTGTTAAAATCCCTCGTGTTTTCGTGTATCCGAGAAAATGTGCCCAAGATGATTGGGTGGACCAGAATGCCAACACATATACAGAAGAACCGGCAAGATTCCCTAGCGCTTTGTCCTTGGACTGTGGTATCTCCCATCAAAACGGGCAAACATCATGTGTAGTCATATCTAGTGCTCATATCCGGCACCACGTTGCCAAGGGCTGTGTGATTGTTAGCTACTGTATTGCCAAGTGACTCTTGTTCCTTTGATATCTTACCTGGCGTTGTTTTGGGAACGGTACTGCGCAGGGCTGGCATTGTTCTGGTTGCGGTACTGGTTGTGATTGTTGGCACCAAGCGTTGATGCGGAGCCGTTGTATGGGCTGGGAGTGCGAGTCGGCCCTTGTCCATAGGGGTTGCGGTTGTCTGCCGGGAAGAGAGGCATCGAAGGGTCCACTGGCGAGTGCGGCGCCTGGCCGTGCTGTTGACCTCCAGGACGCTGAAGAGAGTGCTGAGAGGGCGCAGCTGACTGGGCAGTCGATGGCGGCAGAGCAACACCAGAGGGGTCCGCTCGGCGACGCATGGACTCAGAAGAGATGGAGTCATTGTCGTCATCAAGGTCGAGTCCCTTGTTGTAGTGGGCCTTGTCACCTCGGGCAGTCGCAGCCAGAGCGTCCAACTCGGTAGTGGTGTTGAGCTGGGTCTGGGACTTCATGAAGGATGCTCGGTCATCGGCCATGAACTGGTAGCGAGCATCAGGGTTCTTGCGGAAGTAGATCAATGTGCTGCTGACAATAACAAGCAGCAGAAGGATCAGAGCGAAGGCCGCGTTGGCGATGAACAGAACCACACCAACGATACCGTTTACCAGAGCCGGGGCACCGAAAACGTCGGAGAAGATGAGCAGGAAAACGGCGTTGAGGAAGTTCATGACGCAGATGGCAATGTTGAACGAGTTGGTGCTCTTATCCATCCAAGGGCGCAAAACACTGGCAGCGATGAGCGCAGCAGCCTCAATAATGACGAAGGCAATGGCCTGAATGGTTCCGTTGCGTTGGGCAAAGGCGACGAACATTCCCTTGACAACAGTGTAGCCAAGCGTAGGGACGATGAAGTAGTATGCTGAAGCGCGGAACTGAACGTAGAGGAAACCCCACTTGTTAAGGGCCTGGGGGTCCGAGAAGAGGATGTAGGCCGGGTTGCGATGCATGGCCACGGAGCGACGCGCGATTCTGATAACCTTGAAGGAAGCCCATCCGAGGGTGAGAGCCATACCGAAGAGGAAGAAGACAGCGAGAACAACCTCAGCCGCGGAGTCAGCCTGAGTGAACTCCCAGAGGCAGAGAATCGTCATTTGGGGGAAACCAATCAGCGTCATACGGAAGAGAATTCCCTTCAGGACAGTGAACCAGCCGTTGCGGAACTCGAGGAACTTCTCGCTCTTCATCCACTTCTGTCGGACAGCCAACTCGCAGAATCCCTTGAAGGCCGCGACGCCAAGAACGGTGAAGATGACGAAAACGCAGAAGAAGGACAAGCCAGTCATGAAGAGATTAGTCGATTCGATCTTGGCGCGGAAGGCAACTCTCTGGATACCGAACACGATGTAGCTGCCGGAGGAAAGCTGGATGTTGGCTCTCTTGGCGATGATGGAGGGAACGGAAGAAATGCCACGCTTGGCCATTCTAGCGGCCGACAGGGCCCAATCCATGGAACGCTTCTCAACCTGGACGGAAGTGGTCGTCAAGGAGTTGAGGAGAGTGGAGGGAGTTCCACCAGTTGCCCGCTGGTACCATGTGAATATATCCTGCATGAACTGGACGCGGATGATACCCATAGACCAAACGAAGTCCTGAGTCCATGACTGGACAATAGGCGGCAGGTGAACACCGGTGAGACCAACGATAGCCTGAGACTGGAAGTAGCCGAAAAGCGATAGCGTGTTGGCGGCAACGTGGGCAGCGGTGTTGGTGTGACCGAGACCAGAGATAACGGCGGAAGAAATCAGTCCCAAGCCGGCGATGATGGCGGTAGCCCACTTGACACCAATCAAGTCGACCGTCTTTCCGTTGGAGATATCAGCCTCAACGCAAGCCACACTAGTGGAGGTGTCGGTCAAGTTGACGAAGACACGGACGGTAGCGTCGAGATCGGGAATGTTGTAGGCAATGCCCGGAATCTGGCCAACGGCATCCTCACCAACAGGCAAGTTGAAGTTCATGGTGATCTTTCCGGCAGTCATGGGGCACAGACCAGCGAGGTTGATGCTGCAGGGGTCAACAGTGCGCCTCAGGAACTCGTAACCGTAAGCGGAAATAGAGACATCAAAGACAATGCTGCCCTGAACAGAGGAGACGGCGACAATGTTGATTGCGGCACTTCCATTGCCGGGGGTGAAGACGACGTTGAACAGACTGGCTGTGAAGCTGGAATCATCCTGGCAGGTGTTGAGGGAGTTTGACTGGAGCAACTGCTCAGCAGCAAGAACTGGCGTAGTGAGGTAGGTGGCCAGGGTGCCGAGCAGCAGCAACGGCTTAGCGAATGACAACCTCATGGTGGGTGGTATGTCGTCGAGATGGTCTGGGTTAGAATAAGAGGTGATGCGCTTGACTGTAGTCCAGTGTCGTCGTTGGTAGACGATGGAGCGCGGAAGATGCGGGGGGGGGTTGGAAGCCGTCTAGGTCGAGAATATCATGGGGGTTGACGTCGTTCCAGACGGTATTGGCGACAGAAGACGATTCGTTAGAAGCGAAGGGATTTATGCGGTCGTCGATCGGGCTCGAGGCCTCTGTAGTTATTTCGCAAAGGTTGGCTTGTTTTCCGTGGCAGGGAAAAAGGTGCTAGCGAAGGTTATCTGCCGACGAATTGAGAGTTTGGCGCGGTGGTTGTTCCTGTCAATCCTCCTGTTCCGGCGAAGAAAACGAAGCGAGCGATGGAGGTAATGGAAGAGTGCGTCCCTCTCGAAGGCGGCGACGGAAGAAGCGAAGGCAATATTCGTGTCGTCGTTGTCGTCGAATCAATCGGTAGTCGCAGGGCTAGGTGTCGACCTGAGGGAAGGGCTGGGATTGAAGATGGGTGGGTTTGGTGAGTTTTGTTGTTTGTTGCTAAAAGGAAATTGGGAAAGGAAGGGAGAGGGAAGGGAAGCAGATCGCCAAGCGGAGGGCTGGACGGGGAAGGAAGGAGTGATGAAAGGAGGCGCCGGTGGTGGTTGCTGGATGGCACTGTGTGAGGGAGTGGCAGGTGCTTGCTGGCTGGCTGCAACCTTGGTTCCTTCCTTGGTGCGGCTTCCTCTGCTTGGTGCTTGGGTTCGAGTGAGCAAAAGGCAAAAGCAGGACTGGACCCAAAACCAAGACGGGTGGAAGGTCGGATTCAGGGAAAACCGGGCAACAAGGGCCAGAATACGGGGGTAGAAGGATGGTGGGTATAGGCAAAGGCCCAAGGGAGAGCGAGCGAGCGACGCAGTCTGCGACAGGCGGACAGCAGGAATCCCGTGGATTGACTTGTGTCTGGTGTGTGGATACGCCACTTTGTGGGTAGTAAAGGGGACAGGGGTAGAGGGGGGGCCGTACGTAGTAGTACCTTACCGTACGGGGTCGCGAATGGGTGGTGTCGGCCCAGGCTGTCGTAATTTCAATCTTTGGAGCCGGGTGGTGCGTCGTCGAGGTGCGAATGTGGGATGTACCTTGGAGACGCTTGGTTTTGGGCCCCCCCTGTTTAAGTGGTGGGAGGGGAGAACGAGGGAACTTGGAAGGACTTGAACACTCCCAAGGAGACACGAGGGAAGGATGAAGGAGGGAAGAAGCGAACACGCGCCCAATGGGATGAAGAAGAGGTACTGCCTGCTGAGTACGGCTTGGCGAGGCTGCAAAGGAACGCAACCGGGGACAGCGAGTATACTTTTTCTCACACGTATTTCACCACCTAGCCTGAGGTACTCTCTTCGTATCTCCGTACCCAAAACTGGATTCAGCTCGTATCGATCTAACAGAGCTACTTGTCTCTGGCGCGTAAAGCCGTCAGGAACGGTCCAGACGAACACGCAGCCAGCGGAACACATGGACACACAAAGTCAACTGAAATGCTGTCTGTCACTGTTGGAATCAGCCAAGCAACACCACCACCACACACCACAGGCTTGCTGTTGCTGCAGTGCCCAAGGATGTATTTTGGTCACTCATTACGAGGCAGAGCAAATTCCACACATTCCAGATGCCGTGGAAACAGCACAATGCCTAATCCACGCATACCAAACCAAACCAAACTATTCAAGCATCAACTTCAAGGTCCGAGATTAGCAGATCAACATCATCTCTAGACTCTCAGCCATGATTGACACGGAACGGCACATGTGGACCAGATTCAACTCGCTCTACAGTACTCGATGACCCCGCTACTACGCCAATCCATATTCTCTATAACCTTCCGCTACACCAACAGCATCAGCATCGACAACACAGACCCGATCGTCGTTGGCGTTGTCATTCACATCCTCGTCCAACTTGGCGGACTCCCGCAATCATAGCGTCATGCAAACCGACTGCCTTCCGCCATCCGAATATTTCACCTGCAGCTCTGCATGGCCAAGCCTCAAGCCTCAAGTCTACCAAGGTCATTCATCCAAATCCCCGTCCCATCTTTGCTCCCGTATCCTGTCTGCATTTTGATTCTTATTCGCTTTATCCATACGGATGCAGGTTCTTCAGCTTCTCAATCCAGCCCCCAGACACTGGCTGCAGACACGAATGCTGACTACTAATAAACTCCCATCGGCTTACATCGCCCCCGCCCGCCGCCGCGCTACGCAGTACACCGCGTACGAACATACGCACAGTCATCACCACAACCCGTTCCAGTCCAGGTCATCGTCATCGGCCTCCAGCCTCTCCTTTCTCGTAATGAATGCTGTCAACGGACTAGCCTACACAGGAAACCTCAGATCACGCAGTCCCGGGCCTCCGAAAATCTCCAAGACTCTCCAAGACACTTTCCAATGCTTCCAAGACCTAAGCCTCCACGACAAGAAACCCAAACGGGCCCAAGTAGCTACTGCTGGCATGTTCCCTCGCCCGCTCTCATCTCAAGCACCTCCGCGACACGGGGTGTTTGGGTGTCGCCTAGCCTCAGACATCAGACAAGACCACCTCGAGAAACAGGAACACGGCACCACGACCAGAGGAAGAAGCGGCACGCACTAGACCAAGCCAAAGAAGAAGGCTAACCCACAGCTCATTTCAATTCCTCTGTTTCTCTCATCAAGTTCAGTCTCTGTAGTCTGCACTGCCACGATCAACTCTCTCCAAAGGGCACGCGTACGTACGCACTACTCCAGCAGACCATGCCACGCCGGGGTATCTTGCCTGCTCACACCTGAAATGCCGGCTCCCGGGAGAGCGAGTGTGACCGAAGGCTTCAGTGGTGACCAGTCACTGGTGTCTACCCAGCCCGATGCCCACTGAACAGGCTCGACGTCACAAATCCATGCCCCCCGGCTTGCGTGGTTTCGTCCCAACGGGATAGAACCTGGCCGGGGTCATTTCTCAGGAAAAGGGAATCACGAGCCCGAGACGTCTAAAAATGGCCCAGCCGCCCCAAAGGCGATTGGTAGGCTACCGTTGCGAGGTTGAACCGTCCAGCAGGCCGTGGACTCTTGGAAATCGCCTATACGAAAATTGATGAGAGCACAAGAGACAAAGTAGAACGCTTTTCAGAACGCTTTTCAGAACGCTTTCTTGAGGCTGCCGTCTGCCAGCCTCCACCCTGTAACATGTTCTGCAGCACCATGACTTCCCTCACGCTGACAGCTCACCGCGGCACACCGAGCCGAGCGACCTAAACCATTGTTCCGGCCCACGATGGAGACGGATGGGCGATAAACCAACAAGATTTCCAAGGCTAACACTGATGATCGACGAGCATCCAATGTTTTGGGCTGATGAACCGCTGGCCCGTTGTTACAGACTTTCTAGTGAGTGAATATCCCAACTCTGCTCAGTAACAATTCCAGTTGCAGGTCCGGGCACGAGAGGCTGTGTTCGTTCACCTTGCCTTTTTACCTCATGTTGCTTATGCAGGGCTTCCCGCCGACAAGAAGTCAATTGCGACGCTGCCCGAACCTTGTTCTCACCCGTCTGGCTCCCTCCCTCGCACAGTCCTCGACTACTCTCACTCAGAGTCTGCGAGTCTTCATCCTCGTTGGTCCCTCCCGAGACGCGGATCCTCCGTGCATCGCCACGATTGAGATTTCTCGCTTCGAGCGTGTTCCGGCTCGCTCTAGACGAGCGCACATCAAACAGCACTCAGAAACAATTCCATCTCCCTTTGCAGCTCCCTTCTCCGCAAAGCCCACATTTTCAAATCTCGCCAGAGTGGTCAGCGTGCCAGCGGTGCCAGTATGGCAGCCACCCGCCAGCAACGCGTGCTTCGGGGCCCGGTGTTACGCTGAAAATCACAATCCTTTCCCAGTCTGGCGGCAACTCATCTCCAATCGTTTAGCCAAAATAAACATTGCTGGTGGGAACCCGTCACGAATCCACACCCACTGTTCACGGCATCGACAGCAATGGGGGTGACGAAGTTTCCCATAATCGCTCATCAATGATCAATCTCCAAAGCTGGGGCCCGCATGCCACCTGCAGACTTTCCTTGCGTCGTTTAACATCGACTGCCATGTGTCTCGGAACATTTGACTTGTACTATCGTGCCTTAGCCTCCCTTGAGGAATTTTCCAATAATGGCTTGTTCCTTGCAGCATGGTTTTTTTCTTCTATCTTTCCCTCTCTAAGGATTCCAAGGCAGCAAATTCTGTCATAAGAAGAAGGGAGGGAAGAAAAAACATAATTCCTCCCATATTCCCACCTTGCAATTATATGCTCATTTATCGACAACCTTAATCTATGTCATGCTGCTCAAGGTACAGGGACTGAAGTACTCCGTACACAGTATAACACACAATTTAGCACCCGCCCCGAAAACGATGAGGCGACTTCTCTTCTCGTAAGGCCGGTTCTGTCCCTCCGCAGATAAATGACCCGACGCCTTAAAATAAATCACGAAAGCCTTGCCATAATGTGGAGGATTGCCCGCTTCCGTTGAGGGAATCCATCAATGCCATTCAATTCTCTACAGGTGACAGAGTTCCTGAGAAAAGTGACATGAGGCGGGAAATCCTGCGCAGGATATTGACGGGTTGACCCCGCGAAGCGCGTATTTGTTCTTAGCTTGGGCTGTCAGTTTACTGAAGACAAGGAATCGACGTTTGTGTGCATAATTCCCCTGCAGCGTGATGTCAGCCGTCGCCCGCGAACACCAGTCTGTGAGGATGTTCAGACAGAAATCCTGAAAAGTCGCCGACTTACAAATGCTACAGAAACAATCAGATTGACCGAGTAGTCAATTGGTAGTTACAGCCAGAGGAGATCGGTTCATTTGATTCGAACTCGATTTTCTTTTCCCTTGTATCGCGATACAGTGTACCAGCCCGTCGACCTCGCGACAAAACAGAGGCTTGGTGATCAACCAACCAAACTGGCAATGGCGGCGAGCCACTCCCCCTCACTAACACGGGGGATCGACAGGGCAACCGGCGACATGGCTGTTTTTACCAGACCAGACCAGACCAGACCAGACCGGCTTACGATTTTCGTATGGCGTACAGCATGTCACGATTTCTACGGGTATCTGATGCAACTCGAGAACGTACTCTAAATGGGCGCGCTCTTTTCAACCGATGAGATTATTCATTACATGGTAAAAAGTTGAAGTGGTATTCGTTATATTCCTTCATCTATCAAATCAATTCTGTATGCATGCGGTACGCTCAATCGCTGTACTCGTCAAGCCATAATAAAGCTCCTCAAACACCCACCACCATGAAGCCAAAAACCCGCATGCATCTTCATCAAATGCGTCTAAATCCCACCATATTTCATGTAAAAATGTAAAACCATAAAACTCCCGCCTCCTTTTCCCACTCAGAAATGTTCCTTTCCGAGTGAAATGAACGCCTTCGTGCTCGTTTCCATGCGATTCATCTCCAGGCAGCAGCTTAAACCACCGTTTCCATAACCCATCCGATACAGCTGCCGCCCCCTTTCCCCCTCGTAGTCCATCTCAACGCCTTTTCTTTTTTTCCTTTCCCAACTCGCTCTCATGGTTTGTATGTTCCACGGTAACGACATTCAATCATATTGATCCCACTGCTGATTCCACGGCTTGTTCGTCCCCTGGAAATCCATACCGTGCTTATAGTACCCCAGCAGCTCCTCCTCGTCGACGCCGCAGTGCGTCTGCCCGTCGCGGCCCTCGAACCAGCCCAGCCCGTACGTCTTGCCGAGCCCCTCGAGGTACCGCGCCATCTCGGCGTTGCTCATCCGCGCCGTGTTGACAAAGTCGTAAATCATCTTGCTCTGGTGGATGAAGGCGAGGTGCGACGAAATGGTGTTGGGCTGCCGCGGCAGGAACGGGTGCCGCCGCCGGAGGAACACGATGGTCGCGACGGTGCCCATGTACACGAGGATAAAGGTCGCCAGGCCGTACGAGATCCAAAAGGACGAGACGGTTTCCTGTCCAGCGTTGATGCCGCCGAGGTCCGGGCCGTCGTCCTCGACGCCGTGGTGACCGCCGGGTCGATCCTGCTGGTCCGGCGGCGAGGCGTAGGCGGCGTCGAGGAACTCTGTGCCCACGACCGTGGCCAGGCTGGTCAGCAGCACCGTCAGAACCTCGGCCATCATGCTGCCGAATCCGACGAGGAACATGAGCGTGTGGGCGTTGAGGAAGGCGTGGAACGGCATCAGGGCGAATGGCATGGCCGTGTAGTCGAGCGTGAGCGTCTTGGACGACGAGTGCCTCTTTGACAGGATGTAGTACGGCTCCATCATGCGCATATCGGTCTCGAGGCCGCCCCAGCCCAGCTTGATGCAGACGGCCAGGGCGGTCACGACCCACGGCGCTTTGGACGTGATGATGCTGGCGCTGGAGAAGAGGAACACCGGGATGAAGCCCGTGAAGAGGGCGATGCCGATGACGAACGGGAGGAAGCCGCCGAGCCGCAGGGATCGCGGGTGCGGGTTCTGTGACAGGTGGTCGTCGCGGTACTTGTCCGTGTCCTGCGACGACACGGGGTTCTCGTCGTCGGGGGCCAGCGACGCGTTGCGCAGGACGTAGCGGCGGTGCTTCAGCTTGTCGTGGATGTCGCGGTGGCTTACGACGTCCAGGTCCGCAAAGTCCACGAGGATGTGGCTGACGACCGCCATGGACGCGAGACCTGCAATGCCCTTGACGTCGGCCAACAGACCAGACCTTCTCCTTTGGAGGATGTAGAAGAGGATACATCCGCAGAGGGCGCAGACGCAGAGGGTGGAGGATAGCAGCCTCGACCAGATGGCATTCAGTTTGATCTCTTTGTCGCCGTTGGGATGCGCAAGGCGTGTAGCCCTATCGGGATACAAAAAGAAGGACGCAGCGCCAAAGGTTGGCACCAACGACACAGCCAGGGAGGTCGCGATGGAAGACACGGCGACCGCAAAATGCCGCAGTTTGATCGCTCGGAAAGGCCGCAGCCAACTCAGGCTGGTGACATAGTCAACGTTGATGGACTCGGCTGCAAGTGCACCTCCTTCTTTCGAGAGCTGGTAGTACGCTTCGAGACGCTTCACTTCAAAGTCGGTGACCTGCCACAACACACCGTACGTAACGGAGAGGATTGTCGGCAGGAACTTGACGGCGAAGTACTCGAGCCCCGGAACATCGGCGGGACTTTTGAACTTGACCAGAGGATGAGTCTGCGATCTCTGGTACAGGAACTCGACCATGACGGCGAGGGCAACCGACAGAACGATCAAAGCGGTGAGATATGGCCATCTCATCGAAAAGGGCTTCCAGTTGGGCTGCGGGTAAAAGACCTGTGTCCTCTGGCTCCTGTTGACGGGGAACGTGGCGTGCCGTATGCTTGCGTCGTCGCCCATGATGCTCGGTCCCGCGACAACGCTGAGATCGACCTGGTCTACCTGCCGCCGAGCGGCCTCCTCGGGGGTGTCTTCGATGATGACCTCAATGACCTTCCCCTGCTTATTAGCCTCATCCTGGCCGCGGTCCTTGATGGTGGCTGCACGACCCAACTTCTGACGACGAGAAAAGGACCGCGTAAGGGAGGACCTCTTAGGCAACGGGGACGACGAGAGCAGATCCTCGCCCTTGATCGTGGTGTCCGGCCTGAACCCAGCCCCGAGACCACCGGTGAGATGACCGCTCGCCTCCTGTTCCTGCAATCTTCTAAGGAACGCATCATCTTGATAGCCCATCGGGCCAAGCGCAGCAGTTACATCGAAAATGGGTTCGTTATCCGGAACCGACTCGTACTGCGACGATTGGCCTATGGGTGCGGCGGAGCGCAGGAGGGAGAGATCATGCTCTTCCTCGGGGATGGTCTCGTGTCCGCGTCGCGATGGTGCGCGACCAACATTCCGCCTCAAGTGCGAGGGCGTTCTAGGGAAATCAGGGCCGGAAGGCGGAGGCAGAGACGCATATCCGGCAGCTCCAGTGTAGGAAAAGGATGCGGTCCAGGTGGAAGTCGTCGAGGGTCGCCGGTGAAGTTGATGGTCCGAGTCGTGCGGCGACGGCGAAGTGTGATTAGAGTAGGACTGGAGCGAGACCAGGGAATCCCTCCCACGAATTGCTGCCGAATGCTGCCCGTCGTAAGAAGGGCTCTCAAAGTCGCTGACGTCGGACACGTTGGAACTCTGGTGCGCCAGTCGTGGTCTCTGCTGCGGCGCGTCTGGAGGTTGGTAAGAAGCACCAAAGCCTCTATTGTGCGTCATTGTTTCCGGCGTAACTCATATCGGGACGGCCGTCGTCTTCGGTATCGGAGGTATCTCTATTGCCCTTGTCAAAGGTGGGCTTCCTCCGTGACTCGCGAGTTGACGAGGGTTGGTGTAAGTGCGCAAGGTAAGTTAGAGTTACTGTAAGTACGGGCGAGCGAACGAGCGGTATCAAGACAGGTAGCGAGCGTAAAAAGATCGAAAAGATGAGAGAAAGCTGAGAAGCCCAAGTTCAGTCACGCAAAGACAGGCATCTCAGTCTTTTTGTTGCCCAGCCAGAAATCAGGGGGGGGGAGAAGGGGATTGAGATGCTGGGGCACAGCTGAGAAGAGAGGAGAGCAGTTGTAGGGCTGCCGGGGGCGCGCTCTTTTCGTGGGGGAGGTGCGATTGGACGAGGCGCAAGGAACAAAATGGAAATGAACGTCTTGGTCTGCGAGTCCGCAGACCGCAGGCCACAGTCCTTGAGTCCGTAGGAGTCCAGAGTTCACTTTCAGCATGGGGTCCACGCTAACCTGCCACCGGGCGAACTAAGATGATAGTGTGAACATGACGGTTAGTTCAAGTCAGGGACTGTACTCCGTACAACGGGCAATGTCTCTCCAGGGGAAAGATTGGCGTGGTAAGGCTGAGTTGAGGAGGAACTGGACGGATGGCGTGAGATGTGAGGCGCCCCAGACGAGGAGGAATGATGGTGCCAGACAACCTGAGAGGGATCCTCCACTCGTCGTGAAAGCCGCAAGCAGGGTTTAAAGACATTTAACAGCATGGATCGATTATGGCTGCGGCTTCTGACGTTTCTTGTCTTGCCTGCTTACCTTACTATGGATCAACCAAAGTCACCCTTCTTGAAGTCGGAACACACAACAAAGCATCCTGATGGAAATCTCGTTTCCATCTGCGATCCCAGGAAATGCGAAATGCAGGAGGGGTTGCCTCCGAGCGAACGGCCTGCCGGTCCAAGGGTTGCAGCGGCCATGTTCCCACAACTTCGGATGGCATGCCTCTGGTTGTGCCTGTGCTCCGTCCCCCGTCCAGATTAAGCGTCGCACTGACGGTGGGGGATAGACTTTCTCTCCTCCCAATCCCATTGCATGGAACTCCGAGCCGCAGAGCGCAAGCTTACAAACTCCTAGATGTATGGAGTACGGGTAGGCTGTGTGACTGAGCAGGTATACTGCAACGTAGTGTGCGGATACGGAGTGCGAAGTAGCTGTGTGAGCAGCGAGCCAACATTTGCTGCCAACATGCAGGCCCTGCAGGACAAATCGATAGTCATTGACGCCCCCCTCCACACCCAGCACCCAGCACCCAGCACCCCGAGCCGCCGGACCTGATCTGACGCAGTCTTGCAGCAACGGGCTGCAGCTGACCTTCCAAGGTGACTGGCTGAGAGACAGAGGTCCTGGGGCTGCCTCTTTCTCTCTCTCTCTCTCGCTGCGGCTATTATTATTAGTATGCATGCCTGGGGCTATATTCAGCCCCCAGCGCCGGGATCGCTTCGCGGGGGGCGTCGCTTAAACTCCTGGCAGCGCGGAATGTTGCCGGGTCATCATCGATTACGAGCTTCTTCTGTTCACTCTGAACCCCTCTGAGGTTGTTGTCGATCTTCCGCTGCTTGCCATCAGTCCGGTCTCGCCCTTTCACCACGACAGCAACTCAAACTGCCAAAGTATGTCTCACGGTCCGGTGCAATAGACAGGCCTGACTGAGAGACATGACCGGAAGTCGGGCAGGGGAAACATCCCGACGCAGGTGCCTGTGGGAACACGGCGTCGCTGTCGAAAGCCGGCCGTTTGTTCTTGTCAGGTTCCTCCTCATCCTAACCCAAGCCTTGCCGGCCGAGCCTCACTCGAGAGATGAGCTTCTGACATGGCTGCCGCATGGACGATTTTTGTCGCCGAATACGAACTTCCGTTTCTCTCGCTCTTTAGGTTTCGCTTCTTGCTCTATCTCTTCATCTTCTTCGTCCTTGATCCCATGGGGGGAGGGTTTTCGGCGGTTGGTGGGCCGCCCGGCTAAACACAGCCCAATGAGGTGCGCAAGGCCCATACATTTTCAAGAACAACTGGTCGGTTAGCTCAGTTGGTTAGAGCGTGGTACTAATATTTCATCTGAAATGTTGTGTAATGCCAAGGCCGGGAGTTCAAGCCTCCCACTGATCATATCTTTTGCTCCTCGGGCATTTGGTTTCACTTTTTGCTCTTTTTCGTTGATATCTTTCATATTTTCTCATTGTCCTTTGTCTCTTGTCGACAATTTGTTGTTGTGGCGGGTCGGTTTGACTTACAGTCAGGGAGGTTTCGGACCAAAGTCTACTTTCAAAAGTATTACACCGATTTGATACAATCACATACGCTCTACCTGGCTGTACCATAACCATTTCCTAATTAGCGCTCATCTTCTGCTTTGATTATCCGTTTTGGAAGTATTGAACGCGGAGAAAGAGGTTCTGCTTCTGTGTCCGAGCCTCGTATGCGAAAAGAAGATGACACTTTGACGCTGCGTACAAGCTGGAACACATTACCGTGATCTCGTCTTTGTGTCAAGGGAACTGAGCGCTCAAGAAAATAAGTAGGACTTCGTGCTTGGGCTCTAGCAGCCAATGCCTAGCGCTTGTCCATTGTCAAAGAGACAACTGGCCACTTGCCTGTAGCGACGGCAAACCAACCCGTGTGCGCTGCGTCTCTTGTTCCAATGATAGAAACTCCTATGCTTCACTTCCTTGACGATACTGAGACCAGCCCGTTCCATTCCAGATCTTTTTGAAAGGAGCCTCCTATTGTGCGAAGATATGAAAGATGACGAGTCTTTGTTAGTTGCTTAGAGCATATCATTCTACCTCTACGTTGCTGGCCTAAAACGCCATACACCATTTGAGAAAATGAAATCGCGATGCAGATATCGCGACTAGCTGTAGTGCCAGTCTCATTCCGCGATCCACCGCGATATCCTTTTATGAACGGGACTGAAGGTCCAGGTAGAGGCATGAAACTCACAATATCCTTGGTTTGCTGATTGCATCCTCGTGTCCCAGACTTTTGGGAAAGAACTTGATTCACTGTACTTAGCCAACTGACGAATAATACCAGAGGACATGGTGATTCATCTTTAGTACAGCTTGGTGTTTTACAATGCTCTACCTGCCCTCTTGGTATGAATGAGCCAGCCGCTGACATCTTCAACGTTCAACAGTGAAAGGATAAAGTTCATTCTACTCCTGGCACCTTATACCATGGCATTGGTAACTTACTCTGATAGAAAACCGTCGCACCATGTCTATAGGCCTTGGTCCCCATATCACTGTTCAAAATAGTACCCGGCCGCGTCTGCCTGCGAAGCCGTCAGCGATCCCTCTTCCCTTGCCCGAAATACTAAGCATCCGATGAGCGCCTCAAGGCTTATGAAAGGCAACAAGCCAACTTGGCCAGGTTCAGATGGCCATTAACTTCACATGTTCCTCAAAGGCTCTCGTGGTTCAATCAGGCTGTGTGGCCATATTTGATAAACACCCCTTTCAACTTCACTCGCTCGAGACAGCTGGACGGCCTAGTCGAAACGAGAAAAAGGGGTTTAACTCACTTGGATGATAAACAAACATCAAATCGAATGCTTTCTTGGAATAGAGATCTAGTGCGGAGACCAAGTCGCACACAAATCACTAGGTACATGATCTAACGTCAAATTATTCAAGCCAAACAAATGTCGGTCGAGAAAGAGAGAGAAATATCTTGTCCGATTCCGCAAAGACATTGGTCTAGAAATGACGCCTCATCCAGACACGTCTCGCATCATACGCGTAATATCGAAACAATAGATGTCACCCAATAGAGAAAGAAAAACTTATAAGTTGAGAAGCGCAAACGCTGGCAAGCCGCCTCTAGGTAACTCTCTATGGTACCTCGGTGACCTGCCGTGCCATACTGATGATTTATTATTCCGTCACTTATAGGCGGATGTCTATTCCGATCGTCTTATACGGCAAATGAGCCGGTAGCCTCCGGCCCTTTCCGCTTTGCTTTTCCCTCCTTGTCTCGCTCTGAAGCAGCTGTTTACTTTGCTTTCATCATACCAAGACCCCCTCCTCGCTATCAGGAAAGCACCTCTCCAGCAACCTCTCGCGATGCCTCACCAGGGCAGGGAACTCGCGCAGAATCTCCGACAGCGACGCGTCCACCCACCCAAACTCCTCGTCGAGCAGCAGCTGCGTGTACGAGAAGACAGACGCGTCAAACAGCGTCGGGCCCTCGCAGCCAAAGAACCACTCACCGCCACCACCACCACCCTCTCCCCCCTTTTCCGAGGTACTTCTACTACGACTGCTGCCGTTCTCCTCCAGCAACGCAGCAAGAGCCTCAAACGCGGCGCGCGCGTCAGCGTGTACCCTCTCCACATCCACCACCGCGCTCCTCGTCACCTTCAACACCTCGGCCTCGGCCGCCGCGCGGACCTGGTGCGCGAGCGTCAGCCTGACGACGGGGTTCTTGGACGCCGGCTCGATGTAGAGCCGCGACAGGAGGTCCGCGTTCGCGGGGGCGAGGTAGAGGGCGTGTAGCCAGGCGGCGCGGAGGCGGTGATCCAGCAAGGACTGGTAGGCTTGCTCGCGCGCCTTGAGCTCCGCGTCGGGCGTGGAGGAGGTCGAGAAGGAGGAGGAGAGCACGGGCAGCCTCTTGAGGGTTGTGTTTTCTAGGGCGTAGGATTCGAGTTTCGAGGCGCCGGCGATGGGGCGGAGAGGGGAGGGCGGGAGGAGGTAGGGGAGGGCGCCGGAGGGGGAAGCGTGGTTTGTTGAGGGGGCGATGTGGAAGTCTACGCCGGCGATTTTGAGAAAGGTCTGTTTGGGAGGGGAGGTTAGCTGGATGTTGCGCGAAAAGGCGGAGGACGAGTGTAGGCAATGGTGAGCATGTCGCTAGGGAAGAGGAGGGAGACATCGAAACGAACCTGCCACTTTAGACACGAGGGGTTGAAGCTCGGTCGGCCCCTCGGGGCATCGTCGTCCGCGATGAAGACGTATAGTGTTGGCGTGTCGCCGCGGGAGGGACTGCGGAGGGGTAGGTCGTTGGCAGGGTAGACGGCGAGGGGGAAGCGTCGGAAGAGGGCGGCGACGGGGGCCGGAACGGCGAACCAGCTTCTCGGGGTGTTGTCCGGCATGATGGCTAGCTTGCGGCAGCGGCGTCGGCGCCGGACGTGGCTTACTTCGGCGAGGCCGGTTCGGTCGGTGATGAAGGCGGACGGGCGGGCAGGAGTCCCGGGGGTGAATGTGGTTGGACGGGTTAGATGGAACGGAGAGCTCCCGTGGTATGATGCGGGGAGATTGAGCCGAGGGGTGTGGAGGTCGGGTGTCCGGTAGACGGAGCTCGGCGGGGGGTGAGCTGCGGGATGGGATGCAGAATGAGCTCGGGGGAAAAGATGTGGTGCCGCCGCGTGGCTGGTTGGTGCGATTTGCTGCTCTGGGAGAAAGGGGAACGAGTGGGAGCGGTGCGGCGAGCGGCGTGCCTCGGTCTCGCGGAATCGCGGGGCGGTATGCTGTAGCGACCTTCCTCAAACCTCGAAGTTGGGCCTCAGGTCAGGAAATCGGTATACTCCGTAGGTAGCTCGTGATTTGGTTGGTTGGATTCACGAGATTTGATGGAGACGTCTGTTGTTCCGAAAGGTATTCGTGTGGTTGTACGATTATGCCCGTCGCGATGCGCAACTTTCTACACCGCCCATCCTGTGTTTTCGGAGTAATTTATCGCTTCTCCATGCGAGATAAGGGGTCTTTGCTCCCGAAGTCTACTTTCCCGCTCCTCCTCCTCCTCATCGTCCTCAATTTTCTCGGCGCATTCGGGGCGAGACAGGGGCATAAAGTGGATGGTGCCAGAATTTGCTACCTTAGTGTTGCATGAGGGTTTTTATTTCTCCTTGTCGTTGCCTTATCCCACTCTTACTCTTGAATATGGGCATGGAGACGTTGAACCGTGGACCATGGGCCAGTGGACAGCAAGTGCATGAATGGACGCCCGTTTGCTGGTTTGAATAAAGCTACCGGGACAGCTGCAGGAGAGCTGCAGCCGTGTCCAGCGGCCGTCCAGTCAGTTAGGGATACTCTGCTGCGGCTGTGGGAAGACGGAGCGGGTTTGCGGCGCCGTGGATGGACCCTGAATTTCGTGTGACATCCCTGTCTTTGACTGTATTGCGGTATGCCTCTTCTTTCTGAATCTGCCCTCGTCCCCGATGCAGCTTTTGATTGACACGAACATATCCGTAGCAATGCTTTTCTTGCAAGTACTCCGTATATTGGCGGGTCACTTGAGCCAAAGTCCCGTTCATCAGACTGAATGAATTCCCATGTGTCACTGGCTGGAAAGGTCATGGGAATCTCGCTCAAATTCCAGAGTTGCCTGCCTCGGCGGCGGGGCGATGTCGGCGTGCCCCGGAACTTGGAAGAAGTGCCAAACGATAGCGTGCCCTCGGTCGGCGGCCCAAGGTGAGTGGCTCCGGATCAACCGCGGTGAATTTCCCAGATTCGAGAGACCTTCTAGCGGGTGGGGGCCTCAGGTTCTGCGTCTTCCTCTTCTTCTCCGGGGTCGCAAGGTGACCCCCGGTACTTTCGGTCAAATTCCTCGCCCAATTCCCAAATGGGTCTCTCCTACCGCCGTTACGGATTTTCCGCCGTCGACAATCCATCCTCGACATCGCTACGGATACAGTTGGTCACTTTTGACGTGGTTGCAGGAAGAAAGCTGACCCGCCCGCAGGAACAATGTCCGTCACGGCGGGCACTCACACCGGACACTGCCCGGCAGGCATTGAGCCATTCCTTGAAAAATTGACAGGAGCCATGACGGCCAGGCACAGAGCACTACGTATTGACATGCCAGAAGGAAAGATCGCGCGACTCGTGCAGAGCATGCAAGTGTATGCGCCTACGCCAGCGCCGACGCTATTACGGAGAGGAAGCATGGCCCATCGATCGATTCCATCCCCCTCCACACCTCTTTTGATGGCTCTGGACCTCGATGGGCACCTCGTTCAGTTTTTGCTTCGACGCTTGCAGAGCAGCTCCTCGGCGAGTTGACTCGAACACTGGCGAGCTAATCGGAAGTTGAGGCCGTCTACCACGGCGACTACCTTACGCTGGACATGCGTTGCTACCAGAATTCGAGGTTGACCTGCCACTGCCCGCCTACTTTACCTAGGTAGCTTCGACTAAAACTGCATGGTCCTAGGCGATGGGCTAGGAGGAACCTTCCCAATCCAAGCTGTCGTCAACTTGTTCGTCCGAGACTAGGTACGCTGTTGCACATTTGGCTATTCGTACGCATGCTGTGGAGGGCCAGGTTCCGAATGCTGCGTTCCAAGAATCGATGTGAGGGAGGATCCTGATTCAATTTTTGCCAGTCAGAAAAGAGACGCACAAGGCATTCAGGCAAGAAAGAAAATTTACCATTCTCCGGCATATGTATATTGCATGATTCTCGCCCTTGGATCAGAAGAGAGTGGTCCAACATGAGCATCATCCTGCCGCGGCCTGTGTTACCTCTCGGAGATTCTCATGCCGAAGGTATTCCGAAGCCTCGCATTTGGCTGGAGCGACTCAGCGAGAACGTTTTGGCGGGGCAGCCGTGGGGAAAGCTTTTTTTTTTTCCTTCCCTCTCTTCCAGAGTGGGACACGTTTGTCAAACGTGGGAGATCTCCGTCCCGAGATTTTCCGTTGCTTGAGACCAAAGCCCACTGCCCAGAGGGCCCCCAGACGGGAAGCATGCCGCTAGGATGAAGCGAGGTCGGAAAACCAAGCGGCGGAGGGGCGGACATGCGCGTTCGACGGTCGCTCGAGACGAAGAAAAAAAAGTTAAGGCGAGGCGCCGAAGAAGCTAGCTGTCGTGTGGGGTGGAAAGCCTGGAGAGTTCCACAGAGAAAACGGATGCGCCGTCAACATCGTTCGGTTCTTCTTCACATGTCTCCACCGAAGCCGGCATCTCCCAGGATTCTCGTGGCTCTCGGTGATAAGTGTTGGCAGCATGGAGTCTGATGGACCAAGTTCAAGACCAACAACAACCGTCGCCACTTCTCCAGCCCCAGCTTTGTTGCCTTACGTGAGTATCCGTATCCACGACCACGCAACGTAAGGAGCAGCGGGAAGCCCAGGCAGAAAAGTCTTTTACGGATACGTCAACCGTCAACGGCCCTTTGCGCACAGCCATCCCGCGGAAAGTGAGGCAAGAGGTGCCTGCTCAGCCAAAGAGGCAAGAGCTGACGAAGACGAAGGCTTCAACCTCCATCAATTGGAGGGGTCAATGTGGAAGGCAAGAGGAGCAGAGACTGGGGGAAATCACAAGCAAAATGGAAAGAGGCGTCTTGAATCAGGAGCCACCAGATCTTGCATCGTTTTGAGTTTTGGCAATCGCTCGCAGATTCCCCGGCTTTTCTCTTTGTGTTGATGGAGATGTTGGAACAAGTTCGAGGCTTGTGATTTCCCCCCCTCATGGAGTTCTCCCCCGCAATCCCGTTCAAGATAGAGTTCAGCCCGCATCAACCCAGCGCCGCGAAACCACCTCACCTTACCTTGAGGCTTGTGCTGTTCGAACAGCAGCAGCAGCAGCAGCAGCAGCAGCAAGAGGCACAGTCGTTGCTCTACCATATGATTGCCCAATCTACTCTAGCCCAGCTTTGAGGACCATCCTCCGGGGCGGGATACTACATCATCCTACTCGAGCCTGTGATCGAGTATCTCGCACCGCATCGCATCGCATCACATCGCATCGTCCGCTTCCGCCTGCGTCTCTCAGTCATTAATCCGTCCATACGCCAGAAAGGAAAGACATTCCGTAACAGGGCAGGCCAATATCCGTACTGTGCCTATGATGGACGGGTCTTGAGGGGCATGGGCACACAATCACATAGGCTGGTACGGATAGCGCAATCTTGGTCCTCTCCAAGTGGAGCAGAGCATGTCATCGTCGAACTGTTGTCTCCCTCGTCCTAGGCCGAAATCGAACGAGGCAGGGCTTCCGTGCATTGGCTCTTGAGCTTCTTTCCCAGGATCACGCAGCCAGGGGCGGTTTTGATGCGATCCAGTACCATGCGGAGAAACGGCCCAGAGTCTCTCGCTGACGGCGCATCAAGGGAAAAGCAGACACGCAGGTACCGATACATGGGGAGCCGAGGCCACCCCCATGCTTCCAGCCCCGGCCCATCGTGACAACCTGCCCCCCCAGGAACCAGCACCAAGGCACGCCGCACCATGACATGCTGCCTTTTTGTGAAGAGTTGGCTCGACGGATACCTACCCCACACTGCGAAACGCTCGACGGCGAGAAGGCCGACCTCTCTCCTCCGTTCCCGCCGCTCAGGATTCCCCCATTCCAGCCTGTCAAGCACTGTGAGCGTGTTCTTCCGAACCTGCCACAGCGGTCGCTCGAGCCGCTGATCCGCAGAGACCCTGAAAGCCTTTTGGCCTTTGCTGAGTCGCGAGACGAGGTGCAAATCCCCTTCCCCCCCGCCTCAGATGGGGGAAGATGTACCGGTACTTGGCACATGGAGGCCCTCAGTTACTGCTTTTGGCGACGTTTACCGCGAGGCTTTACGCCTGACGCTTGTGCCTCTGAAAGTACCTCCCCGCAATGACAAACATCAGGTCAAGCAGGCTGCTTGGTGTTGATCTGGGCTGGGCCATGCTGGGTCGTAGGTGGCTATTGGGGTTGATGGATAAGCATGCGTCGTTGTCTCCTTGACGAGGCAAAGAGAGGAAGCCGAGGCGATACGATAGGCGAAGAGAGTGAGGAAGAGAGAGAAGGAAACCATGCAGACGGCGGTTCGGCGTCATACCAAGCTCTCGCTCATTCACTCACCCTATCCACCTCCATCTTCGGACTTATTATCGCGGCTCCAGGAGTTGGTCGGGTCCAGGGCAAAGAGCGTCATGGATGAGACGGCGGGAAATAACGTGAAGACATATGGAGTATCGTCCCTCTTTTTTCTTCCCTCTCCCCGCTGGGCAGAGGAAGACTGAGAGAGGGAAGAAAAAAAAAAGAACTGGAGATAAGATGGATTCTTCAACCGCGGCTACTCTCCGTAACCGTGTACACTTACTTTGGCAAAGTAAATAACCAAACCCGGACAACCATCTCGGTCTTGCGTCGGTAGATGGGAAAAAGCAGACGACACAAACTCGCGCACACACACACACCTGCACACACCTCTGATATTATTCTCTTTATCCTCTCGACTCGCCCACCCCAAGCTTTCCTGGCCCAATTACCACATTTATCCTATCCCTCCCACACTCCTCCCACACTTTTAACTGTTCAACCACACCCACCCACGCTCCTCGTCTGGATCAAAAGCAAGTCAACTGGACAACCCGCGAACCAACCCCAATCAAAGACAAGCCCATCACATCATCACTCGCACACCCACACACAAACCCGTACGAGCTGTCTGTCCTCTACTTCGTACTTCGCACACAATAGACTACTTGCTCCAGCCTTCTTTCGGCTCAGAATCCTACATAGACTCAAGCAAGGAAACGCTGCTGCTACCACCCACACTATCCCGCATACCTACGCAAGCAAGCCCGCGTCGACTACCGACTCACACTCGCCTTATTCTGTCCTCCAGGCCTGGCTCAGCTGCTACACACTCGAACGATATCCCACACATAAGAGTCGCAACATCCCTCCGCGCCTGACTGTGGTATCGCCGATCCCCCTTCTGCCTGTCTCACTTCTGCGAATCACTCTCTCTCCCTCTCCCTCTTTCTATTTTGCCAAAAAAGAGAAACCAAAACTTGGCCTGCCTCCCGCTCGGTTATCTGCCTCTCAACGCACTCGCTCGCTCGCTCAATCTATCCACCGACTCGTTTGGCCTTGTTACCCGCTGCCGGAGCAAGGGTTGGTAATCCGCAATCGCGCCGAATTCCAATATTGCCCATCCAATATTGTTGCAAGCAAAGACAAGCGGTCCCGCAATTATAGCCTGTCACCGACAACCCAGGGTCGTCCCACGATCACTTTAAACCAGCCGCCGTCCTCACCCACACACCCCACGCCTCACGGCATTCCCGCTGCTCGTTGCTTGGTCTTAAGTAAAATCTCAGACACTACACGTACTTTTTTCGTGTCTACCTACTCCGCACTCACTGTCGACTATCCTTCCTTTTTTCACAAAAGGAGATCTTCCGCACCTTCACTCTTGTCGGACTTTTCCCATTCCACCCTTCTTAGCTTCTTGATCCCGCCTTTTCCTCCTCCCCACCCCCTGCCTGACATCACCTACTTTTCAGGTACCTGTGCTACTCGGGGTCTCACATAAAGAGTCAAGATCTGCGCTCCGAAATCGAAGATCTGGGGAATATAATACCACCAACCATCCATCGCCCCCTTCTCCGACCTTGGTTCCTGGCACTACGCAGTAATCATCCCACACCCGAATACTCCAACCCTCTCTCGTCATTGAGAGAATCGTATCACAACCACAACAACATCTCGAAAATCATCAACATCACCCACCACACACCGCCCACCATGAACGCACCAATCCAGTCTCCCAAGCGCCAGGACTCCACGTCCTCCATCTCCTCCTCATCGTCGCACATGTCCACAAACCAGATGATGGCGCCACCCCAACCCAACGGCCAGCAGCCCCCTTCAACCGAGGCCTTCCTCCGCGACTTCACTCTCGTCGCCGAGGCCGCAAAACGTGCCCAGATGGCCGTCATGATGCGCGACTTTGAGTCTTGCGGGCTCTCATAGATGGATGCCGCATTCTGTTCGGTTCACGCAAAGAAAGAGTCCGAAAGCGACCGAGGTTTTCCCATCGTCTCGGGAACCTTTTTCTCCAACTGGCTCAGACCGTCATTTTGAGGAACGAATACTCCGAATTTCATCGGATGAGAGGACCCCGCTGAAACGCTGTTACGGGGCCGAGAGGGAAACCGAGGCACCGCGCCAACGCTTCGGCGGAGTCGGGGCAGAGGGGGACCAGGGCGAGAGAGAGAGTTTGCCGTGCCATTAAACCGACGACACTGGACTTCCCTTAGCTCTTCTTCCCCTCACCAGATTCAGGCACTGGCGTGGCCTTCCTCGGCCCATCTCTTTCCCTTCCTCTCACACTCTCACTCACTCGCTTTTCCTCTTCACCCGCTCGCTGCACGACATTTAATCGACATTGAAGTCTCTGGGGAACTCTACACGGTTTCGCATTTCTTCTCGGTGATTAGAGGCGGGGATAGACAAAGACTCATCTCATCGGGTTCATTTCACTGGGGGTTTTCTTCATGATAAACACACGCAACCACACTACTACACATTCACACAACAAATGGCGTACACGGAACAAACGGGGGGCATAATTGCATTGCGGGGAATTTCGTTTTGATATCACGAATTCTGGACACGACTTTTGGCGTTTTAGGAGGGAAGAAACCTGGGCATCTACCACGACCCAGTTGAATTGGATTCCGCTCACCATTTTTATTTACTATTTTTCCTGTATGAATACCACTGAGGAGGACAAACGGTCTTACCTAGATCTTGCTTTACACGTTTTGATTTATAAAGAAATATGGCCATTCTATCTGGTCTTTTCCAACACTCTTTTGGGTTAAAGATCGCGGTATCTCTAATGTGACATGGCCCCAATGATTGGCTGCCGTTCGCTCTCCTATCTTTCCTTCATATTCTTGCCGTGATCCTGAGCCTGTAAGAATGAATCAAAACCCTTTGATGACATTTCCATTTACACATGTCTACACTCCCAAACATGCCCTCCCCCAGGCACCATCTCACAACTTGGAAGCCAACACAATCCCGCCGTCAACAGTAATCGTCGCCCCCGTCACGAACGCGCCCGCCCGTCCGCTCAAGAACAGACACGCGCCCGCGACGTCCTGCGGCGTCCCGATCCTCCGCATCGGAATCTCCTCCTCGATGGTATCGCGCATCGTCTCGAGCGTGGCCGCCATCATCTTGCTCTCAAACGGCCCGCAAGCCAAGGTATTGCTCGTGATGCCCCTGGGCCCCAGTTCCCTGGCGAGCGCGCGCGAGAGGTGGTGCAGGCCCGCTTTGCTCGCGCTGTAGGCGTACGAGGAGATGAGCGGGACACGCAGGCCGTCTACGCTGCCGATGTTGATGATGCGCGAGGGGTCGCCCGCGCCCGCGCCGGAAGAGGCGGCTTCGAGCAGGGGCGCGGCGAGTTGTGTCAAAGTGAAGACGCGCTGGAGGTTCAGCGTCAAGAGTTTGGTCCAGGCGGCGTCCGGGTACGTTTCGAAGGCGTCGCCCCACGCGGCGCCCGAGTTGTTCACGAGGACGTGGAGTCTGCCGCCCGTCTGCTTGGCGAGCTCGTCAACGAGGCGCTTGCAGTCGTCTAGCTTCTGGAGGTCGGCGGGGATGGCGTGGCATTTTCCGGGGCCTTTGGCTGTGAGGGCGGCGGCGGAGGCGGAGCAGGCTTTTGCGTCGCGGGAGGAGATGTAGACTGTCGCGCCGTTTGTGACGTAGCCTTCTGAGATCATGTAGCCTATTCCTTTTGCGCCGCCTGTTACGAGGATGTTTTTGTCCTGTGTGGGAAGGGGGGTTAGCTTTGTGTTTGGGGGTTTGGTTTCGGAGGAGGAGAAGGATTTGGGTAGTGAGAAGGACGAGGGAGAGGGAGCTTGATCTTTACCTTGACGTTGAAGAGCGATGCGACGTCCATGGCTGCTGATTTCCTACTATTTCGTTGGGGAGGATTGCGTTGTTGCTTGAGCTTGACTTCTGGTACAGGTTCAATTGTCAAGTTGGAAGAAATGTCTAATCGAATTGGAAAGAGGACCGAGAGATGTAGATGTAGAAGTACGAAAGACAAGGGTACGAGAGCTATCTTCGGCCGATATGAGAAGGAGAGAGCAGCTTTCGGGGTGCGGTCGTCTGAGCTTCCCCCAGTTGCGAAAAATGAGCCGAGGCTCACGGTCGTTTGGAGGGGTCTAGGCCGAGGGCGCGTCCCCCCGACCCCCCGATAAGGGGTACACTGCTTCTTACCCCGGACTGCGCTGCGGGGAAAGTATACTGCATCTTTTACCACGCGACAGCTAGGAAACTTCGAGGTGGAGAGATGCAGATGCGACGTTGGGAGCTTTAGGTTTGCTGCATTACCTACATATTGTATACGCGAAGCTGCAGTCTTGATCTGAATTACTCATCGTATCCTATTCCATGGTTCACGAACCTCGCATGTTTGTGCATTTGAGTAATATCGATTACTTGTATGTTCAAATACCTCAAGGCAAAACTATGCTAATGTAACATAGACATGCCTGTTCGTCTCTACTTGACTATCCGTTTGCCCAAAAGTCTATTGTCATGGTCATCCGATTAAACCGCAACCACCAACGCCATTGCTCAATTTCAAAATTCTTTGTTCCGTGCCGGCGACGAAGTGCTGATGCTGCCGGAGTCGAGGTCTCCCATACATTCGCCGATATCGATAATCCATCTGCACGAGAGCCATGAGGAGCACATGTACTATCCAAGTATAACCACTTGTACGAGGTTGTACGATGGACGAGACCGCCAACGTCACCGGTGTTCTTCCATGCTCGCCGACATGATATCCAACAGGTAACAATACTCACGACGTCGACGACCTCGGGCTGCGCTTTCTCATAAAAGCCGGCAACCGCGATGGCTTCTCGCCGCTCTCAGTCGTGTTCGTCGTCTTCTCCGGCGTGTTGTTCGCCCCGCCGGCGGCAGCAGCGGCGGCGGCAGCCTCCCTCTCCTTCCTAGGCGAGCAGCAGCAGCCCATGGCCATGTGGAGGATGGCGGCGAGGTCGACGAGGGCGCTGGCGAGCCACATGAAGACGAACATGCGCACGCCGAGGACGGCGCTGATGTTGAGCTCGGACTGCTGGGTGAGGGCGATCTTGGCGCCGACGCTCATGACGGTGCCGATGATGGAGGCGACGGTGACGAGGAGGCCCGTGATGGCGGCGAAGATGGCGATGGGCAGGCTCCACCAGCGCGAGCGCATGACGAGCGGGGTGACGATGAGGAGGGCGGCGGCGAGGGAGATGCCGGAGATGAAGAGGCCGAACATGACCTGCTGGCCGATGCGGAGGATGTTGAGGATGGTGCTGACCTCGGAGGGGAGGGCGATGGTGGCGCCGGCGAGGAGCTCGTTGGTGAGGATCTCGATGGGGTTGAACCACCACATGCGCTGGGGGGTTGAGCAGAAGGTGACGCCCCTGGTTGATGGTGTGTTAGTACGTTCATTTCTACGATTGAGACACCTGGGATACACTCACTCATCGTTGTAGCCTTCGCAAAAGTTCCAGAGACCGACTTGGTAAAAGTCGTGGAGTCCCAGGCTACGGGCTACGGAGTTGAGGAGGACGGCGTTGGCCGAGGAGAGCGGGATGATGTCGGAGACATCGAGTTTGAAGAAGTAAATGTCCGTCAGGACAGGCTTGATGGAGGTGTTGCCGATGATGACGAGGATGAGGAAGATGATGGCGATGAAGTAGCAGACGGCTGCGGTGATGGCGCTATTCCGGCGGACTTTGGCCATCGTGAGGGTCTGTATTCGGAGCTTGAGACTTGAAGAGGAGGAGGAGGATTACGGTCTTCGAAGGAAGGCGGACTTGGAACCGGAATCTGGGACCCGGGGATGATGGAGTACAGTATACGGAGAATCGGCTCCTCTCTCCCCAGATATCTCACGTAGATGCGCGTGTGAGAATAATGGAAGATGACGCGGTAGGGTAACCGGAGCTCTCTCTCTCTCTACCTTTGCCGATGGTCCGGAGAGGTGACGAAAAAAAGGGAACTGAATAATACCCGGGGGACTCGTCCTGTTGAGCTATCCAGGCGCGGTCGTACTCGAGAAAGCCGTCCGTAATCCAAGAGAATTAGGCGTAGGCGTAGGCGTCTCGGGCCAAGGGGCTATGATGCGAAAAATGTAATCGGCCCTACGTGTGCAAAAAGGTTGGCGGAGCGGAGAGGAGTCGGGAAGCCAAAGAAGTGCTCAAAGACGGATAATGACGATGAGCGTCAGGAAGCTAGCTCGACTGATCGAATCCACTCGGCAATTTTGTGTCTGGAAGATGGAAAAGGAACAAAAACAAAATGATTCCAGACCGGGCCAGGCCGTCACAATAGATTCGATGGAGTACTCCGTAAACACCCCTGAACTCTGGAGCCCTGGTGGTTGGTAAATACGGACAAGGCGTCAAAAACTCGAGGCAGAAGCAGGGCCAAGACACCGGAGCCAAACCTGGATGGGCAGATGGATGGATGGCCAGATAGAGAGACGAGAGAGGATGATAAACAGAGCGGGACGGGTCTGGTTGAGTTGGCATAAACCCAGGCGTATCGCTGTTCTCCGCGGGGGTTTGCTTTCTGTGTAGAGGCTGAGGATGGTCCAGGTGTTTGCATGGGCCACTGACAATCGGACAGGGAGAATGACGTCGTAGCAACCAATATCTTTTTTTTTCTTAGGCTCTCTTTTTTCCCTTTCTTTCTGCTGCTGCGTTTCTGCATTGGATCATCCCAGCGTTTTTCTTGCTAGCGGCGCGCCACGGCTAGCGGGTCCGTAGGTATCTAAGTGGGACTCCGCTGCCTCATTCCAGGTTGTGCGGTGGGGTCCATCCACCTCATGTTTCCAAGCTGCCGTCCATCTCCATTTCGTCTCACTCACTCACAGTCGCTCATATTCACAAGTTCACGGTCTTTTCACAGACAAGAACTCAACTCAATGGATAGGACACACAGACTCTCCAGTGACGGCACAGACGAATGGAGTACAGTAGTCGATAACTACGCAGTATGCACTGCAGCATCATGGCTCTCCTCGGGGCTACTCCTCGGGGCGTCAAAAAGGGGAGAGAGACATCAAGTCCCATGGCACCGCCGCGAGATCAGGTATCCGTACGTCAGTACCATTCTCCGTCCAGAACAAGATCCCAAATGCCTTTCCAGTTTCGGGTTCCGAGGGGCCTTCTAAACGAGCTTCGCGCGGCCCCCATACTTCGTACGGATACCCGCAACCACCACCGTGACCACCGCCATCCCCATCTGCCCATACGGAGTACTTCGTACAGCACCGCCTCCAAGCCTCCTCGACGAGTTCCAGCCAACCGGGCCGTTGTGTCACTCTCTCCGCGGGCGGGCGATCTGTATCGTTTCGTGGGATCTGTAGCCACTCCTCAGCTGAAGTGGGACCATCACAACTGACAGCGGTTACTAAGCGCAAAAGGAAGTTCGGCAAGCCACTCGAAATGCAGCAGATGGAACGGCAACAACTCAACAACGACAGCAGCCCAACCCACGACCCATCAGCAAACCAGGTGCGTACCTAGAGCCAGACGCCGACTGTGTGAAATGAGATTTCAATGGGTGGATTGATGGTTGGGTAGGGCCGCTTCCTCCTTGTTGCACCATCGACCCGACTCCCGGGCCCCGTACGGATGTCCCCCGTCCCGCCCTGGGTCTCCTGCAGGTTGCATCTCTCTTCTTCCTATTCGCACAGAACAGATATACGTGTATTGTGCTCATCACTTTGACATGGAAGTTGATGCTCATCGCTGAGGCATATCCAAGGAGAATGACCCACGGAGGAGGGGTGTCGAGGTGTTCTCTCCCAGGGACCAAGTCAGAAATAGTTTGAAAATTCCCCGTCGTAGCATCCAAGGGTCACGATCCCAGCAGGGGACCCAGATAGATGTCTTGACCTAAACAAACGAAATGAGGATGGGCGGCAAGTGTTGAGCCTAAAACTCTGTTTTTTTTTTATTTCTTTACCCCTTCTGTGATCTGTGATCTTCCTGATCTACCTCTCAGCCTCAATGACGATGGTCATCGATGACTGTTGTCCATTTTTTCCAGCTTGCCGGATCTTTGTTTTGCAAACATGAAGAACAGTTTGGTGTTCTCGGCTTCCAAGGAGACAAAGGCGCGTCCAGCAGGGCCATCCTGCACGCGCGTCCGTCCCCGCCACGCCGGCACAGGAGCCGGTGATCGCCAGGGATATCCGTATAGGGCCCCCGGTCCATGGTTTTCTGCGCTGTCCTCTGCCGCAAGCCACAGCCGCAGATATGCAGTGGTACCGTAAGGTAGTCTGGTACGGATGGGTAGATGGAACGGCGCGTCCATGACTTGACCTGCTGGCCATGTGTTGTATCGGGATTGTTGGTTGGGTTACTTGCAGTCAATAGTTACCAGTCTTTTGACAGTCTCTTGACAGCCTCTCAACATGCCAAATACAGTCACCTGCTGCCTGCTTGCAGTATACGCACAAAATAAATGTGACAGAAAGATGCAGTGACATGACTGCGTGACCCTGTCGAGCTGGAGCTGCCGATGAGATGACCAGCAGGGACCCGGCACATCCCCAGCGATCCTCGCAGCAGCTTCCGGTGATGGTGGGTCCGTCTCGATGGGGCTCTGTGCTCCTGGTGCCCACTACCTACCTTACCTGGCCAATGTACCTACATGGGGCCCGGTACCCCTGCCAGTCTGGCGGTAGCGCCGTATGGGGCCTGGGCCACCACCCCTCCAAGCCTCCAAGGCGTGCCGCAGGCCGCAGGCTGCAGAAAGAAGAATGTCTGGGCCACCCCGGGAAAAACGAGGAAGAAAATACACAAATATTATGTCATAGCTGGACGTAGCTGGAAGTCTCGACAATTGGCACCAAGGTCCAAGGAAAATAGTCGTCTCCTTCAGAGTCCAGGCTTCTCGCTGCTGACTGGCGCAGCATTGGCAATCGACCGCACCTTTCCTCTCTCATATGTGAATTCTCGACTTTTTGTTTCCGCCTCTGCCGTTGTGTGACGAAGAGAATAACGCCTCGAAAAAAGAGTATACTAGGCACCCTAGCGTGCTTCTGCTTTTCGGCGGTATTTTTTTGCTTGGGGATCGTCATCGAAACTCTCCTCGTCCGATAACCGTTTTTGGCTTCTGTCTCCCGTCTCCCGTCCCTCGCTCAACTCAAATCTCTTTGCCCCGAGGGGCGCACCGTGGTCATTGCGTCTTGCAGCCATCCCAGACTCTCTCAAAGTCTACTCCCAGACCTCGAATAACATACAACCATATCGAGCCCGATAAACCACCCCTACCTTACCTTACCTGACCTTTCACTCGAGAAACAACAACATTACGACTTCTCTTCCCTTTTCTCGCGGCCACTCCACCAACAAAGTCCTCGCCAGAGAGTCTGCCTCGCCCAGCATGACAGGACCTCTCTTTACCCTCTCCCTCGGGCTTCTATCCCTCTTCGCAGCCCAAGCCGCAGCTCAAGACCAAGTCAGCACGAGCACCTTCACCCTCTCCAACACCGACGACGTGACTTTTCTCTCGGGAACCAAGACCGTTGCAGTCACCCAGCCCAGAACCCCAACGGGTCCCTACGCAACCTATACCTCGAGAATCACCCTCACGAATGGAGACCTGTCCACCATGACCGGGACCATGACGGTCACCGGCAACGTCACGCAAACCACCACAAACTCCGTCGGCCAGTCCGTCGTCATCATCTCGGGCCAGACCTCCGTCGTCACCTCCACCATCACCGGCACCGACGCCAATGCCACCCAGACCGAGACCGCGCCCGCCGGCCCGACAAACACCCAGCCCTGCAACAACTACGTCGAGTTCTGCGACCGCAAGTACAGCAACGTCACCGAGGTCGGCTGCCACAACTCCCCCTTTGTGCGACCCGGGAACTCGGCCTCCAACCAGGCTCTCGATGTCACCACACAGCTCAACGACGGCATCCGCTTCCTCCAGGCTCAGATCCAGTGGCCCACCAACGGCACGGTACCGCACTTTTGCCATTCTTCCTGTGACATTCTCGATGGTGAGTTCTCTTTGAAATCAAACTTCATCTTCAAAGAGCCCGCCAGCTAACCTTGTTCCACAGTCGGCCCCATCACCGAATGGCTCACCACCGTCCGCGAATGGGTCGCCTCGCACCCGTACGACGTCGTCACCATCCTCCTCGGTAACGGCAACTACTCCACCCCGGACCTCTACGCCCCCTTCATCGAGTCAACCGGCATCCTCCAATACGCCTACCAACCCCCCTACCTCCCCATGAGGCTCGAGGACTGGCCCACCCTCTCCCAGATGATCTTGGGGGGCAAGCGCGTCGTCATGTTCATGGACTACATGGCCGACCAGCAGAAATTCCCTTGGCTCCTCGACGAGTTCTCCCAAATGTGGGAGAGCCCCTTCGACCCCATGGACCGCTCCTTCCCCTGCACCGTCCAGCGCCCGCCCGACCTCTCGCAGGAAGCCGCCCGCGACCGCCTCTACCTCATGAACCACAACCTCAACGCGGAGTACAACATCTTTGGCGCCTCCATCCTCGTCCCCGCCGTGTCGCTGCTCAACTCGACAAACAACGCCACCGGCAACGGGTCCCTCGGCGGCGCGGCCCAGAACTGCACCCGCGACTGGGGGTTCCCGCCAAAGGTGCTCAACGTGGACTACTACAACTACGGCGACCCCGAGGGCTCCGTCTTCCAGGTCCAGGCCAAGATGAACAACGTCACGTACACGCGCGAGTGCTGCGGCAAGGTCACCGGCGCGTCGCCCGGCCGGCCGACCGCTTCGGCTTTGGTGCTGGGTTTGGCTTTCGCCTGCGCCCTGCTGCTGGTCTGAGATGGCCAATCGTAAAACTTTTTAATGTCTTTTTGATAAATTTCCCGGTTTCACGCGATGAAAGCATGTCTGGCGTTTTGGGGGCTTCTTTAATGCATAGACGGGGTACATGGAGGCCAGAGGGTATTTTATCTTGGTGAATTGTATGGTCATTTTTGGAGGCTTGACTACTTTACAATAGGATGCTGTATTACAAGGCTTACCAATGCATATACAATCCAACTACTATATTGACTATACTGATATTCCAGATTCTTGATATGTTGTTTGAGTTGAAACTAGCTGCTGCCGGAGGATGATGACCATGACTGACTGCCCTCTCTTTGGGAGAGAAAAACTGACATCTCGATTGAGAACATGGCCAACTCGAAACTACACAACTCCATCGCGGCCCACAGAAGAACTATTCTCAACATTCGACTCTGAGATTATAATGACGAAATACGGATACCTGCCTCCCGACACCAATGAACTTGGAGGTTGGCTTTCTAAAACCACTTTTCAACAGAAACTTTCCCAATTTTCCCTCACCCCCCCACCCCCCCCCCCTAACAGCAGGACGATATTTAGCCACTATTGAGCCTTCATTCGTATCATAGTCCAAAACTTTTGTTTTCCTGATGGTTTTTACAAGGACTGAGAAGGATCCAAGAATGATCATCGTTGACTTCTTTTGTCCGCCCCCTTTTCCGTCGGTCACTTACGCATGACGTTCAACCGGGAAGAAAACCCGAATGCCAATTTTGATCAAAATGACTTGTTTTTGGATCTCCAAATCGCCCACTGGATAGGAGACAAAAGCTGACAGTTACGTACCAGCGCAAGAAAGTATACGTGAAATCTATTATCTTTTTTCCTCTAAACACTCTCTACTTTTAATGAATGCTGAACGCAGGGAGGGAGAAGGTAAGCTGTATCAGGAAATGAGCACACAGAGTAGACATTTAAAACAAATATATCTCCTAGACCGACAGATATATCTAAACATCCAAATCGCCGACAGATCATAGAATGGGGAACAAGGTCCTCTCACATGAAATCCAGTACCATATCATCGCCAGAGATCGAGGCTGCATGCACCTTGGCAATCTAGATATCGACACCAAACCCACTTGGAATATACACCAAATCGAAGGGGTGGAATACACAGACGGAATATACACCGGACCCAACCCAAGACCAGGCATACCTCCCCCCCCCCCCCTCGCCTTGCCTCATATCCAAATCTCCCTCCCTCCCACCTCAACCAAGCCCAATCGATCCCCCGTGGTCGAGCGGTATAACGCCCTGGTCCGTTAGTAACAGAACTTGGTATGAAATCTCGCGAAGCTCTACAATTCCAGATTTCGTAAGGTGTCCCAGTTCGATTTCCGGACTGGGCACCTGAGCTTTTGCCTTTTTTTTTCTTCTTGTCTGCCCTCTTATTTTATCCCACTTGATTCCTTGTTATGCTTTAGATTCTCTCCATGCGAGAGACAGAACGCTCGCTTGCTTGGTAACCTCGGAATGCAGTCTTTCCATACATCCCTACATACCCTGGCTCCCCTCGTTTTGCGAGGATCCCCCGATCGACGTGAATTGTTTATACCAAATCCATTATCGAGAAGGGGCTCTCATACATCGATAGTAGCTGGGTTAACTAACATCTTTTGCACTCTGACAAAATGGCTCAAGGTTTCCCATATCACACGGATCTCGCACGTAAGGAATCACCATCATACCGACAGCATCCAGAAACCACCAGGCCTCTACAGAAAAACACCAAAAGTCATTGAGGATGTATTTGTTTGTGCAGCGGCGTCGTTTCCGCCCAAAAGGGGAACCGACCGACCGGCCTATGTAAGACTCAAACCCTTTCCTCTGCCGCATCAACCAATGCAAGAATCCATCCCCCGCAAAATAAACCAGGACAAGTATAGTCTCTCCATTCCCACTCCAAGACGAAGCCTGACGCCAATAATATGATCGTAAGAAGCAGAACCAAAAAAAAAGCGCGCACAAGAGTGGAAGGGGGAGGCGCGTCTTCTAATAATTCACACATGGACAGTGAAGGAGGGAGGTGGAGTACCATCCGTAGATTTACCCCTGAAACAAGTCTAAGCAGCAAAGTAGCGTTGAGGCTGGCCTGTGAATACCGCCAGCCTCTAAAAAGGCTGGGACTTTGGGATATCTTCGATGACGTCCTGTAAGGAAACAAAGGCGCCTGGTCCGCCATTTTCCCGCAGATCATCAAGCAGCACGCTTGTCTGGGCGTAGACCTTTTCGAGCGCAGCGCGAGAAGATTTGCCCAATGATACTGTTTAACGTTAATAACTAATCAGCATACAACCGGTGTCACGGGAAAAACTCACATAATATCGCCGAGTTGAGCTCCTCTGCCACCGCAAGTCGACCTTTCCTATCCAGCAGGTGTGCGACGTCCTTCTCCTTGAGTGGGTTTGCGTAGGCAAGGAGCGCGTAGATGTCCGCCAGGTGCTTCGTCACCTCTCGCCTAGGGTCGTTCTTGAACTCGGCGTGAAGCTCCTGACCGTAGAGCAGAGTTGCTATCTCGAGCTCGTTGATGTCGACAGCCGGTTCGTTGGAATCCTCAGTGTCCATCTGATCCCAAGCGCCGTTCTCGTTACCGTTCGCGTCGAGATCCATCGCGCCCAGATCACCACCATGGCCGTTGCTCTTTTTGGACTCTGACGCAGCCCTCATCTCAGCCGCCGTACGGACCATCTCGATGAACTTGCGACAGCGCAACCGGAAGTAAACCTGCTCGTTGTCCTTGAGAACTTGGGGATAAAAGGCGTTGGTGTGCTTCAGCGCCCTATCGATGTCGCCTTCCAGCACAGCTCTCCTAATTCCTATGTGTTGTCAGCATATAGACGACTTTCCCGCCAGTAACTTCACGTACTTTGCCGCTTGTTGGCATGCTCGTCGTCCTTAACATTAATTCCCTCAATGGGAGCATTCGGGTCGAGACTGAGTGCCTTCTTTTCTGCGTTGATTTCCTCCGCGAATGCCCTCGCCGTTTCCACATAGCCGTCATGCTGCAAGAACTGAAGAACGAGCGCTTGTATCAATTCTGTCTCGTTCATCGCTGGCGCTAAGCTTGCTGTACTTGTTTCCGAGATTTCCCTCTGGATACGTTCTTTTTCTTTCTGTGGTGCCAGAATAGTCAGTGATGTTTCCCTCAAGGCTAATGGGGATTCCGTGTATTGATATCGGAATGAGACTTTGATGCTATGCATCCACAGTAAACCACGGCTGACAGGTGCCAATAGCAAGGGTTACTGAAACTCGAGACAGAGGATAATCGAGGGCAGAACAGCATGGTAGTAATAAGACAACCAGCATATAGAAACATTCGGGAGTAGAGGTGAGGGAAGGGACAAAACTGACCGTCATCATGCCCTCAATGTCGAAAACAAAGGGCGTTTGACCAAAGTTGACACGAACGTGCTCTCCCGACTTCTTGAGACCAACTGTTGGATAGAGGCTGCTGCCCTTTCCAATTTCGCGAAAAGCGGTACCTAGAAAAATGAGTCAGTCATCAATAGGAGCGAGGGACTGGGCTGCAACCCAGACATACCCAACATGTGGCCGTTCTTTGTGAAGAAAGCACAGCCAGTGCGGAAGTTGACGCCACAGCCGATCACATCAGACGCAGTAAACGGAGGCCCGTAGTTCTTGCCGCCATTCTGCCCTGCGTAACAGTGTCCATCGTCGCTGTGGTAGCCCCACGAGTCTGGCTCCCAGCCCGGGGGTCTTGAGAGGGCCACAGTCTTGGCCGAAAATCCGATGCCAATCGTCATGCTAACCAATCGTCAGAATACTCGTCACAGACCCCACACCAGAGGTCATAACCTACTCATCTCTTTTGCCTGACAAAACCTGGACCTCGAAGTAATAGATACCGCACTGCGGAGGCATCGGGTTGTCCGCACGTATACTGAACGCCTCATGATCCCGCTCCGTCTGGCCCCGGGGCCCAATGTAGCGAACTTCGAGCCCGTCTGAAAGAATATCGAGAGCACCGTACTTGTCGTCCCTGTTCCACCTCGTAGGTAGCGGGGTAAACGCCTCATCGTCCTCGAATGCCGCGGTCTTCTCGATAACGTCGTAATTCACTCCTCGATGCGAGGCCGGCTTACTGTGAAGACTGACGCTGCTCGCGCTCGTCGTCAGGTTTCCGCCGGGCTGTGCCTGGGCCGTCTGAGACTCCTTCTGCGCCTGTACCTTTGCAAAGTGCGCCTCCTCTAGCCGCTGTACGTATGTCGATCCAGTCAAATACGATGGCACGAAGAAACCGCCGTGTCCGCTTGCGCCGCCTGGCCCTCCGTTCTCGCCTGACGGGTTCGCCATGAACATATCAAAGACCCTCGAAAAGGACGGCAGATTGTTGGCACCCCGCGACAAGCGCGCAGACGTGCCATTCAGACTGGCGCCGTTCCTGTCTGCGTCCATATCGCCGCCCCTGCTCGAATCGTGGTAGGCCGAGGCCGGTTCGAAGGTGATGTCGTCGGAGTTGTTGAGGATCTGAGAGATGACCGAAGTTCGGCCGGGGTGGGAGAGGTAGGGCGGGTTATAGTTTGGTGGTGCTCCGGAAGCGACTGAAGCGTAGGAGAAGCGGCGCGGCAGAAGACCAGAGCTTCCCGTAGGCGTGTTTGATTCCGTGTAATGTGCAGAACCATGGAACGGGTTCGTCATGGTGAGGGGTCGAGGTTCGTAGAGGGGTCGACCAGCTCGCGGACCCGTGACGTCTCGTAGGCAAAGAGGAGCTTCGCAATGCCCCCGAGAAGCCGCAGTCCGAGCTTCTTAGGATGAGGTAACCAGCGGCAGGCGTGTCTCTGTCTGAGTATCGAGTGATTGGGGTCTCGAATGGGGTCTAAAAGGGTGGTCGGTCTGAGTGACGGGATTCTAGTCGGGGGTCCAAGGAGCAATCGGGTTCGGAATGGCGTGCTAAGACGGAGGTTCAGATCGGTCGAGAGGCACTACTATGATGTGGGTGTGGAGATGGTTTGCCGGGTAACGGTGAAGTGCGTTAGTCAAGGTTCATTCCGGTGTAGCAAAGCAAGTGAAAAACAGCCGCGCGAGACGAGTCGTTCGGAGGAGGAGGGGCTAAAATGCGGCGCTGGACAGCTCGATTATCATGATAACGCAGTGATGAGAGATCGGAAGATGGGGGTTGAGTGAGGTCAGGTCGGGGTGCTATCGCTATGTGGAGTACGTGGGCGGCACACAGGTGACAGCGTGAGGTGAGGTACCGGCAAGGAGCGGGATTGCTGGCGAGGTACCTTACGTGAGTCGGGAAGAACAGGCCAGGCAAGGTTGTTGTTGTTGGAGGTGGTGGTGGTGGTTAGCGGAACGTGTGGAGTGCGCAGGTGCGGTACGATGCAGTGCAGTGACGGAGGTGAGGTTCAGCGCGCGGACAAATGATAGGCGCCCCCGGTGTTAAGACTGGAGAGAGGCCTGGTGTGCTGGAGGGTTTGGTTTGGCTGAGGTGCAGTGCAGTGCAGTGCTGGGCTGGTCTGGGCTGGGCTGAGCTGCTTAGTTGGGTTGGCTTGGCCATGTTCCGCCCGAGCGTGTCCCACCCGTCGTCCCAGTGCCAAAGGTCTACGCCGCTACTACCTATGGAGGCATAGGTAGACAATCACGAGAGCAGGTCACTGTGAGAGGCTAACCCGCCAGTTGAGGCGCCAAACGGGGTAGCCAGTCGCAGCTTGGAGCAGAGCAGCCGCAGGATCCCCCCCTACTGCAGGCGAGACTTGTCAGGCTTCATTGGCACGGTGCTATCGGGGACTAGTCTGGCCAGTTACTGTGTAGGCCGTAGACTCCAGACTCGAGATATCCGTAGAATGCAAGCCAGAGAGTGTGCCCGTGGACTGTCGAGAGCAACCTGAGAATGTGTTGCGCTTGTCTTGGAAGCGAAACACGCGGCTCCAGAAGGAAGCATCTCCGGATTGCGGTTCGCAACATGACGGGGCTGTTTCTGCAGAAACTGAATCTCATTTACAGTACCTAGGTATTCACCTAGGTAGGCGGAAACGATCTGGCCAACATGTTTGATACAATAACGAACAAAGAAGACCTTGGGTAAGGTCACCGAGGTGGTATTCGTTGCAAGCTTTCAAAGAACGGGAATGCAAGTAGAAACGTTATCGTCATGCAGTCAAGGAAACACTGTGCTCCGCTGCCGGGGAACAGCGGCCAACGTGCCAGCCACAGCCTGCCAGGTGCCCAGGTGCCTGCCTTTCCATCCAGGTTGTCTGGACTCCAGGATGGGTGCTTCAACTGCAGCTCTCCACCTTACCTAAGCCAGGTCCTTCCCAGCCCGATTCGATGCTTATATAATGTCACGTGGCCGGCACCAACCACCAACGTCCCTTTTCCCGGCCTCCTCCATCACAAAGAGGCAAACGAATCTTGATGGGGGAATCATGAAGGGAGGGACCAGTGCTTTTTTTTTCCCCGCGCGCTTTCTCCCGATGGTGGGTTCCCACATGTCTCGCTGAATCGCATCAGCAACCTAACGCCCATCCATCCGTGCCTACCTTACCTCACCGACAGTCGCACCCAGCATCTCCATCTCCATCATCACGGTTCTACGATGCACTTGGTCCAAATGAGTAAAGAGTAGGTGAGACGCTGACCGCTGCGGCATGGCCAAGGATTGCACCAATTATCACGGTCAGTGCATACATACTCTACCTCTTCGGTTTCTAGCCTCCAACGTGTCTTCGTCTTTCCCCAACCAAAGCTCCTCAGCTGAGAGAGCACTTTGCATCCATGCCTCATCTCCGGTCCATATGGGACTTCTCACATCCGAGGGTCTCGGCAGTAGGCACAACCTTACCAACTAATCCAGCCGGCTCCCTTTCACCGAGTCGAGCCACCTTCAATCACCAGACATTGTGCACTCAAAATGATTCGAACGTTTATGAACTGGTTGGAACGGCATCAATTCTATAGCCGATGGTCGTTCCATGCATGCGCCAACTTGATAGTATACACTCTGTGCCTGCCCAGGCAAACGCCGTAATCCCCATGGCAGCTACCGCGCTGAACCATGATATTGTGTTTCCGTAACGCCGGCGAGCTAATGCTCCGTGATGACTCCCATCCAAAAACTGCATCGACCATTCAAGCCTTGATCAGATGTTGCAATCATTTTCCCTCTTGATCCTTTAAAACTCCCAAGCTGTTTGGAATCTGTGTCGAGGACCCTCCTCGATGTCCCAACGAGCCCAAACAAAAAAAAGAAATGTCGCAAGCGAGGACGCAGCTACTACGCGGCAGAGATGGCCATTGGGGCCGGAGAGCTAGCAGGAACGCTGCCGGGCGCGCTCCGCATCTCGACGTCGGCGCCGCTGTTGACGGCACTATTGGCGTCGCTCTTAATTTGATCATTCTCCTTGTTCTCCTTGGTGCTGCTGTCGGCTGAGGCGGCGGCAGAGTCCTCGGTGGTGGGCTCGGGCACGAACTTGGGCGGCGCGGTCCATCGAGGAACCTCCCAGACGATACCTGTGAAGCTCTTGAGGACGAAACCGCCCCTCGCCCATTTGCGGCAGGGTTTGCCGCTTCGGTCGAGAGCTCGAAGGCCGGCGTTGATGGCACCTTGGTTGGCCTTGGGACCCAGCTTATGTCCAGCAGCGCCACCACGGGCATTCGGGTCGATTGTTCCATCCTCACTACATGATATGATTAGCAAGGAGTCGATGTAGGCAGCGGGCAAAATGGGTATACATACAGTCTCGCCTTCTTCTTGGGGCCAGGCTTGCCGCGGACCTTGGGCTGTCCATCAGGGCCGAGACCATTGGCAGCACCAGCACCACGCTTGGTACCCTTCTTCTTGACCCCCTCGGTAGGAGGGCCCATGGATGTAGGTGCTGGAGTGCCATCGCCAGCGGGCGTGCCGGGATTTGAGTCGGACGCCGTCTCGCCATTTGCGATGGCAGGAGCTGCCAAGGTGGCCGATGTGGCGGGAGAATCTTGCGCTTCTTGTGTCTCCTTGTTTCCATTCGTCTCCTCAACATCCATCTTGACGGGCGAATCTTCCTTTACATAATCGGGATCAAGGGTCCGCTTCAATTTTTCGACGTCGACAGTCAGGGTGATAACGAGGCCGCCCTTGCCTCCATTGGACTTGCGTCGACTGACGGATGCAGTAGGTGCCATTTCGAGATGGATTTGGGCGGGTTGTGTGATGATGGATTGGGTGGTGAGGGCGAGGTTTGGTTCAGGGCGGAAAGGATGGGTGAAGAGTTGGAAGATTGGCGGCGCGGCGTCAGGAAGCTTAGTAGGTAGTAATGGCTTTGTCGGAGATAGCTGCTTTGATGAATGGGGTGGCGGACGGGCCGGGGATCCAATGGGCCACGAGTTGTGATCTGGTGGGTAAAGGACTGGGCAAGGTTGTGGACGGTGGTGCGTGTTGGGTTGGTTTTGGTGGTGAGCTGGAGCGGTGCGGGTTCAGGTTCTCCTGGGTGCGGTGCGGTGCGATCTGTCTCTCTCGTGGGTGGCAGATTATTTCGCGTCGGCGACTCGCACAGTCGAGGGCGATGATGCGAGGCAAGGCGGTGATGGGCGATGGGGGTTTGGCGATGGATGGAACGGGAGGGTGGAAGGGTTGATGAGAAGGGGGACAGAGAGAATTTTTATTTTATGGGGGAATCCATCTGGTAAGTTTGGCGTCTCATTTTCGAGAGAGCGCCAGAGCAGGCGGCGTGACAATAAACGGTTCTCATGCTGCCTGGGTTGGGTGCGCGGTGGTGCTGGGTGCGTGGTGCGTGGTGCTGGGCTCCCGTTTCTCTCTCTCTCTCACCCGCGCTCAAGAATTGACCTCCAGCTTTCGCTTCCTCTCGCGCACCTGCCACCAGCGCCGCAGTTGTGGGTAAGCGAAAGGAAGACCCGACCAGTAATCTGGGGGGGCCGTGACCGGAAAGGGATGCACGGGTGGATTTTTCTCCCCCTTCCAGAGGTACAAAGGTACATACCATACCTTACACCTAAGGTAGGTAGGTACGCAGGATGTATACATCCATCCATCCAAGATCTCACTCAAGGTGAGGTCCCTCAGAATCCAAGGGAAGCCGCAAGGTAAAGTTTCGTTGGTCCTCGCCATCCAAGGATCTTGGGCCTTCGTGACCTAACCATGGTTCATGGTCCAAGTACCTACGCAGTAATAATCATTTTACGTGCAGCTGTCTGGGACTCTGGGCAACCTACCTTACCTACGTTAAGGTACCTTACCTTAAGGAGTAATACGGAATACCCAAGCACAAACTTGAAGTGAACACTCATGGAAGGAGAACAAGGCAAGATACGTACCCCGGCACCCTCCGTCCGTCGGCCGGGGGCCATCCACGCACCGCGCTCCCTCACGTCAATCAATCCCGACACCAGGGCCACCAAAAACGTGGACTTTCCGTGCTTGCTCTGGCTTACCTTACCTAGTAGGTGGTTTGACGATGCGTGTGGAAAGGCATGCCGGGCTATCTGTCTTGCTGCATTTTGCACCAGTTTCTTTGATTGTGCCCTTCCAAGTGCCCCTTTCCCCCATTTCGACATCTGACCTCCCGTTACCTCAGGCTTCAGCAGGACATTCAGGATGAGAATGGAAGCTCACCTCAGTAATATCCACTCCAGACACACACATGCACACGCACACACCCACCACACCTTGCTTCCCCCTCTTCCCCCCTTATTGCCTTCATCTCTTCTCGTCACGACCGTCCGTAAATGATTCCCGTCCTTTCCCCGGCCCAGTCCTTGACTTTCCCTCACATTCTGCGCATCTCCGTGCCTCAGGCGGTCGTCCATCATCTATCCCCATCCTCCCATCCATCCATCCATCCCGACTCCTTCAATTGCCAGGCCAAAGGCGAAACACTTTACGGAGCACTTTCACACCTCGCGACAAGGTCCAGCAGTCTACTACCCATTTGGGCAACGCTTGACTCGAAGATTGACGATAGAACGCTACCTTTGCATCTCCACACACAATACGTTCCCAGTAATTCACCAGCCGATGATCCATGACCCTTTCAGACTTTATGTACTATCGCAGATTATTTCCCTCAGCCTTCAGCTCCATGACACAATCAGCCCGTCTTGGTCGCTGGGCATTCGGGCCATTATATCATCCCGCTCGTAAGCGATAGATGCATCTTGCACCACGCTTCCAGCACATTTCATCTTCCGACCTTTCCCATGCGGTACGGTTATTTCCAGACCAATTGAGATGGCTGCCAAAGACCGCGATTGCGAATTTGTGCGAAAACGCCATGCAAAAATAATCACCACGGGATCTACGGGTTGTCCGTACTGGCGGTGACACGAATGGGTCGGCGAGCGAGGATCAAGGCGACAGAAATTCAAGTCTCAAACTAACAAATCCTCATCAGACCCGATGGGCCCAGGTCTGCGCTTGGCTGGCGCACTACGATACTTGTCCAGGTCGGCCCAGAACTCTGAATTGGTGATGGCGACCTGCAGGCTTCCGGCCGAGCCTGGAATTCCCTTGGATCCCTCGTTGGGGCTCGAACCTTAGTCACCCTGGCATCTCTCTTGTCATCATTTCGCCTTCCAGAAGCAATCCGTGTCCGCCGCATCAGAAGACCATGGACGCCGATAGACAGTTGTCAGCAAACGAGGTGACGAGCTGCGTAATCTACTTTATCAATACGAGTAGCCATGATAGGATGTGCTTGATGCCATTGCATTGCATGCACTGTGAGGAAAGATCCAGCAGAATGACTGCCAGGCCGATCCGAGATGGGCACCTTGCGACCGCCGATGGCATCTGCACCACAACCAAATTGGATCCTCTACGGGCTTTGATAAGAAGGGTTGATTGCTGGAGGCACCTCACAACCTGCCTTCCTCTTTTCGACGCCAGACAGGTCATGAAAGAGGGCATATCACGTTCCACGATGCACTTGCACGGACTGTTTAGTTTGAGGTTCTTCTGGCATCATGAATTTCAAGCGACAAAGTAATAAGTATGCGTATTATCACATCGGCTTCTCGACCAACTGCGCCCCAAAGAACTTCGTGAGACTGGACCTCGGGAAGCCCTAATGATTGAAAAAAGGGGGCCAGCGAGAACTTCCGCGTCTGCCGTGGCCTCACTTCCCTGTCAAATGGGTTCGAAAAAATGCTTCCAACCCCAACTTCAATCCCACTTGGCGAGAGCCAATCGTGCTTCGAGATCCCAAACAACCCATCCCGAGACCAGCAGAAGTGGAAGTCCGGGTGGTGCAAGCCTGAATGGAAATGAGGTCAGAGCTCAGCTCCCATCAACCTGTACAAAAACGTACAATGCCACACGAATGAAGGAAGAAAGGCTCCTCTGTTTCACAGCACGCCGAACCTGGTCATCGCCAGTCCAATGATGCTTCTACAACGAAGGACCAGTCAACCGGCCGGCGTGTTACTATCCTTCAACCACCTGGCAAGCTGTTGGTGGAAAGCATCCGGTGCCAGCAGATACCTGAGAAACGCAAGAAAGCCAACCCGTATAATTAAGTAAATTGCGTCGTTTCATCAGATCAGTGCAGCCGCTATCGATTATCGCCAACGGCATCCCCCAAAGCCAAGATTTATCCGGTCTCAACTGTCTTCTCAGGATGATTAAGCTGCTCCAGGTGCCGAGTGTCGCCCGACAGCGGATCACCGCCACTGACAGGAAGCGGAACCTGCATCGTCACCATTCCAAAGCCAAGTTTGTGCGTGCATCCTCGAATTCAACACCGCGCGTGCAGCGCTCCACAATCAGGAGAACATCTTCCGGCGGCGGCACATTCGTCACCACGGCCAGTCTAGCCGTGCGATTGTCTCCTCGTCCCGATCATCCATCGCCGCCGCAAGCCATGGAAAAGACCAAAGAGGGAGATAGCGACCCAAGCTATGGATTGTCCTATTTGCAGATTGCCTACTTTGGTATTGGGCGTCGATTCTGGGAAAGACACAAGCGTTGTTTCCCCTTACTCACGGCCGCCGTTGATCCGTCAATGAGCGAGGGATGATTTACCTTTGGAATGCATCTGCATCAGCGACCACCGAACGGTCTCTGGAATGCGTTGCTATGTTTACATTGTGTGCGACGCCACCTTGCTATATCATGAGCTCGAGAAGTCTCGAGACCTTGTTTGAGAGAGAAACCATCTCTTACTCACCTTAAACATTCCAATATGCATCTTATCAGCAAAATTCTTTATGTCTGCGTCGCTTTACACGTCGCCTTTCAGGGCGCGTCCGGCGCGATTCTCCGGGGACGAACCAGCGATGCCGATTCTAACCAGCTTTCAGCAAGTGATTTCCAAACTCTGAGCCAGGCCGCGGAGGATCTGAACAGTCAGCTGGATAACTTTTTGCGAAACTGGAGTGGTGGTCACCGTAAACCCGAAACCGAGGAAACCACAACCATTGTCAAGCGGCAAACGAGTGGCGTCTCGATATCTGCGCAAGACCTTCAGGATCTTTTGAAGCTCATCCAGTCCATCGAGCGGCAGTTGGCGGCGATCATCGCTGGCAGCACTACGGCAAGCGGGACGGTGGCACCGGCTCCGTCAAACACCGTCAACAACCCTGGGCCGGTTGCTTCGTCGTCACCTGCCAATCCAGGTGTAAGTTCTCCTACCCCCAGCCCCGTTCTAACGAACACAGGAAATGGCGGGCCGCTCACCACGGCATACGGGACGTCCGTCTCGACCGGGACGCGGTGCATAACGACCATCACCCAAACGTTTACCGAGTATGTCAATGAGGACGGAACGACAGCCGTGCCTGGGGCTCGCCGATCAGTCGTGGACGACGTCGAGGTGGACGTCGAAGAGGACGATGAGCCTTGGGTTACTGCCACCGTGCCTCGGGACATTGAAGAAGACGATGAGTGGGAGCCTTGGGTCCAGTTCGACGGGACTACCACCGAGGAAGACGAGTCCGATGTGGGCTTCACGACGCGCGATTCCTGGACGGAGCTGGGTGTTAAGCGTCGTGATCCGCTGGGCGAGACCAGTGGCCCTGGGCTCCTCTTCGTTCGCGACGAAGAGGGAATTTGACGGCGTCGCATGGCGTCGAAAGGTAGGCTTGGACACGCAAATGCGAAGATCGTCTTGGCTCACTGTTTACAGTACATGATGATTGAGAGACCGTCCACGGACGACGTTGAGAGTGGGCAACGACACATTATGATGGACGAATTTCGCATAATGATTTTCACGACTTATTTACGACATTCATTTGGCATGAGATAGACGAAAGCATGAGAAGCATTTGTACGGAGAAGAATGCGAGGCGAGATAGACATGTACGCTGTTTTTCGGCATCTCAACTACCAGAACGGCAACGGCTGGGAAATTCTTGGATCGGGTTTTGTGTATCGTACCGTACCTTCAACAGGCGGCGGGCACACCAGATGAAATGACTATGAAATGATTAGACGGGCACACTCCTTTCAATGCAACACTGCGACCAAAAACCTCCTTATCTTAACAATTATCAGTCTCGTTTGTGTGTGAAACCTGTTAGCGTCTCAGTGCAGTTCAGTTGAAGGGGGGGGGGAAAGAGAGTCCGGGTCCGTGTGCCAAGAGGCCGGAACGGTTCCGGCCACGCCGGCAATAATCGGTCAATAAGTGGGGCTAGAGAAAGTCAATACTCAACCACCGCTCCAGTCCCCAGCGCGCCTGCACCGGTCCTAAACTCGGCATCTCCAACAACAACGACGCCGATAAAAAGTTTGACCTCACGAAAAAGGAAAGGAATGCATGTAAGGTCATCAGGGTGTGATACACGATGTGGGCAGGATCAAGGGTATGTGAGCCAGTTAGATGCAGAGGTATTGTGCTTATCATGGGGTGCAAGGGCTTGGCCAGCATGAAAGAGACGGAGATGGTGGGAGCGAATCTCGGGTCTGGGCTATCTTGATGACCCCGTGTGACCAGAGATTAGGATGATATGACAAACAGAAATAAGGGAACGGACTGGACGGGGACGGACGAGACGGACGGGGGGTGGAGAGAAAGAGGGATTCGTGTCATGGCCGGAGGTGCAACCCCCTCACTTGAGGCCGGAATCGATTCCGGCCACGAACTATATACACGGCGCCGAGTGGCGGCAGGTCGACGAAACAAACTTGCACTCCAACTCATTCAGCACTCTTGCATCGAGAAGCAACTGAGAAAGCTCGATTGGAAATTATTTGGCATTTTTTTGCGAATTTTCCGCACACTTTTACATACCCATCTCACTTACACGCATCTTGGTGAAGCTCATCTTGAGACCGACTTACACCAACACAAACCCCAATCATTTTCCCCTTGCCCAGACATCCATCCCACACTTGTACACACATAACCACACCATCATCACTTCATAACCCACATCCACCAACCCGCACTTACACACATCTCCCCCAACCCATCCCATCCAAACCCACACACACCTACACACCCCCATCTATCCCCGCGTTTTTCAATCAACCTTATCCATCACAATGGGCTCAATCGACTCCACCCCCTTCCCCGTCCTCGACGACCCCCGCGCCTCCGACACCTCCCTCCCGGCCTTCATGGTCTCCACCACCCGCGGCTTCCTCCCCCGCGCCGACCCCGTCGCCGTCCTGCCCGCCGAGTTCGCGCCCCTCGAGGACATTCTCGCGCGCATGCCCGTCAAGAAGCTCGACGGCACACCCGGTCTCCTGGCGTCCTCCAAGCTCGGCGAGACCGTCGACGCCGAGTTCCCGGACCTGACGGACGCCATTGACCAGTACAAGGAGAACCTGCCGCTCATGAACGCCCTGTACCGCGACTACTCGTTCCTCGCGTCCGCGTACCTGCTCGAGCCGTGCCACGAGCGGTTCGTCCGCGGCGAGGGGTACGGACTCGCGAGGGATGTGTTGCCGAGGAACATTTCGATGCCCATTGCCCGCTGTGCTGAACTGTAAGCCTTCTCTCTTCTCATACGATTATACCGTACTCGCATCTAACACCCGTCATCAAAGCACCGGCTTCAAGCCATGGATGGAATACGCAGGCTCCTACGCCCTCTACAACTACCGCCTCGAGGACCCCTCCAAGGGCATGGAGTACTCCAACATCCGCCTCATCCGCGCCTTCGAGCACGGCCTGGACCCGACCTCCTCCGAGGCGGGCTTCGTCCTCGTCCACATCGACATGGTCAAGAACACGGGGCCCCTCGTCAAGGGCACGATGGCCGCCCTCCGCTCCTCGGTGCCCACCACCTCCCCCGTCCCCTCTCTGGACCGCGCCGCCCTCAACCAGGGCCTGTCCGAGGTCCTCGCCGCCCTCCGCAAGATCAACAACACAATGGAGACCATGTGGGACAAGTCCCGCCCGCAGAGCTACACCAGCTTCCGCACCTTCATCTTCGGCATCACCAGCCAGAGCATGTTCCCCAACGGCGTCGTCTACGAGGGCGTCAACGACGGCAAGCCAATGTCCTTCCGCGGCGAGTCGGGCGCCAACGACTCCATCGTGCCCCTCATGGACAACCTGCTGCAGGTGCCCATGCCCGACACCCCGCTCACCGAGATCCTCAAGGACTTCAGGTCCTACCGCCCCAGCAACCACCGCCAGTTCCTCATGCACGTCAAAGACCGCTCCCTCGAAGTCGGCCTCAAGGACGCCGCGCTCTCCACCAAGCTCTCCGCCGACGGGCTAAACGCCGAGGAGAAGGAGGCCGTGAAAGAGTCCCGCCGCCTGTGGCTGCATATCCTGCACCAGGTGCGCGACTTCCGCTGGCGGCACTGGTGCTTCGCGCGCGAGTACATCCTCAAGCGCACGTCGCACCCGACGGCCACGGGCGGGAGCCCCATCGTCACGTGGTTGCCGAACCAGCTCGAGGCGATTTTGGTGGAGATGGAGGATCTGTACGGGGCTGTTGGCGGTGCCGAGGGGGAGTGGGATCTGGGCGAGGAGATGAGGGATGTGATGGACCTTGTTGCGCGGCAGAAGACGACGCTGAGGAAGGAGGTGGCCAAGTATTGTGCTGAGAGGGGGGTGAACACTGTTCTGAAGGCGGAGTCTTGATGGGTGGGTGGTGTGGTGATTGGTGTGAGAGGGGGGAGAGGGGGATGGTAGACAAAGGGAGTGATGATAAGCTGCGGGCGCAAGAGCATTTCAGAGAGAGGCGGTGTGATATTGGCTCGTCTCTCCGGAAGCATATACAATTTCAGGCAACAAAAGATCTATTACTTTAAACCTCTATAACTGCCGTGCCCCTTCATCGCCATTCTATAAGATGAATGCGACTTCAAGGGGCGCAAGACAAGCAAATCATAAAATCTCGTCATTTATTCAACGCCGCGTCCATGCTCTTCCTCCACTCGGGGGCCTTCTTCCTGAGGGTCCAGACGCAGACGTAGCCCGACACCCACGCAAAGATGCCCAGTATCGTGAAGAGCCACCCGTTGCCGATGGCGTTGATAACGGGCTGCGCGGCAATCGCACCAATGCAACTGAAAATGTTTCGGACAAAGTTGTTGACCGCCACGCCTCCCGAGCTGCGTTTGGGCATGAATTCGGTTAGCATGGTCGTGGCGGCGCCACTGGTGGTTGAACGTTAGCCGGAGTCGGAACGAGATAAGATGCAAAGAAACCGCCTCAGATATCATTGGTGAGAGGGAGAGAGGGAAAAGACTTACAACACGAGCATCGAGCTGGCGCCAAACGTAAACAGACCGATACACGGCACAAACCAAAACAGGCCCTTTTCCACCACCCAGCCGTAGTAGATGAGCGAAGCCGGGTACACCGTCGCCGCGATCCAGATATTCTCGCGCATCCTGTCCTCCGGCAGCAGGATCAGTTTCCCGTCGGGGTCGTACCGCCCCGCCTTGCGGGCCTCCCTCGCCATGATGACGTCGAGCCAGCGGCCTCCGAGGAGGGAGGCGAGGAAGTAGCCCAGGCCGGCGGGGAAGTAGAAGAGGCCGATGATGAGCTCGCTGAAGCCGTAGGGGGCCTGGGACAGCGTGGCCTGGACGGAGATGTTCACGACAAAGAGGGCGCCGAAGGTGACGGCGGCGAACCAGACTGTTATGGCGACGGGGGGGAAGCGGAGGTACAGGAGGACGGAGAGGGGGTCGATGAAGGACTTTTTGAAGAAGGCGGCTGCTTTTTTGGAGTGGACTTTTACGGATTCTGTTGTTTTCGTCCGGGCGAGGGCGTTCTTTTCGGTGCCTTCTGATACGAGTTGAGACTGCTGCGGTATCGCCACAGGTCTGGGACGCGCGAGGGTCTCGGGCAGACAGAACAGGATCATGACGAGGACGAGCCCGCCGTAGATGGCGAGCGTCCACATGGTCGACTGCCACCCGAACCGCTGCGCCAGCGCGCCGCCGATGATCGGTGCCAACAGGGGGCCAGTGAGGGGCCCGAGGTAGAAGATGCTCATGGCCCGGCCGCGCTCGCGCGGCTCCCAGATGTCGGCGATGGTTCCCGCGCCGACGGCCTGGACGCTGGCGCTGGCGCCGCCGGCGAGGAGGCGCATGACGATGAGCATCTCGATGTTTACGCTGACGGCGGAGAGGATGGAGAAGAGGACGAAGAGGGTGAAGGATAAGAGGTAGATTGTGCGGCGGCCGAGGGTCTCGGAGAAGGAGGACCACCAGAGGGGGAAGATTGCCATGGCGAGCATGTAGAATGCTACCGAGAGGTTGGTGATTGTGGGGGTGACGCCGAATTCTTTGGACATTTCGGTGAGGGCGGCTTCGTTTTGTTAGTATAAGGTAACTGAATTGCAAGGTAAGATACCATATAGGGTAGTACTCACGATAAAAGATGGATGAGCCCATGGGTGAGACGGCCGCGGCGAGAGCGATGATCAAGGTGATTGTCCATTTCGTCTTGTTGGTGTAATTATACGGGTTATCCACCTCCGGGATGGTGGTGAGCTGTGCGAGAAACCCACGCCGTTTAGACCGGGCTACGATAGAGAGGGCGCGGGAGCGGATGGACGAGGCCCGGGACCGCGTTCTCGCCGGGGCGTTGTCGGCTGCTGATGGGTCCCCATCTACTCCCTCCACCTCCCCGTCCCCCTCCGAATCGGCATCGGCATCGGCCCCGGCAGACTTGCGGGACCGGTCTCCGTTCCTCCGGCCAATTTCTGTAATCTCATCTTCGCTGTCACTCGATTGGCTGCTGCTGCTCTGTTCCTCGCCGCGGCCTGGGTCTTTGGTTTCTTCCGGCGGAAAAGAATCCTTTTCCGGATCGTGTGATGTGGTAGTCATCTTTCTTCCTCTCTTGATGAGTCTTTTTCGCCGAGTCGGTGCCGATGTGGATACGACAGGAGGAAGGGCGCGAGAACTCAATGCCAGACGGAAAAGCTCACACAGCGATTCAACAAAACCGCCTTGGTATGACAGAGAGAGGGAGAGATAAACAAAGTCTCGTCACTTGATCTTCAAGACTCCACAGGACCAAAGAAGTAAAACATTAGAAAGAAAGATGGTAGAGAACCGTCACAAGAGAAAAAAATGACGACAAGGAAAATTGCCGGGGACCTGGGCCGTATTATGAATCGGGTGTTGTCCGGCTTTCCCACCCCACCCCACACCCATCCAGGGCTGGTCGTGTGTCCATGATGGCGGCTAGCCGTCTTCAACCCAGAAACGTGCTTGTCGGCTACCGCTACCGCTACCGCTCCGCAGTGGAGTGGATCGACACCGCGCTCGGCTGTGGGTAGCCGATGTTTCGAGCGCGAGGGGAGAGTGAGATGCCTCGGCGGTGTCTGTTCTGTATGGTGGATTAGTTGTAGGTAGGTATGGCGAGCTTTGGTAGTATGATGCTTCTCCCTCGTTTAGCGGAGTCATCGAATCGAGCACTTGCGACTATGAGAACTTGAGAAGACAATCCCCCAATTCCCATCAGAAAGGTGGGAAGATCGGCACTGGCCGTTTAGTATTGCCGTCTTTGGCCCTGTTTCCGGCTTGTTACCGCTTAGTCAAAGGCGCGAAAGGCGTCCATCGGCAATGGGGGGATGAGGTCCATTGAGCTAAATGGGGCATGCCCCGAATCTTTTCGGCTCACTTCTTATCGAGGGTCTATTTCTTATCAGGCGGAACGGGTAGCTCCCGCCGCGGAATGGGTCCCTGATGCCTCTTGAGAGGGTCGGAGGAGACTGTCCAGGCCTGGTCTTCGCGGAGTGCATATCATGTACCTATGTCGCGGTCACCTGCATGCCTTGGCAGTATCCCGTCGTGGGTGAAGTAACACCTAAAAGTAGAAGGTTCTTGACACACAGGGACGTGAGATGAAGGGCGGATGAACCACGCAGTGAACCAGGTTGATGAGTATGGGGCAAGCCGCAAACCTGGAAGATTTTACAATCGCTGACGTTGCCTCAATGTACCTCGGCTGGGAGGGGGACTGTCGCGGAATGTCCGACAGTGTAGGAGATGGTTGCCAGCCATCCATGACTCGGGTTTTGTTTGTAGTTGCTAGTACGGAGTAAGATGGCATTGTAACCAGCTGTTTATAGAAGCTGAGCCTGAACTTCAGATATTTCGAGAGAAGTGACTCCATGTTGCATCGAGACCAAGAGAGAACCCAAACCCAAGAATGTTCGGGGCACGGATAGTGACAGTGACATTCCCAAGGGCATCCAACAGAGCGGGTCTGGAGCAAGACTTTTGATCCCTGTTCTTATGGCTGGACCAGTAACAAGACTGAGAATCGAGCTGCCGAAAAGAGATGAGTAGTCAACATCGTATTGATAAGTGTGTAGTTGAATGAGACTTGAATTTCTGCCTCTGGAACAATAAGGTTGCTGAATTAAGTTTATCCATGTGCTATTGCAGTCTGGTAGAGTTGCTTCAACTCAATTAAACAACCTTTAACCTCTCTGCCCAGTCCAGTCTCGCTCACCACTTCTGTTCCCCTCCGAGTGCGGGGCTCTCCAAATTTTCATGGCCAAACATGCTGCCCGCCCAGTGGCGCACCGCACCCTTAACCACCTCAGTCTAATTACAGGCCCAGCTGTATCGAGTCGCGAATTGACTCATACCGAACTCACCTGAGCTTGTAAGTGTAGACAAGTCAATAAGTCTTGCACTTTTACTTTCAGTCCAGTTAAAGGCGTCAAACTACTACACACCCAACATCATTGGACAGGAAACTCATCCGCTCACCATGTCCCTCACCAACGCCTCCCCCGTCGATGCCGCAAAGGGTGCGAAATCGGCCTCTCACATCCTCGCGACCCTCCCTGCCGAAGCCCGCAACGATGCCCTCACGGCCATCCACGCCGCTCTCGCCGAGGCCAAGGACGACATTCTGGCCGCCAATGCGCGCGACCTGGAGCTCGCCCGCAAAGCCGCCGCCGACGGTCAATTGAGTCAGAGTCTCGTGTCCCGCCTGGACCTGGGCAAGAAGGGCAAGTTTGAGGATATGCTCAAGGGTATCTTGGACGTGAGAGGTCTCGAGGACCCAGGTATGTACTCACTCGCTTTACCTCAATTCGCAAGCAAAACAGTTCATTCAGTATTCTGACTCTCAGTATAGTTGGCAAGGTCACGCTCAGAACCAAGCTGGACGACGGCCTCGTCCTGGAGAGAGTCACCTGCCCCATCGGCGTCCTCCTCATCATCTTCGAGGCCCGCCCCGAGGTCATCGCCAACATCGCCTCCCTGGCCATCAAGTCGGGCAACGCCGCCATCCTCAAGGGCGGCAAGGAATCCACAGAGTCCTTCGTCGCAATCTCAAAAGTCATCTCCGCCGCCCTCGACAAGTCCCAGGTGCCCAACCCGGCCGTCCAGCTCGTCACCACCCGCGACGTCATCCCCCAGCTCCTCGCCCTCGACGACTCCATCGACCTCGTCGTCCCCCGCGGCTCCAACGAGCTCGTGCGCTACATCAAGGAGTCGACAAAGATCCCCGTTCTCGGCCACGCAGACGGCCTCTGCTCCATCTACCTCACCGACTCCGCCGACGCCGAGATGGCGGCCAAGGTCCTCGTCGACTCCAAGACGAGCTACCCGGCCGCCTGCAACAGTGTCGAGACCCTGCTCGTCCAGGAATCCGCCCTCAACACCAGCTTCCCCGCCGCGGCGCAGGCGCTGGTCGCAGCCGGCGTCACGCTGCACTGCGACGCCAAGTCCAAGGCCGCTCTCCAGTCCAAGATCTCTGGCGACGCGGCCTCCAAGATCGTCGATGCCAAGGACGCAGACTACGACACCGAGTTCCTCTCCCTCGACCTCGCCGTCAAGGTCGTCTCGTCGCTCGAGGAGGCGGTGCAGCACATCCACGCCCACGGGTCCAAGCACACCGAGTGCATCCTCACCTCGTCCGCCGACGACGCCGAGCGCTTCATGGCGGCCGTCGACGCCGCGGGCGTGTACTGGAACGCGTCGACGCGCATGGCGGACGGTATGCGGTACGGTTTCGGCACCGAGGTCGGCATCAGCACCAACAAGATTCACTCGCGCGGACCCGTCGGGTTGGAAGGACTCATGATTTACAAGTACAAGATTCGCGGCCAGGGTCAGGTTTCGTTGGCGTACGGTGAGGGAGAGGGCCAGAAGCCGTTCAAGCATGAGAAGATGGCTTTCTAAATGGAAAGGGGAGGCTGCGTGTAGACAAAAGGAGAGAAAACCAAAAGCATAGGACCAACGGCGTTAGGTAGGCATTGTGGGGATAACGAAGGGAACGAATGAAGAAAAAAAATCCAATGATCTATCTGCGTTGTTTTTCCTGAATGTTGTCCCCTCTGCTCGTTCCCAGTCCGAAATGTCACTCGCAGTCCGCTGCTGGAACCGGCCCCACATTAGACGGACGCCCGACATGGCCGGTCCCGTGTTGCTCCATCGGCCGGGCGCCATTTTACTTTGTGTGTTCGGCCCAGGTCTGTCACAAGCCAAACATATAGTAGATTTGGTATCAAATTGCTCTTCTGCAGGTCTCACAAGCGCTTCTGGAGGAATCTCTCAAACATAACTTGGCAACGCCTCAACTTCATGTGCCTAAGTACTTACCAGTACTTACCTCAGGTTTGTGGTTTTTAGTGTGGCCAAGCCCATCTACAATGTCTGCAAGAAACGACATCTATCAAAAGCTCAAAAGCAGTGGTTCATCCCCTTGGACACGCAAATTTGACAAAGGTTTTAAGGCTCAGAGAGCGGCATAAAATTCCCGAGAAATGGAATAGGTATAGAGGCAAAGGACCAATGGCAGGGCGAGTCGCCGTTGGACGTCTCTAAGCGCCGCCCCTCTTCACCTGACGCCGAAAAGAGTTAGAGACTCTCCCCATCGCGCTGGGCAAGCCCCCAACGATTGGACGACGGTCCAACATCGAAAGCTCACCAATACAACTGCCCACGCTTATTCCCATGCAGGCCAACGGGAAGCTGGGGGTGCAGGTGGCGGCGATGCGGCCACATTTCATGGCCATGACAGGGGGTGGGGGTTCTGGCGGAGCTTCTTCCTGCAGCTCAGCAAGCTTGCCGGGATTGCTCTGGCGCGTGGGAAGCTCCCTCTTTAATGACCCTGAACCCCGAGGCGCCCATTGTCCTTTTTGCGCGACAATTATTCTCTTTCTTTTGATTCTTGGTCTGTTACATTGTACTCGGAAGCTTCGGCGACTCAAAGACAAAGCGAAAACGGGCTTGCTGTTCGTGAAACTTGAAGCTGACTGTATCACGACGCTCTGCAATTGGGCTGTTGGGTGACAAACTGTAAGTGCGGGGCAGGCGATGGCGATGGCGATGCCCATGAGGTGGGATGCGACCAGCTTGGCGTGCGACTAACCTGCTGCCAGATCAACTCACCATTCTTTTCTCTCGATCTCTCTCAACTTGTCTTCTTTTCCCCTCGAGTCGGCCTCTTCTCGCGATAATACCCACGAAACCTACGCCGCCGAGGAGACGCGACATCCAGTGAGAGATCATGTCTTCCCAATATTATCCACGTAAGTTCTTCACTCTCACCCCGCCATACAGCAAGGCAATGAAACTCGTGCTGACCACCACTTCCAGCTCCTCCATCGGGAGGTACGTTTTTCCAATTGAGCGAAAATAGTGTCCCCGGATGAAAGCGCTGACAAAAGAATCAAAACCACAGCGCAGCAAAACTACCCTCCGCCGCCGCAATCCCCTCCCGCGAACCAGACAAAGTTCTCGTATCCTGCTCCTCCCTCACAACCTCAGCGCAGCCATAGCGGGAGCTATCCGCCACCGCCTCAGCTTTCACAAGGGCAGTCGCAAAACTATCCTCCTCCGCCCCAAGCTGCCGGACAACACAGCAGCAACAACAATAACTACCCACCTCCTCCTCAGTCGAGCACGCCCCAGAACTATCCGCCTCCTCCCCAGTCGCCCGGACATGGCGCGAGCTATCCTCCTCCACCGCAGGCATCGCCCAGCCAGGGGAGGGCGTACCCGCCTCCTCCACAAGGCACCGCGACGCCCTCACAGAACCAGGCGCAATACCCGCCACCTCCTGGTCTTTCTCAGCAACAGCAGCAACAGCAGTATCAATCACCACCTCAGCAGTCGCCGCAGCCCTCTCCCCAGCACCAGCAGCACCAACAGACGCAGCTTCCCCTACGGCAACCAGGCACTCCCGACTCGCAGCCTCAGTTCTCCCCTCCGCCTCCCGCCTTCGACGGACCGCCCGAGGCCTCCAGCCTGCCAGAGAAGCAGCACGTGGAGGAAGCACCAGTCGACACGAGCAACCCGTCCAACCTCGTGGGAGGCGCGCCCCCGCCCCAGCACTTCATCGGCGCCACCGCGACCGTTGACGACGTCGGCACCTTCAACGGAGGCAGCTACCGCATCAGCCACCGCGACAGCAACACCATCCTGACCGTCCAGCTCGCCATGGGGTGCCCGCTGCAGGCGAAGCCCGGCGTCATGGTCGCCATGTCGCATTCCATCACGCTCAGGGGCCAGATCAAGTTTAGCATGAAGAAGCTCGTGGCCGGCGCTGAGCTGGCGAGCTCGACCTACGTCGGACCCGGCGAGCTTCTCCTGGCGCCGCCTATGCTTGGTGATATCACTAGTCTGCGTCTCACGGGCAAGGAGACGTGGTCGGTTGGGCAGGACGCCTGGCTTGCTTCTACGCAGGGCGTGATCAAGGACTACAAGCGCCAGGGCCTCAGCAAGGCTATTTTCAGTGGCGAGGGCTTGTATGTGTACAAGATCAGCGGTACTGGACTGCTTTGGCTGACTAGTTTTGGTGCCATTATCCGCAAAGATGTAAGTGCCCTGGGCAGGTGTGGCTATATACGCGACGCAGCGTCTGACCGAAATACAGCTCATGGAAGGCGAAAAGTACGTTGTTGATAACGGCCACTTGGTGGCATGGAACGTGAAGTACATTATGGAACGAGTCGCATCCGGTGGTATCATCTCTGGCCTCTCCTCTGGCGAGGGTCTGGTGTGTAAATTCACCGGCCCAGGGACTGTCTTCATGCAGACGAGAAATGCGGTGAGTTTCTCCTCAACCAAGCATGCCATTTCATTACGCTGACGTTTTACACAACAGAAACATTTCAGTGCCTACTTGTCTGGACAGGCAAACCAAGGCATGTAGTGAGATGTATCCTAGGATGGGCTCGAAGCATGTACTGGCCGATGTTTTGTTTGCATACCTTGCTCTATCTGAGTTCGTCACAAGTTGGCGATGTTTCGAGTTTTCTACGACATCTAGCGTGTTAAAATTGATATCCTATCTCTCTTTATTGACGCGTGTTTTCTCTCAGCGTTCTTTCAGCAATGGCCATGATGCAGTATGACGTTAGACTTACCCTCAAGCTTGCGACAGTATTTCAACAACGATATCAAGGTGATGGTGGTTCTTGACTTGGTTCTTGCCCGACTCACTTCAGATATGCGCAGACTGTGCATCTTCCACAATCACTATACGCTAGAGTGGTTGCTCTTGGTCAGGCCTTCCCAGCAACGAGGATGGATGAGAACATGCAGCCTGCTGTTTCCTCACGACGATCCCGATGTTCCCCTTTCTTTCCTCATCTGCCACCACACGGAGCAACTTCTCCGGGCAATGCATCGACAAGCATATACATACGACCTCGGCGCGTTTGTTTCCCGCCAACCTGGCGCCAACATCTCCATCATCCGTCAACATCACACACCCACCACCTCAGCTCTCCAATTTTGGACACATCATCGCAGACTTAAGGGCCTCAGCGCATGTTTTTTACATCAGCGAAGAACTTTCTTCACCTCACTTTGGGTCTGTTTCGCCTGTTGACATCGCATCCTCTGGCAGCTTTCGGCTCTATTGTTCTGCTTCGGCCTGGACTTCCGTCGGGAACACCGTCCCTGCGATCCACCATTTTCAACACTTCCAGCCAACCTAGAGCATCTCCTCTTTCGTATGCCTCAGTTTTCCTTCTTCTTTTCGGGTAAGAACGTGTCACTAACAAACATGGCAGAGACATGGAGAAGACAGCGGTGGCATTAGCCTCTGCCAATTGGCGCAAGCCGTTGCTTCCCCACGATCATAATACACCACAACTCAGCATGCGTCGAAGGCGAAGAACAAATTCGAGTACTGAAACCAACTCCAACGACATAGCTGAGTCGGCCACCCAGTGGCGGAAGCCCGTGGCTGGCGTTTCCCCCTTGCAAACCGTGACCGATCCCATATCCAGAGACAACAGTAATGCCTCAACCAAGGGAACAATCATGATCGGTCGCGCGAAGAAGTGTGCCGTGGTCAATGCCGTACCTGTTCCGAGTAGTCAGAGCAAGCACTCCTCCTAGAAGCAGGGTCCTGACTCCATCGTCTTGGACGTTTTTATCCACGAATGCACCGACCTCAATTGCAAGGAACACAACGGCATGTTCAACAACGCAGAGATACGCAGCATTAGAAATGCGAATCGTTTCAAGTCACACATGCGGAGCGATAGTCTTGTCGACTTCAATAAGCAGTTGGAGGATACCGGGACCACACCTCGGAAGTCTTCCATGACAGATCTTCTACGCCCTTGCAAGCACGAAGAGAGCGACGACTCGGGCAACAAGAACCATTCTACAGACCTGCAGAAAGGTCAAATTTCGAGTGACTCGGCCGTCATTCATGACCCAGCAATTATTGACATTGGTTTCCGGGATACCAAGCCAACAGATAGCGGTCCCGAACACAATCAAGATGATCGCTTTCAGGGGCTTCTGCGAAAACTCCAGCGACCTCTGCAAGACGAACAATCAAAACATAAGGTCGCGAGAAATGGTGATACTCGCTCAAGACAAGTTTCCGAGGATTCTGGTATTGATACCAGAGGACCGACCAAGGCTCGAACTCTTAACCCACTAGCAAGGGAGTTTTCCACCTTCGCTCCTCCTCAGACATCTTCAGCCACATCAGACAAGGCCGAAGAGAGGGACAGAAAAACAATCATCTCTCTTCTGGAGCAACTAGTAAGCCAAACCTCCAGCAAAGCTCCTGGACAAGATCCAAACGACATTATTGCAAACACAATCGCAAAGTTTGGCATCCAAGGAACGCAGGCTTTTCCACCATTCAATATCCCCCCCTCCGTGCCGAGACCAACGTTGCATCCGTCACTTTTCCAACAAACCCCTCCAGTATCTCTAAGTCCAGCTTTTGGTCTACATAGCAATATTGTCAGACCTCAACTAGACTTTTCAACCCAAATGCCTGCCGCACCATTCGATCCATCTGCTCCAGGTTTTACACCATCATTTGCAAACAACCCAACCGCCCCCCCTCTGCCGCCCCTCAGGTCACCGTTCAATCCAACTCGGTCTACGCTACCCCAATCTGCTCATGTTTCCGATACAAGCCGCGTTGCTCCAGCCATTGGTTTTGTTCGACAGATGGCCAAGAGCGCGGCAGTGCCTATTGTCGGGCCTTGGGCAGCTTCGTTTCCGGCACAAGCACCAGTACCTCATCACGAGTCTTTGCTGAACGCAAATGCTCCCGCGTTCGGTCCTGGCATGGCGCCCAGATGCGCTGCCAAGCCCCGAGTCCCTGATACAGTTGGCCAGCAGAGTTACGAAGCATACATCGAGTGGCGCAAGGCAAACGAGCCCGGTTATGCTCTTGAATGCAAGGCGAGACAGGCCAAGAGGGCACTTCGGCCTATTCCTGGCTGATTCTAGGAGTGAGCTGTGGTCTAAGCCATCTCAAAGGGTTGGCTATGGGGATCAGGTACATAACATACCTGGGTGGAAGGGGCGGATTCAAAACAGCTAGCGAAGGGCGGCTCTCTCAGATCGATTCTGAATTGTATTTTTACGGCGAGATTTTCTCATATCAATCATTGAAGGATGGCAAGGGTGTAGGCCTATACAAGATTAAGGACTTGAAGAGTAGGATTACGTGTTTTTGGGGGCCCCTTGATCATTCTTACAGGGCTGAAATCGAAGATATGGGAGGTTGAGCGAGGCAGGAAAGCTTGGAGCAACTAGCACTGAGCTCACAAGCCGACTCGGATTGTTGACACTCAATACAATTGCGTTATAGCTCATATACGTGCTCATGGTGGGAGTTTCTTCCTCGGGATTTGCTGACTTGAGGAAGCAAAGAGTGAATGCCGGGAACCTCGACGGTTGCCGGGGAAGCCACCACCAACTCACGCACCTTCCTTCCTCTGGTTCACCCTGCCACATCGCGAACCTTTTCATCCGATACCTTTGCTGCCTACCACCCGAATACAAAACAAGCCCTCATATACCCCTCCAAGTCCAATTCTGTCACCAGCACAGCAGGCGCCCGTCTAGGTCGACGGGTCAGGTCAAACTGTGGCGTGGGTGGTGGAATGGTTAATGGTCAACAATTAAAATCGCCAACCAGCCTACTCGACGACAGGCTCAGCGCATACGATAGTACCCGAGTTCGAATCCCAGCATGAGCACCAGAAATTTCCCAGCATGAGCGCCAGAGATGTAGCCCCCAGTCCAGCACCGGGGTGAACTTTGTCATTTGGGTCTTTTTTGACATGGTTGTTTTAGGGAAGAGAAAAAGCACGTATTTGTTTTTGTGGTATCTGTGTGCAAAGTCGTAATATATCGATCATCCTCATGGAACCACCATACCCTCCACGCGCGCCCCAGTGTTCAACTGGCGATGTAATCTCTAGACGCTGCAAACCCAGCGATTTTTCCTTCTTTCTCATCAAGCCCCGATCTGCAAGCCCACCCACCATACTCAAATCACAATTATAGACAGCGTCAAACAACAACATAAATAAACATCAAAGCCCTTCAATACCATACGCCTTGATCGCGGTACCGCCAAACAAGGCCGCCTGGTCCTCTGGCTCGAGGGTGGCCATGTAGCAGGTGCGCTCGACGAGGAGCTTCCACTTGCGCCAGGCCTCGTCGACGCCGACGGTGCAGACGGGCCAGTCGGAGCCGAACATTGTGCGGCGGGTGCCGAACGTTGCGAGGACGACGCCGAGCCAGGGGAAGATTGCCTCGAAGATGGCGTTGGGGTCCTGCTTCTTGAGGGAGTCTGGCATCTCGGAGAAGCCGCCCGAGAGCTTCATGTAGGTGTTGCTGCACTTGGAGAGGGCGTAGATTGCGGTGCGCCAGTGGACGAAGGAGGGGTCTGTTGTGTTTATGATGCCGAGGTCGGGTTTGCAGAGGTGGTCTGGTTAGGGGGTGTTTGTTAGCTTTTGCTGGTTATGGACGAATGGAATGGGAGGTACTAGAGACAGGGAAAGGGGAAAGGGGGACTGACTGATGACAAAGGTGACCTTGTCCTCCTCCGGAACACCCTCGTGAGCGCGCGAGATAATCTCCAACGCCTCGTCGAGCTGCTTGTTGCCGCGGCGGTGCTGGTCGACGCCCATGTCGAAGACGAAGCCCCTCTTGCCCAGGAGCTTCAGGCTGTCGATGAAATCGTCCGTCAACCCCGCGCCGTGCGGCTTATCCTGCAACAGATACCGGAACCCGCGAATCTTGGGCCAGACGGCGTCGCCCGCGACGGTCTTGACGTGGTCGAGGTACTTCTCCATGGCGGCGGCGCCGGAGGGTAGAGGAGCCCAGGGGACGATGCCCAGGCAGAGGCTGGCGTGGTCGGGGCCGTGACCCTCGCCGTCGCGCGGTTTGCCCTCGGCGATGCGGCGGAGCCAGGAGACTTCCATCAGGGGGAACTCCCAGCCCGAGGCATCGCGGGCGCCGGCTTCGAGGTCGTGTTTGCGGTCTGTCTCGAGAAAGATGAAGCCCTTGAGGTTTGCGGGGGAGCCGGTGGCGGCGACGTAGTCTTCGACCGAGTGCTGCTTCGCGAGGGGGTTTTCGGGGGTCGCCCAGGCGAGGGTCTCGATTTCTTGCTCTGGGTAGAGGTGGATGTGGGAGTCGATGATGGGGTAGTCGGCGGCCATGGTGGGCTTTTGGGGGTGTTTCGGACGTGGGGCTGCGTGCCGGTTCGGTTTTGTGGGAGGTTGGCTGCTATTCTGGAGCCTCAATTGATATGTCTGGTCTGGGATGAATGTGTCAAGAGTGAGGCTGAAGACGGAGAATCCAGCGTCGTTTGTTGTAGGAGGACGCTTGAGCTAAGCCAGGAGAAGATGAGGGAGGGAGAGCCTGAAAGAGACGTGGAGTCCCCGCACCTATTTCTTTGACATCGCGGGGTTGCAACAGCGACAGACACCCTTGTCCTGACGCTCTAGTGCCCCACTGCCGGGTCCCCCCTTTTCTGACGTTGTTGGATAGTGCTCCCCCCACCGCCTTTCTTCAGGGGATCTTTCTCCCGAGCACCGACCTTTCGGGGCATTTGTGCTGGAGAAGGGGGACGGACCACTTCCGGCGCGGACACCGAAGGCGTCTTGGAATCCGTCCCGGTGTGCCGGCGTAGACATCGCCCACTTGCCAATTTCGGCAATTCAAAGTTTACGACAAACATTTCCGGGAAGACTTTGACTTCGAATACAGATTGATTCATTTACAAGAAATTTAGACTTGCATCATTCATATTTGTTCAAACTTATCTTCAAGGACAGGTACTAGTCACGTTTGTCACACAGCGGGTGCACAGTTGAGGTTGCGTTCGAATGATGAATAGATTCACATCGGCATCTATCCATAGCCGCCTGTGGCGGTAACTTTAACTATCTACATGAATTCGCCTTCATGAAAAAAAGCAGCCATGCCCGGGGGCTTTCCAAAAGCCCAGCCCCCGGCAGCCGCTTGGAAACGGTCTCTTCCCCAGGAGCGGCGGATGCGCTGGCTCCTTTTCCAACCCCTGGAGTCTTGGTCTCTCGCGTTCCTTCCCTATTATGAAAGGGAACGCGAGGATGGCTCCGCTGTTGTCAAGTAAGGAACATGACAAACGAAACGGTTGAGTTTGGTTCACGCGCGCGGCGGCCAAGCACCTCCGTCTACGGGACAGACGGCGGCGGCCACCGCGGCGCGGGGTCGCAGCATCGACCCACTTGGAACGAGGAGGCGGGCGGGCCCGAGACCGGCTCGGGTTCGCAACTGCCTTTCCTCGGTGGATGCAATGATTAGCACGTCGGCGAGCGCGGGGCAATCGCGCGACGAAATGAATGTACGGGCCACGTGGGGGCCTTCTATCTTCGTGTATTTGGTGTTTTTCCTTTCGGTAGTGGTTCCCATCCCAGGGCAGAAACGGAAGCTCTTCACCTGACGACGATGCCGTGGCGGCGGGTGGTGGAGGGAGCGTACTCCTCCTCCTCCTCGGACTCGGAGTCGGAGCAGTCGGAGCTGTCGTCGTAGCCGCAGCGGGCGCCGCCGCAGTCGATCTTGACGCGGTCGCCCTTGCGGGTGATGCCGTAGCGCTCGCAGGTGCAGGTGCTGACGTCGGAGCCGGGGGTGCTGTAGCCGGAGAGCGAGGAGCTGGGGCTGGAGCTGTCGGAGCGGTAGGAGAGGCTGGAGCCGGTGGAGGAGACGGGGGAGCCGGAGGCGGAGAAGTCGGTGACGATGTCCTCCTCGTCGAAGCCGGCGGCGCCGAAGCGGGCGGTGAGCTCCTCAATGGTCTCGTCGTCGCAGTAGTCGCTGTTGAGGATGTGCTGGGTGGCGTGGGGCGACATGGGCTTGGGGGCCTTGATCTGGGAGACGGAGAGGGGGCGACCCTTGGGGATGTCGCGCGACGAGGAGCGGTGGCGGCTTGACTTGGAGTCCTTGTCCTTGGAGGAGTGGCGGGAGCTGCGGGACGAGGAGTGGGAAGAGGACTTTGAGGAAGACTTGGAGGAGCTGGTGCTGCTGGACTTGGAGCTGGACTTGCTGGACGACTTTGAGCCGGCGGGGACGTCGAGGATGTTCAACTCGCGGCCGGTGGTGGGCTCAACGGTGGAGGCGACGCTGGGGTTGTGGGCGACGTGGTAGCCGTCGATGATGTAGTAGTACCAGTAGCGGGAGCCGGCGGAGAGAGTGGAGCCGCCAAACTTGAAGGTGCCCTTCCATGAGCCGGACTTGGAGGAAGTCTTGTCCTTAGAGAGAGGGAGCTGGCCGACGTAGCCGTCCCAGGAGCCGAGCAAGTGGACGGTCTTGACACCGGAGGAAACACGAAGGGAGAAGGAGAGTTGAGTGGACGACATTATTGCGGTATTTGACGTTGAAACGGGTGCTGCGATTAAGTGGTTTTGCTGAATAATGTGCGTTGAGCAAGAAATTCCAGATTTCCGTTACTAGGGGATATGTTGACCGGCAACTTTGGTGGTGATGATTTGCAAAAAATTGGGTATTAGTTTGGAGTGTGAATTAAGATAGAGACCGGCTCTATGGAAAGAAGAAAGAACAAAAAAGGGAGGAGGGGGGAAAACGAAGAACTGGAATTAGTTGTTTGACTGCTTGCTGAAGAGAGAAAGAGGAAAGGGAATCGAAGAGGATGGGATGCTTCCATTATATGGTTTGACAGGCCGTCCTGGGAGGCCCAGGAGAGGCCATGATTGAGGCCAACACCACCACCACATGTCTCCTCCACCTGTCTAGTGTACGCTACCTCTGTGCTCCCGTCACCTTGTTGGTGGTGGTGGGTTGGGATACCTAGACAGCCACTCGAGATGCGGTGCTACTGGCGCCGGTTCATGGCTGGAGCAACGCAACGGGGAACTTGTTGCTCGTCAGCACAAAATGTGGACTGTGGAGCGTGCCGTACACAGTAGCGTGCAAAAAAATCAAGCGTCAGTCGACTGGACGACCCAATGAGAGAAGGGCTGGGGAGGACGAGGCTTGTGGATGGTCGATGCAAGCAACCAATATCACACTGGTGATGAGCTTCGCGGGCAACGTCGAAAGGATCAGCCGGCCGGGGTTCCCCCTCGTCCAAGAATGGACACTCACACACAGCTGTGTACTGTGGTTGGCTGTGTGCCCTCTCTCCAAGGCGTATTGGCAAATAGGAACGAAAGCAGCTTTTCTGTCGATGGGGGGACCATCGTAGCCGTCACCTCTTTCTTGGTGCTCGTTGCCTTAGTGGTGCTACCATAAGATGGCCGCCGGGATGGGCCATGTCTGCACGCTGGGCGGTTAAGCTGCATGGTGAGGGGAGCCTGGGAGAGGTGAGAGTTGAGAGAGAGGGAGGGGTTCTCTGGGCAGCCGTCGGCGAAAATAGAAGAGAAAAGTGGATCTGACCGGAACTAAAGCGCGGTACGTCTCCACATTTCCACGTTCTCTCCGATCTTTGCGTGAGATGTGGAGCCGGTCGTCCTTTTCGGCTTGAATTGGGCGTCTAAATCCCTGCCATCATTGGCCAATAGCCCACGCCCATCGCTCTTCCGTGCCCGGTCGCTTATCACCCCATCACCAAGTTGTTGAAGTGATGTGCTGCAGGTCGAGCCAATCATAACTAAGCGCGGGACGATGCAGGTTTGCGAAAGCATCACCACTCACAAGAAGGCTCCCAGCCCTCCTCAATAACATAGTCAAGAGCTGCCGTCCAGCTGGGATTGGCTCATCCTCGTGCCCGAGAGAGATGAGCAGAAAAGCCACATCTCTCCATTCTCGCACGGTATTCGCCCGTATGCCTATGGCCGCATCAAGCAGACAGTCAACTGGCATACTGCATCATGCAACGAGTCAATATGCATGCCGTCTGCATGTAAATGCGCGAGCTTTTGCTGAGATTGATGTCCTTCCTCATTGGAGTATCCGAATTGTCACTTGACGTCCCGTCCTCTTCCCAGCCGCTCGACCAGGGAAGAACCGAAGATCGCGCGAGTCGGAAGAAAGGGAAGAGCAAACATGATGCCAGAAGCCATGTTCCTGGTTCCCTGAGTGCCTGCCTGGGTGATGTGCAGACTTGTCTGCGTCCTCCGGTTTGCCAGCTGCTTCCCGTACCTGCCTAGACGTCGAACCATGGTAGACTCTCTCGAACTCTGGCGATGCAGAAATTTCGAGCTCAGTTTCCGGCAAAGTCAATAAAGCTAAATGTCTTCGTAAGTGTAAGCCGGGACGATGGTAACCCCCAAAGACAACCCCTACAGACTTGGCCCAAAGGGCTGGAGGAGATCAAACACTACCGAGATCCGGAGCTGGAAAGGGCGCAGAAAACGGGGCAGCATACTCTAAAGTGCGTGCTTCCCTCTGCCTTGTCTGCCGTGACTACAGACTGGCAGCGTGGGCATTGCCCTGGGCGGTCTGGCCCTGTCAGTCGACATGGCCGATCGTGGTGCGGCCCGCCAAGTACAAACTGCCGTTCTCCGCCTTCGGTCGACATCCGCTGCGACTGCGTGACCCTTGAGCCACCCACACCTCGAGAAGATGATGGAGGTGAATTGTAGAAACGGCTTCAGTTTTTCCCCTTCTCATTTCTCACCATCCCTCTTCGGCATAGTATCCAAGGTGCGTCATCCGGCTCCATGCGTCTCTAGTCTCGGCGGGTATGTGAGGTCCATCACACTGATGGACTACAGTCCCCGTTGAACGGACCGGCAAGCCCGCTCGTGGTATTTCCCTCATCGGATCTGGGATCTGGGATGTAGAGATGCCTGCCGTGGTTCTGGAGCGCAACTTTGCGAAAGGCCCATCGAGATTGTCACTCCATCAGATTCATCAGAAAGCGAAGAAAGGGCTGTGACAGGTCGCAAGACGGCGCCTCGTAAGCGGGCTGCGACTCTGGTATATCGGCCTTTTGCTTGATGCCGACAGATGTCTCACAAAGCGACTGCGAGCTTGAAGCGGTCTGACCTCAGAATGGTGAGATCGACGCCGGCCGACAAGCTGGGCGCTCAAGAGTGTTACGTGTGTTGCAGCATTGCAGGTTTGGTCTTTGAAAGTTTTTTCCCGGATGCTTGGCCAACGTCCAAGATCTGTAATGGTGTGCCGTTTGCCTGTGGTCTTTGTTGGTGACGGGAGGACCTGGCGGGAAACAGCGGGATCGCCCGCAAGAGGGATGAGCCATGTGGAGACTGGAAGCAGTGGTGTCCACCTACAGTTAATCTTGATCACGTGATGAGTCACCTGATAGCGCGTTTCGCGTCAACGATCTAGGGTAATTAGGTACCTTATCTACCTTTACTTTGGCGCGTGGTAAAAGTCGCGCACGAAAGTTGCTACGTCGCCGGCCTGAGTCAACGATCCAAGGCAGCAGCCCCTCTTTCATCAACTCAGTCCCTCAATCTAGCTAGACGTCCTCAAGGTGAAGCCTGTTGAAAAGGTCGAGTTACCAATCCATCAGTGAGAAGTCTTGCCGTTGCCATTGATAAACGCCATCGACGAACCAGTCTCCTTCAGTCCTTCAAACATATTCTTTCCCATCTACAGACGTTTAAAGGTCATCGGACTCTCAAGTCAGAGTACCCCGGTTCTCAATATGTCTGAGCCCGCATCACCAACTAACGAGGAGCTCGTCTCCGAGGTGACAAACTACGTCGAGGCCTACATGGCAAAATACGACGCCTCCCACGACTTCAACCACATCAAGCGCGTCGTCTCCCTCGCCCACCGCATCCACGCGCAATCTCCAGCCACAGCCCCGCCTCTAGACAAACACACAATCACCCTCTCCGCCCTCCTCCACGACGTCGGCGACCGCAAGTACCTCCAGCCCGGCGAGGACGCGTCCACCCTCGTCTCCACCCTCCTCCGCTCCCTCGGCGCCAGCCCGGAACTCGCCGCCCGCGTGCAGACGATCTGCCTCGGCGTCAGCTACTCCAGCGAGATCAAGGACCCGGCGCGCGTGCGGGCGCTGATTGCAGAGTACCCGGAGCTCGCCGTCGTGCAGGACGCCGACCGCCTCGACGCCATTGGCGCCGTGGGCATCGGGCGCTGCTTCACGTTTGGCGGCGCAAAGGGCGCGCGGAGCATGGACGACTCCATTGTGCACTTTGAGGAGAAGCTCGTCAGACTGGAGGGGATGATGAAGACGGACGCTGGGAGGGAGATGGCGCGGGAGCGGACCAAGAGGCTTCTTACTTTTATGGAGTGGTGGCAGGATGAGGCGGGTCCTGTCGGTGCCTGAAAGGGGGTGTAGCAGTTCTCTTGAGGATTTGCACGGATACGACTATTTCTTTCGATTCAACTCGATACCCAGCTTTGTTTTTGAATACTACGGTCTATTTTTTAACGCGGACTATTACGATTACTCGAATAAGAATACTACATTCTTCAAATAAGCTCAACGGACCCGTCTCTCCTCCTTGTCACTCAACTCAACTCCCTTCTGCACCACCATACCCCCCCTCTTCCTTTCCTCCTCGACAAGTCTCATCCGCTTCCGAGCCCGCCTGTACCGCCAAGCCCAATCCACCGCCCCGATCAGCGGCAACACCAGCACGTCCATGACCCTGATGGAAGTCCGCAGCGTAAAGTCGTCGTGCACCCGCCGCCGCCCAAACGACGAGCAGAGCGTATTGACCCAATACAGCGCCACCTCCCTCAGCAACTCGCGCCCTTCAAAGCTATATAGGAACGCGAACCCGCTCCCGTCCTGCCACGGCAGCGTCTGCCCCCTCACCCTCTTCTCCACCAGGGAGCTCCAGTCGTCGTCCCGGGCCAGCATGAAGACGGCGACCGCCCCGCGGCGCATGAGCTGCCTATTGGGCCCGTCGCCGCCGTCGAACCAGAGGAGCGTCGCGACCACGCACGCCCAGGGCAGCCGGTCCCGTAGACGGAAGTAGTAGAGAAAGGAGGCGTAGAGGTAGGCGACGCAGCAGGCGCTGGCGAGGACGACGGTGACGTCGAGAGGTCCGCCGCCGCCTGTGGTGGACAACAAGAAGAAGAGGACCATGAGCGGGTAGGTCGCCACGAGGAGACGGAGCTGGTTCGTGACGGAGACCCACCCTTCCCAGGCGATGGCGGCCAGGACCTCCCAGATGATTGCGGGGAGATCGCCGACGGCGCGGAGGAGCATGACCGATACGTGGGTCCCTCCTTTTGGAGGCCGTTGAAGCCCCATCGGTGGTCCGCCCCGTTGTGTCTTTTTTTGCTTGCGGAGCGCGGGGGAAAGAGTTGATATCCTTTTTCGTGTGAGGTTTGTTGGATAGACCGGGGTTTCGATGCGGACTTTTGGAACCGCGGACCGTATGGACTGATTCGAGATGAAGGTGGTAGTCTGAACTTGACTTCTCCAACTTCTCTCTTCCTTTTTTTTCTGCTCGAGGGGAGGGGGAGGAAGGGGGATTACCTTTGGGAAGCTGGCGCGGACTGGAAGGGGAACAGCTCAGCATGAGCAAGAACCCAAGGATTGTGTGTCTTACCTTAGTTCCCTCCCTTAGCTTCAAAGACGGACGGACCCCCCACGCAAACGCACCAAAGGGGCGCCACAAAATATGATCCTAATCTCCAGAAATCAGGACCCAAGCGCATGATAAGGCTGGCTCTGGTACCCGTTTTTTTAATAGTAGAGTGACGTAGACAAAGAGTCAGGATTCTTGAATTTCTCGGTGTGCCAGTGCGGAAGTAAGCGGGCGTTGCCGAGTTATCCATGGACTTGGAAAGGAGCTTTCACATCTCGTGGTGGAACTTTTTATGACAGCTTTAACGCCATCGTTCTGTAAGACGATACAGAATGCTTGAACTCAGCTCCACGATTTGAAACGCGAATGTAAGCAAGAAAGCGGCGGAGAGCGGATCGGCCGGATGAGGAGGGTTGACATGTACAGTAGATCCTTGGGACGAGCTAGTCGGTGAGGATTCCAGAGGGCAGAGGCATCCCGCGTTGCTAAGGTTCTCGCCCTCTTTTTTTCATATGTGAGACAACAATCTTGGCAACCTTCCAGAAAGATCGTATCACGACTGCATCAGAGCACTAGGTGAGATATGATTGACGCTGACGACGGCAGAGCAACGGCTTACGAAAGCGTTACCTGGGTTACTAGACAATTGATATCTGAAGAGTCGTCAAGTTGTAGATCAATCGCAGTTGGGTGCAAGCTTCCTTGGGATGACTTCCCGTTGACATGACCGAACGAGAAAACAATGTACTGCCAAACGGTAGCGGCATCTTGGGCGCATTCCCGAGCAAAGTTGCTGGAGCTGATCAAACCATCTCTTGACGCTGAAAACCCACCGACCTACCCAACAGTACCTGATATGATGATCTCGGACATCAAATACTTGGTGAATAATTTTCTCTTCTGTAGTGCAGTCATCGCCGAAATCATTTCGGCCTCTTGTTCATCTTACAACGTCGCCAAAAGAGAGTAGGCATGCTTTACCCCCATAGGACCACGTATGAAAATACCAAAACACTCAAAAAAGAGTTGAACTGAAGCTGGCAAAAGAGTTCACCCCCTCGGTGCTGAACTGGGGTCTACATCTCTTGGTGCTCATGCTGGGAAATCTAAATTCTGGTGCTCATGCTGGGATTCGAACTCGGGTACTCTCGTATGCGCTGAGCCTGTCGTCGAGTAGGCTGGTTGGCGATTTTAAGTGTTGACCTCAAACCACTCCATCACCCAGCCAGTTTGACCTGCCAAACTAACTTGCTCAAAATTGCATAAACAGGGTCACCCGTACTTCCTACCCTCCTTCCCTTCTAAGTTTTCCCAGCCGGAGAAGGAAACAAGCCCCTTGGTATCCCTGAACATATCATCTTACACAAGTAGCACACCAGCCGCAAGAGCAATGACTGCGGCGGCACGAATGTTTTCTGACATGAGGTTCCCGGCATTCGGGGGCGTGGAGGTTGAAGTAGGGGTAGCCGAGCCCGTTCTCGTTGGTGAGGAAGTCGAGGAGTCCGGCAGGGCATTGGCGGACATTATGCGGTCCAAGATGTGGATGAGTCCGTTGTTGGTCCTGTCACAAGCCATCAGTTTCATTGCCTAGGTATTGTTGCTGGTCAGGTAGTGATTATGCATTGTAGTACTCACAGGACGTTGGGGCTGATGACCTTGGCATCGTTGAACCAAATCTCGTTGTCCTTGATCGTGACACGGACAGTCACGTTGGCCATCGAGGTGAATTCCTGGCCATCCATGAGGAAATCGCTGTAAGCTGCCTGAGGTAGAGTGTGGAAGCTATTTCCTAGGTCAGTCGAACGAGAGCGGGATTCTGAATCCGTGGCTTGCAACTCACAGTAACGCGTTCTTCAGGTCTTCGTTTCCGAGTGAACTCTGGGGACTGCCTGCCTCCTTGAAAGCAGCGGTGTTGGGTCCCAGACAAGTGATGTTGGCAGTATTGTCGAGTTGTCTCCATAGCTTGATCTTGTCCAATGCATCTCCGAGAGCCGATAGTGAGCTTGAGAGCTTCTTGATGGTGGTGGAGCATACTGCCGGGGCTTCTAGAACACTGTGAGGTCATCAGCTTGAGTCCCTTGATGTAGGCGGAGGATATCGACTCACGCATCGACAGCTTGGAAGTATCCGCCATCCCACACCCCATCGATCGATGTGAGCTCGGCAGTCTGACCAAGACCGCCGCGTAGGCTTGCGGTGTGATCATCGGAAGGGGTCCCTTGCCTAACTCTAAATTTGGTGGGATTGATGGTGCTCGGCGACACAAAAAGCACCTGACCCTGTGCGCCTTCGCCGTATTGGTCGATCATGGCAGGGCCAGGTGTCCGAAGGTTGAAGAGCTCATCTCGAAGTTTGGTGGGAACTGTGATACCCCTGGGCGCGCTGAAGTTTGCGGCCGTCAACGGAGCATCCAGAGTGTGGTATCGAAAGACGGTCAAAAGCTGGCTCACGGGAAGCTGCGTGATTTCGCTGACGTTGGACTGTTGAAGAAATTTGGCGAGGGCAACATTGGTCGGGACTAGGAGAGTGACTTTATTCTTCGTCCCAGCGGTTACATTGCTTATGATGCTCGGATAGCTGTTCAGAATTTCGTTGAACGTGGAGAGGTCAGCATAGCTTGTCAGCGCATTGCTGAGACTTTGCTGGGCCTGTCGAGCATGTATAGATGGATCAACAGCCCAAGCCAGCGGCGCCAGACTCACGACAGCGACAGCGAGCTCTTGGACGAAGCGCATATTTGTAGTAGGATCCTGGGATCAGTTTCTGCTTCAGGATAACGTGTAGCTTGCGAGCTTGGAACATCAGATGGCGAGGAGTGCCATATAAGAAGTCGCCCACTTGTTCTTCAGCCGCACAAGCCAGACGAATGGCTGAGCCTAGCTGAAGATAGTGTCCCTCCAGCTTCAGCGGCAGTGCAAGCACGTTGCCTGCATTGTTTCTGCCACAGTCCAAGCCCAGACCAAACCTGGAAGCTGACCGAGAAGCTAGGGCTGCGTCTTACTACACTACGAGACAGATATTGAAGTGGGATAGTGCCGCGAACAAAGACACTCTGGCTTGGGGTGCGAGTCGCAAAGACACGGGTCTCAAGACCAGGCCATACTGTATTGACGGCGGGGCTGTTCCCAGTGGCCACTGGCAGGCTCATGCAGCAATTAGCTATCGGACTCGCATTTTGCACTTTGCTCAGCGATCGAGTCCGGGTTTGAGATCAACTTCGCATTCAAAGTGCTGGATTGTGGCTGAATACCTATGTACGAAGCGGCACTAGAAAACGTAGGGCTGACGGTTGGCGTGGAGAAGCCGATTCTTGCAAGGTGAGAGGCGCGACACGACCTGTAGAGGTCCTCCGTTGTATGTGTTCCCGTACTACAAAGCAAGTTGCCAATTCGCATTCAAAAGAAGCCGAAAACAGCCTGGCCTAGTTCACTCGTCTGCCGTTGAAGGATTTGTCAAAGAGGAGGGAGGTACGTCGTCAAACAGATCAGCGTCTTTGCTGCCACATCTGGGGACCTTGGCAATGAGATACAGGCAAGACCATGCTTACTACAAGCAAGCTTGTTTCACCCCTGCGGCCTTGCCTGCAGGAACAGAGTCGAACGGTGGTTGCCCCGAGCTCTTCGTGGCGGGCACGGGAGGAATTGGACCGAATAATATTAGATCAAGTCGTCCAGTTGATTCCTGCCAAGTTATGGAGGTAGCAACTACCTTAGGTATGGTCAGGTACCTACCTATGTCACGACTGGCCCGACAACAGGAAGGGCAGGAAGGTCCTTAGACTGGCCAGTGGCAGGAACTCATCCAAAGCATTAGTACCTCGCATGGTGGTTCCTAAGCAGTTACCACGAGAGTCCCCGCAAAAGAAAGGACAGGAAGGCGAAGGTCCAACACCAAAGTACGGATACGGATACCTTGCAATGGTGAGGTGCACCCCAGGCGCCTTCGATAAGGTGTTGCTCCCCTGCCAAAGGACAGCTTCTGACTCCACACTTGCGCCCGAGCTTTCCCATCAGTTGAAGGTGTGGACAGTGCCATCCTTGCATCACTAGTCCAATTTCGGCCAGCTGCTCAAGTTGGTCCAACTCGGCGCGAAATCTTGCTCGACCCTGACTGGACAATTTGCAACATGTGTGTGTGTGTCCATAGGAGCGAACGAGGTGTTTAGCTGTGCCGCAATGTTCAATTTCCGCCGGCGTGAGAAACCGTCTGCTCTGGCAACATTCCCCTCTGGCAGACCTTGCCGTTAATGGCGCGTTAGTTGCGGTAATGACGGCAAAATGTCAATCTGCATGCCCCGAGGAAAACAAGGTATACAGAAAGGGTAAGGTCAAACACCAAAGATCCAAACTTTGTATATCCTGTCCACGATACCTTCCCCGTTTGCCCCGGCTCGACGCATGCGCTCTCACGCCTGTTCCTCCCCCCCTGGTGCTTAGGTAGTGTACCTTACCTAGGTAGCCAAGGTCAGGTAGTCGAGGCAAGGTAAGGTACCGTAAGGTAGGCAATTTAGGTAAGGTCAGGTACGAACATCCGGTTTGGCAAATGTGGTAAGGTAGTCACCGCAAGAGGGCACTTGCCGTTGGTTGTGACACAGGCAGCAGCCTACTCATTGGACAATGCCTTTGTCTTCTTCTTCCTTTTCTTCTTAATCCCCTTCTCTCAATTCTCTCCCCGATTCATCTCTTCTTCTCCCATCCAACCATAGTGTACACATCATCAAAGTCTTCCGTAATTGCCTCCACCACTTACACCAATACACCAGCCTCTTTAGTTTGGAATTACCACATCCATTGCCGTTGCATCTATCCTCTTGAAGAATTCCTTCATCATCCAACTCCTTACTGCCACGCCAACTTTGACCGGCTTGTCAAAACACACAAACTACACCAAAATGAGACAGACAACCATCATCGCTGGCCTCGCAGCCATGCTTCCCTCTACCGCCCAAGCTTGGTCTATCCCAGCCCTTCTCGACATCCGCCAGACCACCCGTCCCTACCAAGACGTTGTCTGCAAGCCTCAGACAGGTTCTGGTGCCCAGCTTCCCCCTTGTGTCCAAATTGAGAACATTGAGCTCGCCTGTCAACCCAATGGCACCAACCCTATCGACTATGAGGCACACGCTCAATGCATCTGCGGAGGTAGCTTCTTCGCTGAGAAGTTGGCATGCGAGAGATGCCTCACTATTCACGGTCTCCGCAGCGAGCGAAACCTGGCTTTTTACAGCGGCGTCCTTTCATCTGCCTCCAATGCTCTCTGCACAGGTACTCCCACTGCTGTTTTCGCCAGCATCTACTCCGGCATCGAGGCTGCTGCTACTCCCGTGACGACTGGAGCCACTGCCACAAGCGATCAAGCTCCCAGCAACACGGCCATTTCCCTCTACTATACGGCTAGCGGCCCTCAGGGACCTGGCACCATCACTGGCGCAGCTGCGAGTGCCACTGCTGTTGCTAGCCGCACGACGACGAGCCCTTCTACTGCTGCGACTGGCTCCGCTTCGGGAGCAACTGGTACTTCATCTACCCGTGCTTCAACTGCCACCACCGGTACAGCTTCAGGTGCCGCGGCCACAAGCACAACCGCTGGTAGTGGTGCGATGCCGACTTACGCTGCAGGTGGCCTCTTGATGGGTGCTGCTGGTATCGCAGTTCTCGCAGGACTGTAAGGGAATTTTGGAAAGGCAATATGGCGATCGTCGTGTGCGGGAAAGTCGGGGTTGACGAGATGTCTGGTGGTGGAAGTAATGATAACGCCTGGCATTGTTCACGATTCAAGTATTAATGAGCATTGAATGGATGCACTTTTCCCTTTGCCTTTGAATGAGCCGTGATTGTGATGAGTGACATGATCAAAGATTATTATCCGAGATTCTCAAATGCAACTGGTTTCTGACACTCGGGATGCAGTGATGGCGTTTTTGGACGAGAATCTCACCTGGACGGCGAGGAAGGATCGATTATGTCTTGTAAAGCAATGGCCTCGCATTCAATTTCTAATGAGTCCTTCCAAAATCTTTCGTCCGAGCTAACCTAATAGCTGGGTATACTTGGGTAACGACGGACGTGGGTCAAAAAGAGATCGAGTCGAGCCCGATGCCATCATAACCCTCCAGGTTCTCACGCCAACTCACCACACCCACAAACTCCCCACATCCGACTCGTCCATGCTACTCTTGTCCCCTCCATCGCGCAGCATATAAGTTGGGTCTCAGACCCTTCATCCAAGGACCTAGGGGTATATCCCATCCTGCATGCATCTGCAACTCCATTCGATATCCCATAAGTCTGAATTTACTCGGGCATGTGCTTGAAGGGCTTTGCCAAGTTCTCCTGGCAGAAGGGCAGCTTGCCGACAGTCCAAATCTCGGTGTCCTGGAGATAACGCATTAGTCACGACATTCGCATATGCCATCATCACTTTTCAAAGTCACAGCAATGGAAAAAGTGTTTTTCAATCGGTGTTGGTTTCATGGCCCGACTTACCGGCTTCAAGTTCTTCTTGATCTCGGTATCGAGGGTACCAGCCTTGAGGGCGATGATCTCTGGGGCCGCATCGGGGTCGTGAGCAATTGGCGAGCCACACTCGGAGCAGAAGATGCGGTGGACATCCTTGCCCGATGAGCCCTTGCCCGCCCAGCTCTTTGTAGGCCCGTTGATGGTAAGCTTATCCTTGGGGACCACGGCGACGAGGGCTAATCCAGGGTCAGCAAGGAAGACACGCTCAGATTACAAGCCGAAAGATCGAGCAATCCGATTCTACGCTACGACAAGGCTATGCGGGAAAGCAGCAGAGAATACGTACAGTATGTCGAGCCACTCTGGCGCTGGCAATCGTCGCAGTGATCGTAACCGGTAATGAGAGGGGCGTCGACGTCCACCTTGTAGGTGACGGCCTTGCAGAGGCAGTGTCCCGTAAGAGGCATGTTGGATATATGAAGCAAAGTCGGAGAGGTACGTTGAAAATGGGTTGGAATCCTTCGAGAACAACAACAGATTTGAAGTCGTTGAAAGACAGTGCAGTGCAGCAAAACTTCCAAGCGGACAAACACCAGACGGGAGCAGGCCCTTTTTGTTTCTGTCGATGGAGGGGGCGGGGTATCTGGTGGCGCATCAAGTTTTAGCTGGCGACCTCCGAACACCACTTGAGGCGCTTACATATTTCCGACGACGTCACTTACCCTATCGAGGTACCGAACCTGGATCCAGACCGGATGAGCGGGGAGAGGTGTCCGAAACCGTGGGATGGGAGTTTCCGATGGTGAATTGGCTGCGGCCACGACTCAGGCTACGGTTTTGAGACGTTGAGGAGAGACTTTCCGAAGATTGGCGTTTGTGCTTTTATCTTTGGGAGGAAGAATTGTCGACATCATTCACGAGGGAAAAATAACTTCCTTTTATACATTCGACGAGTCCTCCACAATGGAAAGCTTCGAGAGACCACACCCTTTCGTGGCGGTAGGTCTTGGGCTCCTTCGGAGCCGGGACATCGAACACAACACAACCCAACCCTGGAAACAAGACCTTGGGTGCTTGGACGGCTTTGGGAAGCAGTGAGGAGAAGGGGTCCACCAATTCGAGAAACGTTTCTGTCAGCGCTGCAGGCCACGGCGATCCTGAGCTCCTTGGCGTTTCTGTTCGACCTGCGGCCAGCTCATCCTTGTTGCACCGTATATCAGCAAGAGTCTGGATGACATCCTTGCTCTCGAATTCGCTACATACACGACCAAGTACAGCACAGCACAGCACAACGCGAGATAATACCGGGGCCTAGACAGAATATGTCCACGGGCGAGCGGTTTTCGATCAATCTGTGGCATGACAGGACAATGCTAGTCAGGCGAGCATTGGATGTTGATGTCTCGAACTCGAACAGCTCGACCCCGCGGAGGGGCACGGAAGGGGGGCTCATAGCAGGTGAAGATCAAACCGATGTTCGGTTTTGCGCCAGCCACGGACGGGCGTTCGGGTCCCTTGGAGAAAAGGTCCCTTTCACCATCGCAATTTGTCATTAGAGCACCTTCTCCATGACAAAAGGTACGTCTTTGAGATATTCCTCGTTTGATCGAGGCTGCGGTTTGCTGACAAGATGGGATCAGAGCTTCGAGAAACACTGTACGGTTTTCTCGAACGCAGCCCCCCCAGCCGCCCGCCCTGGACCGGACGATTTGGAATTTTCGATGCGGGACCCGCGTTAGTGCTGCTGCAGCTCGCCGGCACCTTAGCACGACACACCGGATACCTACTCCTCTGCGGCACCTCGAAGACTCTACTTGGTAGGAGTCGAGAGTTCTGTCAGTATGAAGTGTCAAGCGTGTGCACATCGACCCCACTGCCGGGTTGGCATAGGTGCATACGGTATACCTAGGATGCCTACCTATCGGCCCCGTGCCCGAGCGGTTCAACAAGCATTCTTTTGCAAATCATTGCGAATTGAGTAATGGCAACCACCAAATCCAGCGCGAGGCGCCTGTGGGCAACCTATGTTTGGAGAGGTGTGACGTGACCCCGGCCCTCCACTGAGTCCACTCTCAAAGACCTTCCCCTCCACACCAGCTTCTCCCCGGTCCCTCGGAAATCGGGGATCCAAACATGGGCGGGGAAGTGTGCGCCACCTCACAGACAGCGTTTGAATCACAGCTAGGTAGGTATTCCAGATGCCATTGACAAAACGTTGAATCAACGATTGAAACATGAGATGACCTTCTGACAGATTTTTGTTTTCTTCTCTTCCACAAACGCTTCACAATCTAAACATTAGATGGCATGCTGAGTAAGGGTACGAACGTATGCCGCGCGCTCAGTTCGAGCAAGGCGTTCCCTTACTTGGACCATGCAAGCTAACAGACATGAGGTAAGGGAACCCCTCTTCTAGGTAAGGTACCGCATGCAAAGAGATGCAATTCGGCGTCCACTGCCCGCCCGCCCCAACATGGACTAATCAGACTACCTGCCAAATATGCTTTTTTGGTTGGGGAGAACCACGGGAAAGAGAGACGAGTATTTCAAATACCCAGTTGTAACCATTGGAAAGATCCACAGCTCGAGGGATCTGCTTACCAGCATCCATGACAGCGCAGCTCGGTGTGTGGACGTGTGATGTCTCTGTGCATTTGCTGCTCATGATACGCCGGACTACGGCAGGTAAATGATGAAATGTAGGTGAGCTATCAACTTTATCTCTTCGGGCTTATCTGAGACGGAAAAAAAGAGATCTCCCCCAATGACAGCGAGCCACGGAAGACAGCTCGTCGCATATGCGGAACGGGGGAAAACCCAGCCGGGCGATGCAGGTTATGAGCAGCTAACTACCTAGCTGCCTTGTTTGATCATCGACGACATACATTGAAGGCTGAGATGGACTGGTCCAGCCAGAGGGGCATCGTCATCTACCTGGAGCAAGTTTAGAGAGTTGTCTCTCCTGCTTGTTACATCTTAGCTCTTCTCTCCTTCTCTATGGTTTTCTAACAGGCGCGGCTGATTGCGCGTTGTTTCTAGTAGGTAGCAACACAAAACGTGAGCCACATGCATGGCGCTTACTGAGTACTACGGTACTCGTATCAAAATATATCTCTCATAACCTCATGAGCGGAGCGACGGCATACGACAGGACCCAAGCGACGCCCGCGCGCAGGATCAAGTGCTGCAAGTCCAGGAGCTCCACGCTCTCCAGCGCCAGGCGGTCGGCGAGGAACGATCGTAGCACGAGCGACCTGTACGCGCTCCGCGTTTGCCTGTCCGTATGTCCGAGGACGAAGCCGTCCATGGAGGAAATGCGGAAGTCGCGAATATCGACTTTTTGAGCGCCGACGCCGGCGCCGCCGTCCTTGGCTCCCGGGGACTTCGTGGCCGAGGTCAGTGGCCGCTCGATGCGGTCCGGCCTCTGCCGCAGGGCGCGTATGGCTCTAAAGTAGATGTAGTCCATGATGTTTGTCGTCTTTAGTGGCGGCGCGGGCTGTTTGAGGATGAGCTTCGGCAGGACCTCTGGCTGCGAGATCCAGAGCGTGCCGTTGTCCTGGAACTCGCAGCAGATGGCCTCGAGGTCGTGGGCGTAGCGCACGAAGCGGGTGTAGAAGACGGGGGTGAGGACTTTGAGGTCGAGGTGCTCTGCGCGTTTCGGGTTCTTTTGGGCGGCGGGTGAGAGCATCGTCTCTGTCAGGCCTCCTCCTCCTCCTGCTGCTCCTGTGGTGGAGGAGATTCCCGCGGGGATATACGTGACGGCGATCGCGGCCGTGGACTGCGAGACCAGGTGACGGAGGTAGGCCCTAAACACGGGCTCGAGCCGGCTCTCCGTCGCGTCGGCTTTCCGTCCGATGCTCTCTTTCAGGGGTTCCGGGCGGAACCAGACGTGCAGTCCCTTGCGGAGGGAGAGGACGGCGGCTTCTTTGACGATGCGGGGGAAGGTGACGAAGCCTACCCACCACCAGCGGGCGAGGAAGACGAGTTTTTGGAAGGGGGTCATGGTGGCTGGGTCGATGGCCGGGGCGGAGTTGAAGAGGCGGGCGACGATTTTGGGGTGGTGTTTTGAGGAGGAGAGGGTTATTGTGCTGTCGAGGGTATACCCGTAGTCGGTTCCTGCCGCATCGGATGGCGGTGAGAAGAAGTCTGTCGCGGAGAGGGCGTAGGTTCCCTTGCGGGAGTTGAAGGGGGAGACGTGGAAGTCCTTTGGCCAGGTTTTTGTCATCCTGATCTGCTGCGTCTTTTTGGCGGCGGATTCCGCATCTGCGTCTCGTGAGGCCGACTCTGCTGCGATGCCGTCTTGTAATCCACTACCACCGTCATCGAGGCGCTGTTCTGACGGGACGGCGTCCGTGGTGAGAAAGTACATCCTCCGCTCGTCAAAGGTGTTGTTCACCTCGAGCACCATGGCCGTCAGCTGTTTGTCCCTGGAGTAGAGGTACCAAAAGGACACGGGGTTGAAGTGGTATCCCAGGAACCGGGCTGCGGTGACGAGGTATGCGTTGGGATACTGCGCTGGATCCGCGCCCTGTCGTGACTTATGTGAGTCTTGTGTTCATTCTCATGTCACGCACGGGGGATTGCTCAAGTTGAAGTTCGTGGACAATGGTGATCCGTTGAGGAGAGAACCCTTCCTTACCTGTGAAGTGAGATACGCATCAAGCTTCCCCCTCAACCCGAGGTGCCCGTTCCCGCGCTCGAGATAATCCGCCGGATCCACGTGAAACCACGCCCGTCCCACCGTCCGCGGCGCCAGCGAGAACCACGATAGCCAACCCGCCTCGTCGACGTCGCACGAGACCATGCCGGCGTAGTTCCCCCTCCACCCGACGGGGATGCCGACGACGAGGTACGAGTACACAAAGGCGTGTTTCTCGGGGAACGTACGCCTGTGCGTCGTGGTACAGGGGATCAGCAGCGGCTTCACCGGCGTCGTCTTCCACTTTCGCGTTTCCGTTTCCGACGCGGCGGGGGGAGCGTTCAGACCTAGGAGGAAGCGGCATATCTGCAAGAAAACGAAACCTAGGAGGAAGCCTGGGAGGAGGAGGAGTTGGTTGCGGATGAGGTGCGGATCTACGTAGGGTGAGGTTAGGTCTGCGAGGAGGCGCTTGTTGCGGTGGGCTGTGAAGAGGAGGAGGAGGGCCGTGTCGAGGTAGGTCCCGAGGAGGGAGTAGTAGGTGAAGCCTGCTAGGAGGGTTAGGGGTTGGAGGCCCGGTGCGGCGGCGGCGGTCATGATGTGTGATAGGTATGCTTTGTGAATTTTCCGGGCCGGGCCGTTGAGGTGTTTGGAGGGGTTCCCGGGGCCGAGGCCGGTTGTTCACCACGTGTAGAGATCGGCGTCGTTGGACGGATGCCGGCGGCCGGGTTTGGTGGGTTAGTGCCCGGCAGTGTTATGAAGATGAAGTGCTGTATATTATTTTCATTATGAAGAGTTGATGTTGTTTGCAATGTTGTTTCTTTCTAACAGTCGTCTTTCTCCAAGTGATGGATCACGAAAGCTTGGCTATGGCGGTTGCCAGATCGGGTCTTTCGGTGGAGGACGGGGCGGGTTGTGGGCCGATGAGCATGTTCGATGAGATCAAGACTTCTTGGTGAACCCACCTCAACGTGAGGACCTCGTTCCATGAGTGAGCTTAGTCATCAATGTCGAACCAGCTGCAACCAGGTGAAACAGTCATGGCCGACACTTTGTCGACCAGGTAAGTCGGCCATGAGGGCTCTCCAAGGTACAGACATGTCGTATTCATGGCCAACATTGATCCGTAGAAGCCATTGCCCGGAATGCAGTTCGTTTGATCATGATCAAGACAAGCAGGTTGCCATATTCAGAACACAATAAAGGCTGCTGCTGCCATATGGGTAGGGTCGGGTTGCACAGCCGACAAGGGAACGTGAGCAGAATCAATAACTTACTTCCGTTACATGCGATGATTGGCAATGGAATGAATGATACCTAAGGTGGTCCCTGAAGGCCGCTCTTCCGGATTCCAACGGGCTGACTTGGTTATGGAAGACAGTGAAAAAAGAGACCTTGAGGGCCTCGAATCTGATATGTGGCGCAGTCAGGCAAAAATAGAGACCGGCCGAGGCAGCCACCGGGAGAAGTGTACGCAGAGCGCTCCCGTCAGCTGGGGAACAGCTTTCAGCAAATGGAGGGGGAGGCTCTTCAGGTCGGTCACCCCGCCATTTGCAGCCCAGTCTGACAGTCGGATCTGCCCTGGTGCTCTGCTCTGCAATGCTGCGGCGGCGGCGTTAGGCACATGCAGGGATACCCGCCCCTCTTACCTCCGCCGGTTGACTCAGTTCGCTCAGTCCCTCCCCGTCGACTCCCCCTCCCCCCACCGGTTTTTTGCCATCTATGCCAGTCCATCGACTTCCATACCTGTCATTTGCCGACCAGCCCACGCACCAGCCACAAAGACATTCAGAGCCCCCTCTGTCTCTTTGAACAGCCGCCTCCCAAAAACTGACGCAACGAAACTCTCTTTTATCTATCTTTCCTTCCCTTCCCCCTCCACCGACAAACCAACATCAACAATCCTCACGAGACCACAATCACCAACCCGACGAACAGCGAAAGAAGAGAACCATCTCCTTTCGTACCAATCGAACTAGTCCCACCTACAACTCACATCTCTTCACACGTCAAACAACCGCCCACAATGGATGACTGGGACACCGCCACCAAGATCGGCTCCAAGGCCCGCGGCGGAGGCGTGCAGAGAGAGACCGTCATCAAGGGAAAGAGCGCCCTCAACGCCGCTCAGCGCAGCGGTTCCGTCATTGGAACGGAGAAGAAGTACGCCGCTGGCAATGCTGTATGTTTTTTTCTTCCCCCATGGCAATCCCTCTCCTGCGCGGACAGACAGCATCCTTTGAAATTCACGCTTGACATCATGAGCCCTTGCCCAACCTCACCCCTCCATTCTCCACAATTCTCAATCGATGACGGGAATCAGAGAGGAGAGAGAGAGAGAGAGAAGCCTCTCTTGGAACCACTCCCTCACAGAAACCCTCAAGTCTGCAATTCCTCAACCAATACGAAATGGCTAACTCTCCCCCCAACAGGCCACCAAGCCCGGCGTCGAAGGCCAGCGCCTCACAAAGGTCGACCGCTCCGACGACATCATCAAGCCCAACACGGTCGGCAAGGAGGTCGGCGACGCAATCTCCCAGACGCGCCAAAAGATGGAGCCCAAGATGACCCAAAAGGACCTCGCCACAAAGTGCAACACCACCCAGTCCATCGTCGCCGACTTTGAGCGCGGCAGCGCCGCCCCCGACCAGAAGATCCTCTCCGCCATGGAGCGCGTCCTCAACGTCAAGCTGCGCGGCGCCAACATTGGCGAGCCGCGCTTCGCCAAGAAGAAATGAGCAACTAACTCTTCCGTCTCTAATTTCTTTTATGATTGATACCACTCAATGAGGTGGAATCGTCAGGGGAGAGCACTGCACGAGAGAGAGCGCTCGTGGCTTTAACCTTGCTTGCGCTGGGGAGTCTGGATCCTTGGAAGGGCGGAAAATGGTCGTGTTGAACAACAAAATGACCTCGGCTTGGTTTGCATAGCATGAAACAAGACTGAAGACTCAGAAATGTCTCGAGAGGCTGGCTCTTTATGAAGGTTACGGTTCCTAGACGTTTTACAGCACAATAGATGAGTTGGCGACTCCAAAGCTGACGATTACACTGAATCCATTATGTCTGCATCTTCTGCAGTCTCTATATGTATATGTGACTGGTTACACTTCACTGTGTCAAGTCTAGATATTTGTCTCCCTCAAGTGAACCCAAGCGCCCGGAACTCCATGACAGTCTCATCCCTCTGTCTGTGGTATCTTCCAAACTCCGTATGCAGAAAACACGCTATGCCATGCATCAATGCAATCCCCAGAACACACTTCCACCGATAACCTCCCCCTCAGATGTATTCATCTATGCGAGAAGTCGGTTCACTCGCGCGGCGAGCTCTGCCTCGTACGGCTTGCGTCTCGTCTGGATGACGACATGTTCCTTACCACCGACCGTGGCAACCTTTAACCATTCCGGTGCGACTTCCTTGGCAATCAGACGTACCGCATCGACACCTTCCTCCATGGACATGGGCACACGCAGGGAGTCCTTGAGCTTCTGCTGCAGAACAGCCATGGTGAAGGACACAACCATCTGTCCGGCCGCATTCGACGACGACACGAGCATGGAGAGGACGGCGGAGATGTCTCCCACCCGCTGCAGGGCGCGCTTTCTCGCCATCTCGGGGCCGGTAGGGAGCTGGATGTTGGCGTTGGCTTCCTCCTTGGCTCGGAGTCTGTCGAGGAGGGTCATCTTGGTGCCGTTGGGGTTGAGTGCCGGGAATTTCGATGCTTGAGTCTGCGTCTCTCTCTCCTGCTTCTTGAGGATGTCGTTCTTGATCCCGGTCAAGGCGCGCTGGCCCTTGGCGAACAGGGGGTTCTCCGACATGGTCGTGTGACGAACAGTAATATCGGACTTGGGCAGGTCGTTGAAGCTAAGGTTCTCGAAGCAGATATCGAGATCCGACATCTCATCCATGGCGCGCTGGGAGCACATGATGTGTAGGTTCTTCTCGAACTGTTGGCAGAGCGCGTTCTCGTCAATGCGGCCAGTGTTCTTGGTGAGATCCATCTCGAGGCAGAGCTTGCCACGGCCGTAGTCGGTGACGATAAAGGGCGAGCCGAGGGACACATCCTCCTGGCCTGGTGTCTTTGTGTCTTGGATGGCAATGCATCTCCGAATGTCATCCACTGTGACTCTCCTCTTTCCCCATGTGCGGGCTACGTGAGGTGCGATCGAGCTGATATCGAGCGGTGCGTTGTTGTTCTGGTGCACAAGCTGAAGCGAAACAGTCTTGAGGATGGCGCGTTGCAGGTCCAAGAGCTCCAGAAGCTCGGCAGGAAGCTGCTTCTTGACGACCTCCTCCTTGATCTCTGACTTTGTAGCATTGTGCTTCTTTGTTCGCTTGACCTTTTGGTTGGCTTTGTGCACTTCGGTCTTTGCTTGGGAGATGACGTCCGACTTGCGAGTCTTTCGGCGGCTGTCGGCGACTGGCGATGTTGTGCTCTTTCGTGTAGAAGCAGCGGTGGTGGTGGTTGCGGTTGTTGAGGCGACCTCAAGCTTGATGGGGACAGGCTCGTCCTTGCTACTCTTGAAGACTCGCTGACGCTTCAGAGACTCGCATCCTGGGGCCTCGCTTCTCGCACCTCTCAGCGAGACGTCCTCGTCGTTCGATCTTGCCTTGCGCTTCTTTGAGGGTGTTGCTGTAGGCTGAGGGGGGAGAGCTCTTTCCGGACTGGATTCGAGCTTGATCTCTGTCTTGACTTCCGTCTTGGCGACGGGAAGAGAGGAGGGCAGTCCGATGAAGAAGACCTTCTTTGAAGCGTCGTCGACAGGAGCAGGTTGTGTCTTGGAGACTCGGCCGTACTGGCTGATAAGGTTGGTCGCTGGCGTGGTTGCAACAGGCTTGACCTGCCGACGGGAAGCTGCGCGAGCCATTGCGTCGAGATGTGCAAGTGCCGGTCGTCTAGGTGATGGGGAGAGAAGAACGTCGGCGGTCGAGAGCGATGCAGATTACAAGCGGAAGCTGTGAAGTTGTGAAGTAGAAGTCGAGAAGGATTGGCAGGCGCAATTAAAAAAGTCTCGATTCGTGTAGAAGGTACAAGTTGAAAGTATCAAGAAGTCACGAAGAGTATGAAGAGGTTTTGTACATTGGAAGGAGAGTGGGGAGCGGAAATGATGGAGCAACGGATGGCAGCAACGCGCCGGGCTAAGGGGGTCGCGGACCACCGACCGCGACAGACGCGTTTTTCGAAAGGAGCACACGATGCAGGCGAGAAGTCGCGTTAAGTGGTGGGGCGCGCTGGCGCTGGCGTTGATGGACCGTGCTTTCTAAGCAGGCGAAACCTCGGCACCATCCTCCACCTTCCATTATTCCATGGGACCCAACCGTCTGGGCAACGGAAGCCCTTCCCGTCGAGGTTCCCGTTCCCCCGGGAGAAAATGGAAGGGACGAAAAAAAAATAGTTGAACAAGGAAAAAAAGGGAGTCAGTATGGATGTATATTCTGCCCGGTCTCCAAACTCGCAATCCAAATTTGGGAAAAGCATTGTAACTGCTGTTTTGAGATTCCTTGCTTGTCCCTGCTTGCCTCACATCTGTCAACAACCCGGGGGGATTAGGCTGTTCGAGCTGTTCCAATGCAAACATGGGACGGCCCTTTTCTCCCCTGTCAACCAGCGAACCATTCGCAGAACGAGTCACAATCCCCGGGTATTTTAAAACGCAGCAGCTATAAGCAAATGCGGTTGCCAAAAGAAAATGTGTTATCAATGTTAATTCATAGCTAGAAAGGCCAATTTCCTAGTTGCACACCGAAACCGAGTGCGCATTCCGAACAATGTGTAAGGTGGGACTCCCATCGTCGTCTCCAACCATCAACGTTTTTTGGGTGGCTACTTGCTGCCAATCACCCCGTATGCAGACCGAGAAGAAGAAGAAACCCATGATATGTGCCAGTCCTGCTTTTTGTGTAAACCTCATTTCGCGAGCCGTTTGAGAAAAAAAAATTGCTCCGCGCCCATTTCGCCCCGTACTCCCATGATTTGTCCGTATGCTGATTGTACAAGCAAAGAGTAGCCCCTGTGTCGAACAGTGGGCAGAAAGAATTCGTTCGTAGCTCTGGGCAAGATTGTCTCATCGGCGGATTGATGACTGCCAGTGGTCCGTAGCGAATGATACCGGGCTCGGTGGAGGAGGCGCCGGCACGCTGTAGTCGTTCTCTTGAATCATATGTACAGGCGTCACCGGGCGGTGGGTGGTTGAGGCGAGAGTCGCGTTTAGACTTGTGTAGAGATCCTGGCCCGTCATCAGGCGCAGATTCCTCCGTTGAGGAGAAATAGGAAGAGGCGAGGCGATTTGGATCTGGCTGGCGGGCATTTTGATTGTGTGTGCCGGGGAGGATGAACAGGTGAAGTCCTATCACGCAGGTGTTAGACAAAAAGTCTGGATGTTGCTGCGTTGTCGACGGGCTCCACGTACCGATGGTGATGGATCTGTATCCGTACGGAAGAATCTGGGGAAGAAACGGGGATTATAAAGACAGCTGTGGATATGGTTGCTTGTTGAGAGGCGTTGTCGAGGCTGGAACTGGTGCCGAGACACAGTAGAGTGGAGTGATATTCCTTGAGATGGGGGAGGCGTATGTAAGGTAGGTGGACGAGATGAAGGGCAGGAGGCGTAAGGAAAGTGCAGATGCCAGAATATTTAAAGCCGAGAGCCCCAAATGAGAATCGGCTGACAGACACGCACACACACAGAGAGAAGAAAAAGGCAGAGAGCAGAGAGACAACGAGAGAGGGTGCGACCGGGCGTTTGTGCGCGATCCGTAACAGAGATTTCACAATCCCTTTCCTTGTGTCGTAAGTAGACCGACCACCCCCGGGCTGGTCAAGTCGGTGCGCAAACAAGACCAGGGTGGATGGAATGCCTGGGAGCAAAAAGGACCCAACCGAACGGTCGAAAGGGTGGGCTATGGGCAGAGCAAATCGACAAGAGGCGCGGGTAAGGTTGCAGTTGCCGGGAGAGTTCAACGGAAGCGTGGGGAAGAAAGTCAGGGGTTCCAGTGATGAAGGGGAGATGAGCAAGACGAAGAGGGGAGGGGGGTGTGGTGAGAGTGAGAGTGAGAGGAGTGAGAAGTGGAAAGAGGATGATGAGGGTTCAGAAAAATGGCGAGGAAGTTGAGATGGACCAGAGTTTGCTCTTTGACAGCTCACGGGCTCCAAAGACTGGCGGAAACAGAAGGCAGACTGTCAGGGTAGAGTAGAGTGAGTACCTTACCCGATGTTGGACGGACGTGGAATTGAGACAGGATGATAAAACAGAGGGGCATGAGAGGTACGGGTAGGTACACAATGAAGATCGCGGAGAGCTGGCATGCGAGGCTTGCGATTTGCAATGTCGCAATCTAATGAGGCAAAGTATAACACGAGGAAGCACCTGGACTTGGGCTGGGCGGGCTTGTCGTGCTTGTGTCATGACGAACGGGCAGTATCATGTCTCAGTGGACTGGCTGTAGTTTACTTATGATTACCATAGGCATTCATTTGTGGGAGCTCGCGCAGACTCTTCACGCACCCGCGCTGTATCAAAAGGCACGTCAGGTAGTTGATACTTTGCATCCCTATTGAAACAGCAAGGTACGCATACTGACAGTGTTCTGCCTCTGGCTGCCTCTGGAAATCAGGCTGGTCGGTCAAGAAGCAACATATCGTACAGTCCAATCTTCTGTCGTGCTGCCGTCTGTTTGTTGTGCCGGCTAGCCCCAAACCGGCTCCCATCATCCATGGAGGTCTCCAAAAGACAAATCCCCGGCTTTCACGGGGGAGTGCTGGAAGCTTGGAAGTCTGGAAGGGGAGGAATGTTCCATGTGGATGTTCCTCTACCAGGATCAGGGCTGCTTGCCCCTTTGAGTGAGCTCGGCGATGGGGCCGGATGGGCTGACCCTGACCGTTCAAGTGTTCGGTGTAAGAGGAAGTGAGTAACATTAAAATGGGATTAAAATGGGGGTAACTGAAGATAAGGTACCTGGCGACACGAGGTGGACAATAGAAATCAAAGGGGTTTGAGCATGTATTCTGCCGAGGCAGGGCTTTCTTCCGCAGTCTTCCTCCCTGCCTATCCTTCCCGTCGTCTTCGTTTTCTAGGCACAGAGCATGCCGCAACGGTGGATACAAAACCTGCGAATAGGTACCGCCTGTGTGATAATGGAGTCGGTGCAATTTTTCAGATAAAGAGATGATCAGTTCGGGGAAACAGAGAAAGAATGCCGCCGGAAGCCAGGGCAAGCTGGGATCACACAGAACAGGGCTGTTCCTTTCTTGCTTTGTACTGTTCAAGAGCTCCCACGGGGTTTACCGCCATTCGCGTCTGGGTCATCCCAGCCGTCGCATGCCGTCGGCGAGTTTCCTTTCTCTCCATCCGCTGGTAACTATTCATCATCTTTTCTGGCCCCGGATTTTCTTGCTTATGCGGCAGGCGGGTACGCAGTACGAGAATAATCCCACAGCAGCCTAGGACCTTGCGCTTTGGGGGAACTTGCGGGCCAAACGGATCGAATGGATGAAAATAAGGCGCAAGGAGGGAGGGGGCTCCGTCCAGTCTCCAAGTCTGTTCAAGGTCGTCCCATCCGCCGGAAGTCGGAAGTTGTACCTTCTTTTCTCCCCAACGTATTGGACGGAAATCGTACGGCAAGTTCAACCTTGCAATCAATGAGAACGAGGTGCCAACAGTGAGTACTGTCTTAATGTGGACTTGTGGAGTGAGGTATCTTAGTACCTCCGAGGCTCCGCTTGCCTTTCGCACGATCTAGACGGTTACGGAGCTGTAGCTTGCATCTTGCGTTGCTGAATTCCAGTCAAATTGGTAAGGCGGCATTCTTCTAACCTATTTTCACTTGAGATCGTCGAAAGATGGGACCGAGGGATAGACCTTATCTCGGTGAGAAGCCTTGGGAACTTACCTCCAAACCGAATTTGGAAGTGATAAAACAACTGGGACTAGTTTCAAAAGCCTCTATTTGATTGCAGAGGAGATGGGGACAGTTGAGAAAAATCCTCCAACTGTCACAGAGTCGGCCATTATTCCTAGAGGCAAGGTAATGCTTGCCGACGGGGAGACGGGGATAGCAAGGCCATGTGTCTTTTTTAGTCCATGGGGGAATACGGAGTACCTACTACAACATAGCTGCTCTCTATCTGGCATTCGGCTCACGCGCCGGATCGCCATACCTCCTTACGCGGGGTTTTCTCGTCCGTTCTTTTAGACGTGAGAATGTTCCATGGGGATGGGATAGAGAGGCACAGAGCATTTCCTCATTTTTATTGAATTTTTCTCTTCAATGGAATCTGGAACTTCCCTCCCACAACCTCCTTGCCTGAAGTGGACCAAGGCAGGTAACTAAACTCCACTAATCAGGTACGTAAGGGGAATGTGGGGTCTCTCTTGCATTTTGCGGAGAAGCCCGCCAAAGTATGTAAGGAAACCCCCAACTTCCTGCATTCCCCAAACTCTGGGGACGAAGCCACGGGCAGGGAACTTCCAGGTTCCCCCTACAATTGTACACACCACATAGCAGACAACACATAACACACGGCAGCTTCACACCACCTCGTTCCCCCAAACACATCTCGGCCACGAGGTAGACGGTGGACTAGGCCTGGAAACGACATGCTACAACCTACACACCTTGACACTTCACCTTCCCGTCCTGCGACGGCACCCTTGGGTGACCCCCAATCCGACACTCGTTTTGGACTCTTGGTCTTGCGAGACAGGGGCTTGGAGGCCAACGGAGCGTAGCTACTCTCAAGTACGGATATGGAGTACGAATACATCGTGGCACGCAGACACCGAGACTAGAGAATGCATAGGTATTGAGAATCAGGATAGGGTAGGGTGTGGCGTCCTACCACTTACACGTCTCCTGCAGCCTCATCAACAATGCTGCGGATTGTCAGCAAGCCCACGTCGTGCAATCAACCAGGCCGCTCGTATCAAGCTTCCCAAGTTTCCGCAAACGACGTAAATACCCTCCTTCGCCTCTACTTACGGCTTGCGTCCTGACTCCTGACTCACGGCCCCCAAAGATTCTGGTCCAACCTCACCTCTTTCTGCCACGTTGCCTCCAGGCTTCAGCTGTCAACAGAATTTCTCACGCCTTCCCGGCGTTTCTATTGTGCCCCAAAACATGCACACCCATCGCCGTTCCCCTGATCTGGACGGGAAAATTCAAGGCCATTAGCGTCATGGCGCCGCTTATCCTTGAACACAGGCCGCCATCCATCAATACCTCATTTCACTTCCCATGCCAGTTGTCATGGCTGGCCTATCGTCCTGCCGCCACCGTCCTCGGGGAACACAAGCCGGCGCAACAAGGGTGTTGACCACGACCGTCTCTACTCGTCCAGCGTGTTTGTGTTACCGGGTGTCTACGCGCTTCGACGCGAATGGTCTGTTTTAGCCTGTCGGCCTCGGCCCAAGCTTCCGCTACTATACGCTCGGATGGGGGATTGACGTCCAGAGTACGAAATGCTCACCACACTCCTGTTGCATCTTGCCGTCCCCAAATGCAGCTTACTTGACCACTAGGAACTCCTTTTGTCATACCGAGTTGCGGTGTGCAGCTACGCTTCGGTCTCAAGTAGCTGACTGGCGCACAGTTGCCTGCTGTGGTCGCGGCTCAGTGCCCATCCGACGCTGCCAGGCTACCTTACCCTCGGACACGAGACCTGCTTCCAAAAGCGGCGTACACAGATACATCACCATATGACTGGCGCCTCCGTTACTTTTGATTTGTGTTTGCTCGTCATCAAATATCAATACTTCAGCTGTCCGCTCGGGTAGCTAACGCCCGTACTTTAGACTTCCGTTCCCCGCGTTTCCGCCAAGCATACGGCGCCGCGCCCCGAATCCTTATTCGACCCCACCTTGCAGCGATGTCTCACCTGGGACATATAATTTCAGCTCTTCATCTTACCGCCAATATTGCGTCAGAAAGCCTTCGCCAAGGCCAGACCACCTCTAGCATGTCAGAAGTCCGTGACCTGAGTTCTGCCTCACCTGTTGTTGTCAGAGCTAGTAATCTCTTGTGTGTTCGTATTCATCTCAGATTGACGCGAAGCTATAGCCAAGTGGTGGTCTCACTGTAAGGTCTTGAGAACCATGTAGGGCAGCATTCCGCCGTTACAGAATTCCATGTCGCAAACGAGATATCTCCTCGGCATGTCTCGCCGTTCTGCGGCGTTACAAGACAAAGGTATCGCCATACTGCTCCCAGTTTGACGTTTCCTCAGAGCTGCGACCGCCGCCGATGGAATCTCGATTACAAGCCAGTGGATTGCAGTAAGCTTGCGCTGTTTCCGTGTCTAGACGAGCAAGCTGGACATTGATTGAGGTTGTAGTAAGAGGTCGGTTTGTTGAGAACCGTACTTGCATTTGTTGTGGACCGAAAACACCACTCTGCCGCTCGTGGAATTCCTTGCCCAGAAGCAATCTTTGCCCAGCTCCTCAAGACCGCAACTCGACCGCGTATGCATGGTGAGAAGGGCTCAAATGTTGTCGCCAACAAAACAATCCGTGCTACCCGTAGACGGACGCAGTTCATGGGGCTTGAACGCCGTCAAAGTAACACACCATGTATGCTCGCGGTCGAAGCACGATCTACCGAAAAGACTTTGGACGACTTTTTCCTGAAAAGTGACGGGGAACCCCAGTGCGATATTCCGATTCGCTGTTCTATTGCCAGTATGCCCGCGCAAGGTTTCGGGGAAAGGGGGAAGAATGAGACGCAACACCCGGCTGCGGTCAGAGTTGGGATGGAAGTGAGATGGGCTGGCATCGCTACCCCGGAGTTACTGGGATGCTCCCGGCCGGGCCCCTCTTGGACGGGAGGCTAGCATGCAGACAGACCGCATTGCTTTGGATCTGCGCGCTCTCCCTCTCCGTGGGATAATGCTTGGATTGTCGTTAGATGGTTCTGAGACTTGACCACTGCAAAGTCCGAAAACTGGCGTCTTGAAGTGCATGCCGCTCGTTTAGCTCGGGGCGCCGTGTGGGGCCGCTCCGTCTGTAAGCTATCCTCTTAGCGGCCGGGCAGGAACGTCTTCTAAGGCTGCATATCCATCAAGAAGTCATGATATATGTCTTGTACTACAACAAGTCGGGTTTAGAAGTAAGCTTATCGCTGTTAAATGTACTGAAATTTGACTCGTGGATCTCAAGTGCAAGAATGCATGATGTATATGGCCAGGTCTGGTTTCTGTATCCCTCCTTGTCGTAACGTCTTCGAGCAACTGGCGTAGAATAATGACTGGCGTTTGTGACTCAAAGAGGAGGGCCGGTGACTATGAGGGCGAATCTGAGTGAAAGAATGTAGGTCAGTCTTTAGAGCCAAACTCGTCCAGACAAAGCTTTAGAATGTCCAATTTATCGCAGCCGCCGGCCTTCATTGACTGCCGTAGCAGATCCACTCCTTAACGTATGTATACATGTATATCCCAAGATTCTCTGAAATCCCTATGTTCGATTCAAACCGATGAATAGATCGTTTTCCGAGGACCCTTCTATTCAGGCGTAATGCCAGATATGGTAAGGGGAGGTACCACCGACTGCCAAGCCTGTCAGAACTGAGGATGAGGTGCATATGAGATCCGATTTGAAGGCCAATTAACTCTCGCAGATGACCATAACGCAACATCTGCACATCCTCTGGAAATGCAGTCCGAACCTCGATGCCATTTTCCAGTCGGCTCTCCGCCCGTAACACGACGGCAGCACACATTGCTTTTCTCAAGCCGTTTGCCCATGATTACAAGTTTTCTCGAGCATGGGTGCAGGCAAACTTTCCAACAGACTTGTCCAGTCATAGGGCGAGGGGTATCGCACCCCGCCGCGCCAGTGGAGAGAGGGAGATTTGCCAAGTGGTCTAATGTGAGAACCAACAGAACCAACCAACGACTTAGTCCTCCTTTGACAAGCAATTCTTTGGCTTGTGGCCTTTGGAGGAACATGTTTTTTCTCGTCTTCTTCATACTTTACATTCTACAATACTGGTGTACGTCATAACCAGCAAAACATACTTTGACGTATAATCATCTCATTCACCCTTCAGAATGGGCTCGGATATAGCTAGAAGCCCTTTGTTCTTTGGTTCGTTCTACAATCACTGGGATCGGCATCCTACCTGGACTCTTCTGGCTACCTTATTTGTTATCATTGTGCTGCTCCGAGTCTACGAGACAGCGAGACAGTACCGGCGACTGCGGCACTTTAAAGGTCCCCCTCTGGCAGCTGTATCCAAGTCATGGCTCCTCAAGACCGTGACGGGATCTCAGGGCCACCTCGAGTTCTACAACGTGACAAAGAAATATGGTGAGTGACTTCGTCTCTATTTCGCCAAAAAAAGAAAAAAAATGGTGCTCGAGCGCTCGCCGAGTCATACAAAGTTGGGGGAAATTTTCGCTTTCTAGACAGATAACGGTCTACTCGAAGGTTTTCCAGAGCGCAGGCGCACAAGAACTTGAGGCTAATAAAAAATCAATTTGCAAAAAGGATCCCTCGCGCGCATCGGCCCCAATGACCTCCTCAACGACGACCCTGCCCTCATGAGGCGCATGCTCGGCGTGCGGAGCGAGTACCGGCGCTCAGACTGGTACAACGGCATGCGCTTCAACCCATCGAGAGACAACGTCCTCTCGTGCAGAGACGAGGACGAACACACCAAGCTACGATCGAAGATGGCCGCGGGCGTGAGTCGTGTCAGGGGAACTCTCCGTCCAATGCGTGACTAACGAAGAGGGCTCTCCTTTAGTACTCTGGCCGCGAGGTCCAGGCCTTTGAGCAAAAGATTGACGAGAATCTCCTCCGGTTGATCGCGCTTATCGAAGGCCATGCAGACGAGAGTAAGTCATTCGATTTTGGTAGAAAGGCGCAATTCTTCACGCTAGACGTCATTTCGGATCTAGCGTTCGGGGAGCCGTTTGGGTTCGTGGCGTCCGATTCGGATATGTACGAGTACATCAAGACGACGGAGGTGAATTTGCCCGTGTTTATGGGTATGACTGTGGTACCCTGGGTCATCAGGCTGTTCCGGTATCCTCTGCTTAGGTTGATGCTGCCTACGGAGAAGGATCCGCTGGGCTTCGGTAAGGTGATGGGGTGAGTTTGACGGCGTCTTTCTCCTGTTTGGTACAGAGCAATGGTTTGAATGACTTCACCAGCTGACTTTTCCTATTCAGGATAGCAAAGAGGTTCTCCGCCGAGCGGTTTAGTCCTGGTGCGAAAGTCCAGAGAGACATGCTGGGTTCCTTTGTCGCCCACGGCCTCACGCAAGAGGAAGCTGAGTCCGAGATCCTGCTTCAGATGTAAGTCCTGCACCGATCCTCCTCTCCCTATTCAGGATGTATTGTGAGGGGAGAAAATGAGCAGCAAGAGACTTACGCACCTTCTAAGCATCGCCGGTTCCGACACAACGGCAACAGCAATCCGCGCCACGCTCCTCTACATCATCACAAACCCCCGCGTCCACAACAAACTCCTAGCAGAGATCCTCTCCTCTGACATGAACGCGAAAACCGCTACTCACGACCGCCCCGTCATCTCCGATGCCGAGGCCCGTAACTTAACCTACCTCCAAGCGGTCATCAAAGAAGGGCTGCGCATCTTCCCGCCCGTGGCGGGTCTGATGGCAAAGCAGGCGCCGCCAGAGGGCGACACGTGGAACGGCGCCTTTATCCCCGGCGGCACGCGCGTCGGGTGGTCTTCGTGGGCCATGTTTCGCCGGCACGATGTCTTTGGCGAGGATGCGGACGAGTTTAGGCCGGAGAGGTGGCTGGTTGGTCAGGATGAAGATGCAAAAGAAGAAGACGGGACGACAGGCGCAGCAGAGAAGAGACTGCGCGAGATGGAGGCGACGATTGAGTTGGTTTTCAGTTATGGGCGGTATCAGTGTCTCGGGAGACCGGTTGCGTTGATGGAGTTGAATAAAGTGTTCTTTGAGGTACGTTTTGCTGTGGCGAATTCTCTTTCTCCTGCTCTACTCTTTTGTGCCATCTCAGCACGTTGAAAGTGGAGCGAAAGGCCTGACTTTGGAGATATATACTGACAAGGGTGTTCTCTCAGCTGCTTCGACGATTCGAGCTCACCATCTGCGATCCGTTGAACCCGTGGAGGACTTTCAACTGCGGTATTCACGCACAGTCTGAGTACTGGATCCGAGCCCAACGGAGAAAGTAGATTATGGAGTTTCAACCTTCATTCTCAGCTCTGAAACTGGCTGGGCTGGGCAGTAGGCCTGATACTTTCTGGAGTATGTTGTAAACTGTCTAGGATACCTAAGGTCGTTCTTGGAGGTTAGCCTATCTGCTTGCGGGCTAGAATCAACAGTGATATATGTTGCAGATTGTCCTGCTGTATGACAGCTGAACTCCTAACAAGCCATATGAAAGTTTGCGTCTCTACCTATACGTTATGTTGCGCGAATCTCAAAGCATTATGAAATGAAATGAGAGTAAAACAGCTACGAGTACAGGGAGAAAGATGTATGCTGCAGCCTACTATGCCTCGCGAAACACCTCACCCATGACACCTTACCTCAGCCCTCAAAATGCCACCTTAACTTCATAATAAAGATTCTTCTACAACACGGACCCGAGATCAATATCATTGTCTTGAATTTTCCACTCGAGATTCTCAATAAGAAAACACCACGAATTATCCAGTGCTATAGGAAAGAGAGGTCAGAAGTATAACACCCAATTGGCTAACTCACCTCGGTGAGCAACCCCACAAAGCACTCCCATTGGCTTCTCTCATCCCCCTTTAACCCCGCATACTCCACGTTAGCTTGGGAACCGCTAGGTGCCCCCGTCGCGTTTGTGCCTCGGCATCTCGAACATATCTCCCAGTCGTTTCGCAGATTTCCCGCCATTCTCTTTCATCGTCATCGATCGTTTGAGTCCTCAACACATCATCCACTGCCCAATTTCATCTCATCTCATCTCACCTCAGTTCAGTGCTGTTCACCAATAAACAACAGAAGCTCGCTCATTTCTCATCGCATTCGCACCTCATCTCACTCCATCTCACCTCCAATCGCTCTAGTCGTAATATCCAAAACCGAAAATAATGGCATCATCCGACGAGGACAAGAAGATTGTGCTGTACCACTACTCCGCCTCGCCCTACGCGAAGCGGATCGTGTGGTACCTAGCTCTCAGAGGCATCCCCTACGTGCAGTGTGTAAGTCGACAACTCTCACACCTTCATCTTCACCACGATTCGTTTTTCCATGGTCCTATTCACCTACGAAAAAACTAACAAACCGCTCTAGATGCAACCTCCAGTCCTCCCCCGCCCAGACGTATCAAAACTAGGCCTCAACTACCGCCGCATCCCCATCCTCGCCATCGGCCGCGACGTCTACCTCGACACACGCCTCATGCTCCGCAAGCTGGAACAACTCTACCCTTCACGGCCCCGCCTCGGCGCCACCACCCCCGAACACGCAGCCGTGGAGCGCCTCCTCGAAGCCCTCATCATCGACTCCGTCTTCTCCAACGCAATCAACGTGCTGCCCACCAACTTACCAATGCTCAAAGACCCCAAACGCACCTGGTTCAAGGACCGCGAGGACTTTGTCGGCGGCAAGCTCTCCGCCGAGACGATAGAGCGCGGGCGGCCCAACGCCGTCAACGAGATCCGCCGCACCGTGGCGCTCCTCGAGACGACGCTGCTCGCCGACGGCCGGGACTGGGTTTCCGGCACGGAGGAGCCCTCGCTGGCGGATATCGAGGCCGTGTGGCTGCCGCACTGGTTAGCTTCCCTCCCCGGCGCGCTGCCGGCGGAGCACGTTTCCAAAGAGCAGTTTCCCAAAGTCTTTGCCTGGATCGAGCGCTTCCAGAAGACGACCTCGGACGCTAGAAAGGCGGCTGGGAAGGTAGCCACGGTGTCGGGCGACGAGGCGGCGGAGATCATCGTCTCGTCACCGTACAATGAATCAACTACAGGAGGAGTCGATGCCAAAGACTTGCTCGTGATCGCGCAGGATCTCAAGGCGGGCGACGAGGTGATCGTCTGGCCCGCCGACACGGGCGCCTCGCACAAGGACACGGGGAAGCTTGTGAGCCTCGACGGGGACGAGGTCGTCTTCGAGGTCACCGGGCCCAGGGGTACCTCCGTGAGGGTCCACGCGCCGAGGCATGGGTTCCGGGTGGAGAAGCTGGAGAGGTATAACGCGCGCACCGGGGCGGCCGCGAAGCTGTGATTTCTTTTTTTTCCTTTTCTTCTCCCGCGAGCGACCACGGCCCGAAGTCCTTTCTGCAACCTCCGTCATTCGCCGGGTGCCGTTGCCGGAAGAGGAGCATGGGTATGTTGCTCCGGCCAAAGACCTACTCATTCCAGAGTGTCTTTACAGGCCGGAGCGAGTGTTCGGAGGGGGAAGACTCAGAAAAGCGTTCTATCAGAGCTCGGCGTGACACCATGCGACGCAGTCGGTAGAAACGTGAAACAAACACCCGCGCTACATCATTGATAAACTACCCATCGAGAATCTGGAGCATCATCAGACTTATTAGAGAGGGGAGGAATGTGATCAACATGCAGCTCCGAAACATATCAGGACGCCGCGGCTAGTGACTAGCTGGCATATTCTGCAATTAAAACATGCTGAAAAAAAGCCACAAATGATGACCGTCCACACAACTTTCCCATCGTCCCGACGTACCGAGAAGCTGTTTTCGGCTTCGAGATGTCAGAGACCGCGTGTTACGTGAATAGATAGGCCGGAAAGGGCAAGCTGAGTTTCATCCCAGCATGCACCGGCTTCCACAGCTGAGGTTGCCGAATGTTTTGTTGCCACTGTTCAAGCTATGGAAATGGGATAATTTGCAACGGCTGAAGATCGAGTGGCAATCTCGATAAGCTAAAGATGAGTTCCAAAGTAGGCTTGGCGGAAGGATGAAGACTGTTATTAACGAGCGCGGGACGTAGGCTTCTACGTTCGGCTGCTACGCATGCCGATATAGATGTTGATGCAACACCCGGGATTCTTTGGACGTACCAGCCTATCATAGTGGATCATCTATCTGCCGGTACGGCTCTTTGCTTAGAATCCCATCCATCCCATGATCTTCCTCGACCTGTTCGGAAGGAGGGATTATTGGACTTGTATTTGCGTGATGTGAAGCGAAGAAGATATGGGCACATAGTGGCACAAAACAATGTCCAAATGTTGATAATCAGTTTTCGGAAGGCTACCTTGTCGATCCGGCAAAGAGGCGCACAACCCGCCAGCTGAGTCTGTCGAATATTTCCATCATAGACAAGCGCGCTGGCACGTCGACGATTTGGAGCCCTCAGATCATCGGATGAGATCCTCCGCCAGGGACCCGGAGGGGGGTTGAGGCTAACACAAGGCACTTGTGGCGCCGACCCGGTGGAATGGGGCAGCGGACGCCGCCGGACGGAGAACATTGGGCCTAGACGGCGCGATAGGTCTGAGCTGACCCTGCTACGGCCAAGCGTGATGTCTCTCGTCCGAGGCACGACGTGGGTTTGTGGTTCTGGACCCGAATTCCCCATGCGACGTTGTGGTCGTTCGCACTTCGCTAGAGGGAAATCGAGCATGCAGCAGTCAGATCGATATCGAGATTGATGCCGAGCCTGGGTTTAGACTGGGCGTCCATCAAACGTGCCGTCTCAGCCATGCTCTAGACGGATTTCTGCCGTCATCGCTCCGTCAATGTATTCTGGGGAAAGCTTTAGATCTGGTTATTCCAGCATGAGCTCCGTCGAGATACCAGGGCCAAGCTGGGTACCATAATGCGTCCAAGGCTCAAAGGGGTCGGTCGAGTGGACAGGCCCCGTGTACAGTGTGACGCGACGCGCTCGCGAAAGTGCAAAGTTTAAGCACAGTGCGATGGAAAGATGGTGCGAAAAGAGGAGCAAAGGCATGCAGGATGCAAGGATGTTCTCCGGGTCTAGTGCGTCATACGACGGTAGCCGACGGGACAAGTCAGTCTGCTCCGGGAATACGTACCGTTTGCTGACCTGAGACTCCCCGTTCGCTTCCATTCTCACTCACCTCGGCGTCCAGCGCGAGAACGCAGCAACACCCCCCATCCAAGCAAACCACGCGTGAAGAAGACGGGGAGCAAGCGGTCTCCGCGGAGCAATCCAGTGGGTCGCCGGAAATCAGAGGGAAAAAATTTGAAAATTCCGTCATTGTCGCAAATTACGGACCCTTCCTTATCAGAATTGCAACCTCCACCGTCGATGAGGACAGTTTTTGACACAAACTCATTGTGCGGATGACTCTGGACAAGTCAAGAGACCGTTTCAATATGGTCTTGACCACTGTTCGGACCTCGAGCAACCATGGGAAGGTACCACACCTTTGAAAATCGCATCGCCGACCGTGCCGGGGCGACTGTGAGTGGGCAAGCAGCGTTGGGCTCGTTTGCTTGGCTTTGTTGGCCCAGATTTTTCTATTCGTCAGCATCTTGCTAGACATAGTTACGTCATGACCAGTGACGCCACCAATGCGATACAAAAACTGAAAAGTATCGAGACAGTGCGGACCCAATTGCAGAGCCGACATTGGCCAAAGCTGTGACCATCGAGCGCATCTGGTGCCGTTTTCAAGAACTTTGCCAATCTTCCATCTCAAGCTAAAAACAGGTCAACCCCATGAATAAGGCCGTGACGTGATGTTTGGGAGCAGACAGACTCGCTTGTCAAAACGGAGAGGTATCAGCTAGTTTGTTAGCAACAAGAAGCATGAATCCTTGCCGTTGACGGGCAGTGGACACTGGGAGGATGCGAAGTATTTCCAACAGTTCAAGTATGGTAGTCTTTCCGTGTCTGGCTACCCGAAGCCTAAAGGGTATCGCTACGGAGCAAGATAGATGTGCCCCGTCTGGCGCGATTGTTGTGACGCAATTTGTTGTACGGATACTCTGCAGTTGAGTGTGAGAGAGCGGGGACTGGCTGCCGGGGCCTCCCTGGCTAAGCTGCAGCTCCTTGGGACACCCTATTGGATGTTGAAGACAGTAATTTGCCACTTCGGGTTTCCCAGTCGCGTCAAAAACCGACCGTCCATGTTGCTAGTCCTGCGGCTCCTGGCTCATTCTCACCGGCAGATTTGGTCCAGGAACTTCAGGTAGCTGCAGCTTAGAAATTCATGGCTGATGGCCGCTGTGCAAGGACACGCAAGTGCAACGACCTGGGGTGATGTTTGATACAATCGTGGTAGGTTGACGAGTGTAGGTAGGTGTCTGTGACTATACAGTGGCTATACGGTTCAGGTAGCGTAGACCGGCGGGATCGTGATGGGGGATGAAAACTCTTGCTCGAAAGGGAAACGAGCCTGTCGATCTCTTCACCGTAACGATTTTCCTGTGGCCAGATTCCTCCGGGAGACCAGCAGCCGCACGCTTTAGACATCTAGCAGGGAACAGGTGGCAGGTGGTTCGATGGCGTTGACTGTTCTAGACTCTCGCGAATGGTGAGATGCAGGCCAGGGCGATGCGAAAGGCCAGGTCGAGGCCATTGTTGACCTGTTTTCTTGCTGTCCGGTGGATGAGGATGGATAGCAGCATCCGTAGAGAAGAGGGTGGCTCGGTGGGCGATTATGAAGGAATGGGAGGTGGATGTTCTGTCGACTCGTGAAGTCAGCACGTCAGTTGCGCAAGCTCCACCTGGAGCGGCGCTTGAAAGTCGAGGCAAGGCCCAACCAAAGGGAAGAAGAAGAGGAACAAAAAAAGAAGAGGGACGGGATGCCATGGCCCTCGAATGCGACAGGAAGGAAAAGTGATGCAATCCATGCAGGGGTCGGAAGACTTGGGGGAGGGGACCACCAAATGGAGACGTGCAGCCACAGTAGAAAACGTTGGCTGCAGATACTGGCTGGGTGGTGCCAGGTGCGTTACGACAATGAGGGGGGGGAATACTTGGGCCACCCCCCCGGACTTGCATTTTCAACCAACCGGCAACTCTCACTGTATGGTGGCTGAAGTCTGATTGGTCAGTTCGCATACAGTGTGTGCAATTTGCCTGATTTTCCACCCATAATGTACAGTGCGGATAATGTATCAGGCTGACGGAGGACGGGACGGTGATAGCAGCGTGGAAGAGAAACATTTACGTGCCGAGCGTGGGAGGGAAGACTCAGCATCCTCTACTGGTAGATAGGCTCTACTTCACGGCAGTCTGAAAACCTCAACAGCGAGCCAAGACATGGTGGTGGTGTTGGCTGTGGTCCGAGGCATTGCAGCAGCCGTCTCTACATCTTCCTTCAGCTGATAAATCAAGATAAGGCGAAGACGAAAGAGACAGAGTGGCCACTCAAAGGCAAAGATGTGTCCATAGATGGAGAATGTGAACGAGATGGTGCGCGGCTTCGGCAGACTCGTCTGCCGTCATTCGCCTGAGGCGATAAGATGGGATGGAGTCTGATGTACGGAATAAAGGTACACATGTTGAGTCGCTCTACACTCCCGTCGAAGTATGTACACTACTGAGACTACCTGAGGTACCTTAGGATCTGTGGTCGAATCCCCAGCATCTACATACAGATAGTTGGGCAACTAAGCCATCCAGTTGCTCGAGGGAGCTTGCGAAATGCGAGAAGGGGGACTCGATCGAGGATGAGGTGTTGACCAGGTCCTCATGTCGGTTGCAATCGAGGCAGCATTCGTTCCTACCGTTCCTACCTTAAGGTACCTTCCTTCTCTCGCGCCATTGTCGAACGCGCACTACGTACCTGTCCTTCCGTAGAGGTACCTGGAAAAGGTACTTAGTTAGGTTGCTAAAGTGGAATGCCAGACAGGTGTGGTGGGACCATTCCCCATTGGTAAGCCGTTCTTGGACGTCGGGGCATTCGGCGCACAGTGCGACAAACAAGTCCCCACAAAAGCCCCAGCGTTTCTCGCAAAACGGGGAAGGAGGAAGACAGAGAGAGGAGGAAAAAAAAAGGTCAGGAGCAACGGATAGCAAAAGGGGAGGAAGGAAGCGCGCAAGAGGAAAAAGAGACAGGAAGCCTGTCAAGAGACTGAATGGGGGACGGGGGGGTCGTTGTTGGAAGGGGTGGGCACTGGACGTGGATGGGGACATGGACATGGACGTGGGCGTTTTGGTGTCAGAGTGTGCGCCGCCGCCCACCCATTTTCTTTTCTTTCGTGCGCCCTCGCCCTTTTTTTTTAAAATCAACCACCGCGCAACGTCATACTTGACCTGTGACGTCTGCCGTTTTTCTCCCCCGACATCTCACTCTCACAACGATACTCGTTCTGCACCCCCATTAGCACGTCCCCGGGTACGCATCCAGACAGAGGCCACAACTACGCAATACCTCTTATTTTTCCTGCTGGCGGCCGTAGAGAGTGAGAGACAACTTTTTTTTCTCACCACCGTCGTCGATCGTCGAAAGCCATTCCATTCTCGTGCCGCTTCCATTACAGAGGAGCGCTGCAATAGCGTAGCTGCTGCCTCTGACGGCTAACCTTTTGCTGCCGTCGCCATCGCTGCTTTGCCCGTCCCTCCTATACTGCGCAGCGGATTGGTTTCCCCCCCGATCTCTCATCGCTTCCAACCCAGATCTATCTTTCTAAGCTTATTCTTCTGCGTGTCCAACTCCTCCTCTGACCTCATCTGGCTTTTTCAACACTACCATACCTACATCATCATCCCTACCCTGCTACCGTCACCTTTTGCCTTTGGCGTCCACCCCACAAACGTCAACAACGCTTCTTTCCCCAAATATAATACATCATCGTCGTCATCATGGGGACCTCACCGAACGACGCCTCGACCGGAGGTGATACGAAGTCACCCAAACAGTCCAACAATGCCACTCCCCCACGTCAAAGTAAGTCCGACACCCTCTCCATCGCCTTACTTGTTGTTTCTTCACCGATAGGCATCGTCGTTGTTGCTGCCAATATCGTCGTCGTCGTCGTCTTCGTCGTCGTTCACTCGCTTACCACAATATAGACACCATTCCGGAAGTGAAGCAACCCGACCCGAGTCTGAAGCCCGATGCTGACGGCGCGAAACCTCTTGGTCCTCCCCCTCGACCTGGACAGACGACTGGAAATACTCCCGATTACTTCGGCGCCGGAGCCGCCTCTCTCAGTCTGGAGCCCAATCCTTTTGAGCAGTCTTTCGGCGGAGGCGCGCCAGAGACACCAGGTGGTACGAAATTGCCATCCGTTGCTGCTCTGACCTCGCCATCTTCGTTGCTCCCTGGTAGCGGCGCAACTCCATTCAACTGGGGAGGAGGTTCTCTGCGAACCGGTCCTTTGAGCCCGGCCATGTTGTCAGGTCCTACCAGCGATTACTTCAGCGATACGCATCACCTTCGTGGCGGATTCCCGACCCCGAACGAATCTTCGTTGAGAACTGGCTTGACTCCCGGTGGCAGTGGTTCCATGTTCCCTGCCCCCAGCCCTAACTCTCAGCAACTATTTGCCCAGTTGGCCAGTGGTGGTGCCACGCCTAGCACCATCGATTTCCATCGCACTGCGTTAAGTGCCGCTGCGAAGCGTGACACGCAGGCTCAGAATCAGAACCAGAACCAAAACCAAAGTCAGCCCCAAAACCAGACACAGAACCATAATCAGCAACAGACAGCTGTGACATCGCAGCCGCAGGAGATGCCAAACGGTGCAACTACTGTCAAGACTGAAGCAAAGCAGTTCGATCCGCACGATAACGACGCAGCGAACGGTCTGTTTATGCTTGCTCAAGGTGCGCAGGGAAGAAACGGTGCTCCAAACGGCGGATTCGCGGCAGCACAAGCACAATCCCAGGCTCACCCGCCTCCACCACCTGCTCAAGGCGTCAACACGTCACCTCAAATGAGTGCCAACGGTGCTGGATCTGTCGGTGCCGGGTCGTCAGTCCGTGGTGTTAGCGAAGGCGGAAGTGCGATGTCGGATGAAAGCGAGCAAGCCCGTCCCGCAGCCAGGGGCAAGGGCAAGCGCAACTCGACTGGCGGCGCGTCGACAAATGGCCGAAGAAAGGCTGAAGAGCCGCCGGCGAAGGCCCCTCCCGCCAAGAAGTCAAAGCCGAACAACAATGCCCCCCCTCCTGATATGATGGGCGATGATAGTCAATCGGATGATGACGACATGAAACATGAGAATGGTGAAGGCGGAAAGTCGAAGATGACTGACGAGGAGAAGCGCAAGAACTTTTTGGAACGTAACAGGTAAGTCCCAACATTCGAACAGTCGCTTCCAGTGGGACCGTCGCTAATCTCTTCATACAGAGTTGCCGCCCTCAAGTGTCGCCAGCGCAAGAAACAGTGGCTGGCTAATCTCCAGTCAAAAGTTGAACTGTTCAGCAGTGAGAACGATGCTCTCACAGCTCAGATCACGCAGTTGCGTGAGGAGGTTGTTAACTTGAAGACATTACTCCTGGCCCACAAAGACTGCCCTGTTACGCAACAGCAAGGCCTTCACGGTGCCTTCATGCAACAGGCCATGGAGCCATTCAATCCCCAGATGAATCCGTATGGCATGGCCGCTCCTATTCCCAACCAGCAAGTCCTGGCGGCGGGTCAGGGTGTGCAACGCCGCTTTTCATAGGATGACAAAGCCTTGTACAACAATCATTTCGAATATGAGGAGTTGGAGGATTTGATCCATCAATAACAACCCGTTGAGGTTGCTCTTCTCGGATAGTCTACGGCGACACCGAGATTACGACTTTCATGCTGTTCCATTCTCTGGCCCAGTCATATCTTACGGCTCAACTGTATCATCATTATATACGACATTTTGGCGCCAATATCTTCACTTCGCTTCGTTTCTACGAGGGGTTTGCAAGCAACCAGGGGTAAGCTGCCCAGTAACAGAGGCAGTCCACCTTGGGCAGGCGGAGGTGGGGAGTTTGGCAGGCGTCATTGGCTTGCTGCAATTGTATCAGTCCATCATTGGAAGGGCTAGATACTGGGCATATACATCAAAAGGAGTTCAAGGGTCGGCAAGTCATTTGAAAGGGTGTAGGCGTCGAGGGGTGGTCGATGGGAATAAGCCATCGTCTGCTAGCTGATTGATTTGATTGGATTTATAGTAGCAATGGTAACAAGAGCTGCATGAACGGCAACGCCTCGTGGTCATTTAATTTATGAGATTTCACCTCCATAATGAGTCTTGAGATGATGTGTGCGTAGATGAACGTGTATCAGTTTTTGACTAATTGTTCTGCACATGAATACGGCCACCATTATGCTTAGGATACCTAGACACGATGGACCGCAAACCGAGTTGTGATTAAATAAGGTATAGATAGTTAGGCACCGGGACCATCCGTCGACAGCAGTGAGTGGAACTAATACCTACCTAACTTGTGGAAGTGATGTAAGTGAGGCAGTCATGTTCCAGGGTTGTGAGTGGTCGAGAGGGGTTGCCCAAAACGGACTAGCGCGACCTCTCGGGTAAATCATCCCTCACTCTTGTAAACAACATCGCAGAGAAGGACCACCCCAACTTCGTCTCGCGCCGCCAACTACCACACCCGCCCAAACGCGAAAATCACGACAGCACCCCGCTGACCACACTTCTCACAAGATTGGAAATACGCAAAAGCGCACCGAAATTCTGGTCGCCTGGGATTTTTGACGCGCCAATTGACGCGCTTTTCGATTGCCTCGAGGCGCGACTTTCCGATTCCTACACCGAGCGCCACCTTTTGTCTCTCGACCGCATGCTTCATTTAACGCGCCATCCATGACGACCGTCATTCGCACCCGTCACCCGTTGCAAGTCATTAGCATGAGCAACGAGCAGCCAGAGAGAAGGAAAAGCAAGCGTCTTGCGGGTGAGTTGGAGGAGCGCGGGGAGGCGGCAAGGATGATGCTAAAACGACGCGCAGCTTCATCGGTTTACGACGAGCAGGATGGCGACTTCCACTTCACGCGCGGATCCAAATCGAAGCGAGTTAAGAACGCAGAACCCGAGCCAGAACCCGAACCGGAAATCGAAACTGAACCGGCGCCACTACCCCCGAAAAAGTCTGGAAGAGGAAGGCCAGCAAAAGGACGCGCTTCGGCGGCAGCGAAGGCGCCCGAGCCTGCATCACCAGTAGCTGCGCCGAAAGCAGCTGCTTCATCAAAGCCGCGAACGCGACGGACAGCGAGCACGCAGCCGGCGGAGGACGATGAGCTACAATTATTTGCGCCTAAGCGCACGACGAGCCGAAGCACGCGCAGATCGACTGGGAAAACAGAAAAGGCAAAGCCTGCCAGGAAACCAGCACCAGAACCAGTCCCAGAGGAGGAGGAAGAGCATGATGAAGTTGACAGCGCGACACCGAGGGAGCCGGAGCCGGATAGGCGGCGGACGCCACGCGCCATCGAGGAACCGGTCGAGTCTGCAAAAATCACGCTTCCCGTCAGCGACACGCCTGTTATCAATCGCAACAAGGAGATGAGGAAAAAGGGCGGAGGCAATCGTCGGAGCAGCACGGGTATGCGCGGTCGGAGAGCAAGTTCGCTGATTGAGAGTGGGCATAACGCGATACCCCACCGCGAGGTTGAAACTGCAGAATTTTACAAGCATATTGAGTCGGAGGGTCTCATGGAACCAAGACGGATGAAGCAGCTTTTGACTTGGTGTGGCGAACGAGCATTACTGCAAAAACCGCCCCATGGCCAGACAGATTCCAATACTGTTTTGGGTGGTGAGTAAAGTACGAATCCTGGAAACCCCGTGCCCAAGCTAACTTTTCCAGCTCGTTATATTCAGGAACAGCTCTTGAAGGACTTCTCTACAAAGTCAGAATTTTCAGACTGGTTCAGTCGAGAAGAAGAGGGGCCAAAGAAGCCCGTGGTCTACCTCCCAAACCCGCGCAATCTTGAACATCAAGAGAAAATTGAGCAACTGGAACAAAAAGTCAAAAGGTACACTTTCCGAATCCCCGAGCTCATGAAGATGCGGAGACTAACAAACCATAGATTAAAACTAGAAAAGAAGAAATGGCTGGCGCTAAACAAACCGCGCCCGGATATACCACCACTCTTCTCAGAAACAGACACAGCACAAACAGCAACAGCAGCCGACGCATCCATCCTCGAGCCAAATGAGGCAGAAATGTTGAGCTGGCTCACCGACCCGGCATCCTCGTTTGAGAATGTCCGCGCCAAAACGCTCGCCCGCCTGCAAAACACGCAGTCGACGCTGGAGTTTAAGGTGGACCAGCTCGCGGACGGCATACACAAGCTCTCCCAACGCGTTGACACGGCGGGCCGAGAGGCGGATAAGGTCCTCTCTCTCAGTGCCGCGCGGCTCAAGGAGCGGGAGGTGAGGGAAAAAGCCAACGCGGGCACCAAGGAGATGCCCGTCATGGAGGTGCTCCGCAGCCTGGGGAGGATATTACCAGAGGGCGGGGAATAAAGGAAACGATTGTTATTACACACAACGCCGCCGTTTCTCTCCTTTTTTTTTTCTTTAATGACGACCGACCTTTGAGAAGGGGGGGTATAATGACTGATATGAAATTGTGGTGGTTGGGTGGGCGGCGAGGTTCATTCCTCTCTTTTTTTGAATTGGCTTCCCTCGAGGGGGGTTGTTTATCGAGATGGGGGCCATCTCTACTGGCAGACACACAACGTTTTCGTTCCTTCTCTTTCGATGCTCGCTTGGCATGGAATCGGCGCTGGAGGCGGGCTTTCTGGGGACGGAATTTGAGAGGTACAGACTGCATCTCGAACGGAGTTTTCATTTAGCCAAATACCCACATGTTCTTTCGCTACCCGCGATTCTGCAGTATGGTCCTGTGATGATGCCGGGCATGAATGTTTTGGTTCGTTCGTTTTGATCAACATTGATGTTTGAGGATTCTTTGATAGAGTCGCAATGTGAAGCACGTTTCTCTCTTCTATTCGAGGATCCTTTCAAATGTTAGCCATGCAACACGACCAAGCTTTTTCGGCATCACTATTGGAATGCTATCTTAAGACCCTGAAATAGTCCCCCACACCTCCGTATTCTATCCGGGTGCCAATGAGGAAACTTGACTCATTCCGATCTGGATAATGAGGAACCACGCAAGGATCCTGTTATCAATGCCTTAATTATCTGCAGTGCCATTATAGTGTACTGTGCACGATCCAAGCCACTTCCGCGTGCCCGTCAAGATCGAACCGTCATACAGTGTTGATATCCGTGATATACGGTAAGTTTTTCCTACGGTCCGAGCTTCTGTTGCTGCATCGAAATCAAGGGTCTTGTACAGTTTTCGAGGCGAATTACGGGCGGGAAGTAGTTGCTTTATTCGTCCTCCCCCTCTACCTCGGTAACGTCAAAACCGACCTCGCACCTATCACAGCGTCCAATTTGTAAGACAGATCCTCAAGACACCCTTCTTCCCACCGACAACCTCGACTTTGCACAAGCGCAACGTCGGAACCGACTATTCCCCTCCACCCAACACCCCGAAATCAAATCGCAAAGAAAATGTCGACAGTAGCCCGCGCCCTCCGCCCGGCAGCTCGCCGCCTCCGCGTCACGGCGCCGGCACCCACGACGACAGCGGCGGCGCCCCTGGTCCTCCGCAGATGCTTCGCTGACAAGCCGCCCGTCTACACCGAGTCCGCCGTCAACAGCGAGCTGGGCGTCGGCGAGTTCGAGGGCATCAAGTTCCGCGTCGAGCCGCTGCGGCGTCAGGGCGAGGATGAGCGGACCATGCGCGCCCGTCTTCTTTGTGAGTGCCTTTTCCTTGGTATTCTTTCTACACTCGACTTCTAGTTGAGGAAACGATGAAGAGAGAGAGAGAACAAATTCATGCAGAAAGTAAGATCCCAAGCAACTAATCATTGCCCTACGGAAAAAACAGACCAGTCCCGCAAGCGCGGAACCCTCGAATCAGACCTCCTCATGTCGACCTTCGCCAACGAACACCTGCCGCACATGACAAAGTCCCAAATGGCGCAGTACGACCTCTTCCTCGACGAGAACGACTGGGACATTTACTACTGGGCCACCCAGGAAGAAGCCCCCTCAGCCTCGGCCTCGACTACAAAGACCTCGTCCTCCTCGTCGTCGAACGACACCCTCGCCTCCTCCACCGTCAACGCAGCAGAGTCCTACCGCCCCGTCGGCTCCGGCGCCGCCTCGACAATCGACTCCGGCAAGACCACGCAGAAGCCCAAGGAGGACGTCCGCACGCAGGACGTCCCCGGCGAGTGGGCCAACACCGTCGGCTCCTTCAAGGCGCAGTACCGTCCCGTGCCCGTGCGGTGGCAGGGTAGTGAGATTCTGGAGATGCTGAGGGCCCACGTGCGGAGCCGGCGCGCGGACGGGACTGTTGGTGTGCACCGGGACGTGCAGGAGCGCAAGGAGGGTGGGCTTGGGTTTATGCCGCCTCTGTTTGACGTTGACAGCGCGGGTAAGAAGAACTAGAGAGATATTTTAGATCTCGCTGTGAGATATGCGCCGACGAGTTTTGAAGAGAGAGGTTTGAGACATTTGTACCAATATCTATCAGGAAATATCATCTTGGGTGGGGAGGGCAAAATTATGGGAGCATGGTACATTATAGATGGCTTCATTGGAAGCTTAATTGCATGGTTTGGGGTGGAGAGAGATACCATTCACTCGGGAGGGGGATGGGCTCTTTGCAAGGCTTTATTGGAAGCTCTTGCCACGTGGAGCGATATCGTACACATCTGTAATTTGACAGCAATCAGAGGCTGCTAGCAAAGTCTCCAGAATAGACGTGTTGCTGCACAATGTACAAGATCCAAGGAGCAAAGACTGAGCACTTAGGACCGGAAGATATTGCAGAGACACTCCTTCAACTCAGGTACACCCTATGTGCCAGCCTCATCTCAGTAATCATAAACATGCCATAAGCACAATGCTGTAATGTAATCTGCGTTATATCATTCATGACTTTTATGGTGACCGTCGTATGTATGCATACACTAATACACACTCGAAAACCCCGAGGTGGTTTTTGATGCTTCCGATGGCATCACAGAGACTCTCATCATCACCGCTGTGCGGCGGCGCAACATCTCTCGTCTTCCGTAACTCCTTTACGCTGTTGGCAAGCCATTGGCTGACTTCCTTTTTCACTTCACCGATATATGGCATTTAAATCAGGTGCTTGGATCTGTCATAGCATCACACGGTTAGCATGTCCAAAGCTTCTCCGAGAGCACAGCAAAACAGAGCAAGCAACAAACCTGAAGTATGCCCGCAGGTACATAATCTGCCAACCCCACAGACCGACGAGGATGAGCGTCGTGCCGATGCCGAACCACTTGACGCGGGTGTTTGTGCTCTCGTTGGTGTCGCGCAGCTTGTGCTCGCGGGCGCGCAGGTAGTCCATCTCGGTGTTGATCTCGCTGACGAGCTCATCGATGCGCCTCAGCTCCGCCTCAACGGGCTTGAGCTTCTCCGTCGCCTGGATGGCGTTCCAGTCCTTTGCGTCGGCGCCGATGTCGATGTCGAGTTCAATGTGGCGGCTCGTTGCGCCGCTGCGGCCGGCTGTTGGTTTGGGACACTCTCGTCAGCTTTCTTGGTTCTTGTGCTCTCCTCAAGGGGTGCGGTAAAGGACAATTGGGTAAGCGGAGGGTTTCAAGCCATTGACATGGCAATGTGCGTGAGTGTAGGGGTGGGCGGGTGCGACGTACAACCAGACAGGATGTTCTCGAAGCAAACGTCGAAGGCAGCGTCTGCGTGGGAGGTAAAGACGACACGCTTCTCGCCGCCTGCAATGTCCTTGGGCTTTCCGTAGTCATTGCCAACAGCATCCTTGATCTAGAGAGTTATGCATCGTCAGCCAAACTGCCATTGCGACCAGTTTCCTCTTTCCCTCAATCCTCTCCCTTGTTGCTGTCCCGCTTCGATCCAAGAAAAGCTTCCATCTCTGCTCAGATCAAGTCCCAATATCGGGGAGGATGGCGTTGGGGGCATAGCAGTTGAGGCCACATACGTGCATGTTGACGGTCATGCCGTCACCCTTTGAACCATCCACAATAGCCGTGACGACGACCAAGGTGTCCCTAGCGACGAAATTGCGAATGCATCGCTCCTTCTTGCCCTCGTGGGTGCTGGTAGCGTGCAGGTCGAACCTGAGCGCCTGGGCGCAGCAGGCGAGTAGCACAAGACCGCACACGTAGCGCAGCAATGATGTCGTCGGCGCCATAGCTAAATTCGCAGATTTCCGTATCAGATTCGAAGACAAGTTGAGAAAGGGTTCGATCGATTCGGGTATCGGGACCGTCGTGGTTGAGGAGGAGAAGGGGTGGGCGGGGAGAACAGCCTGGGCGTGGGTTGTTGGGAATTGCGTCGTAAAGGAGCTCCCTGGGCTAACGAGGACACAACTGCGATAGGAGAGCTATGGGCCTCTAGGAACCACCTTTGGGGATTTTTGGAAATCTGTCGCGTTCGAAAAGGCCTGGACCCACCTTGGGGACCCCTGTCGGACGGGTAGAGGTCGACTGCTCTGGCCAATTGGGCTTGGTGGGCGGGGCAGCCTCGTGTCTTGGCACTCACGTGAGAGCGATAGCCTCGCAGCTTTTTGGGTGTGGCGTTTGGCGCGTCGGACGCTCTTCAATATCGCGATGCGACAAAAGCGGCATTACAGCTTCAGGAACACGATTTTTGCAACTGAGCTGCTGTCCGATCGGAACCTTGCCAACCTGATACAGCTTCTTCTCGTCAAAGAGAGACTACCGCCAAGATGCCCAAGTGTAAGTCCCGACCCTTTTCCAAGTATCTTCGCGAACACCAAGCTAACATGAGATTCCAGTCTTCTGTACGTCTCAATCGAACCCCGACCGACCGCGAAGCTACTCAGCCAAACTGACCTGAACTCCCCGATTCTAGGCGATTACTGCGATGTGTACCTCACGCACGACTCCATGAGCGTGCGCAAGGCGCATAACAGCGGTCGAAACCACCTGCGCAACGTCGTCGACTACTACCAACGTACGGCTCCTCCTCCTCCTCTTCCTCCCATTACCTGCGCATCCACCACGACACATGAAAGCTAACATGGCCCCCCTCTTCTCCAGAAATCGGTCACGAAAAGGCCCAGTCCGTCATCGACTCCATTACCTCATCCTACGCCGCAGAAGGCCAAGCGCACAACAACCCAATGCTGCCACAAAACCAGCCTGGATCGGCCTTCCCTCCGCCGTTCCCCTTCCCAGGAGGTTCGTACTCACCTCCCTCACCCTCTCTCAGCGCCCCTCATTACGGCGACGGGGCAAATTTGCATCAAAGTACTGACCTGAACCCCTCTCCAGGTGTCCCCCCTCCCTTCCCCGGCATGCCCGCCGGCGCACCCCCCTTCCCTCAAGGCATGATCCCACGTAAGTCCAACCACGAACCTCTGTTCGATGCCTTTCCAAACAAAATTAACACCGACAACCTCAACAGCCCCAGGACAAGCAGGCCGCGGAATGCCGCCCATGCCTCCCTTCCCCCCGGGCCCCAACGGCTCACCAATGCCCCCAGGAGGCCTACCGTTCCCCCCGCCCGGCGGTCTCCCAGCCGGCCTCCCCTTCCCGCCCCCGGGCGCGCCGGGCGGTCTGCCCCCCAACTTCCAGTTCCCCGGTATGCCGGGCGGCGGCGCGTTCCCGCCTGGTCCTCCTGGTGCATTCCCGCCCGGTGGTGGACCTCCGGGTCAGGACAGGCGGTAGAATGCTGTGCGGCTGTCTTTGTCCACAGCAAACTGCATTATCTGGGCGCGTGTCTTCTTGGTACAAGTGGGATTGGTGTTTAGGCGTCATATTCAGGGCAAAAGGGTGTATCAAAAAACTTAGGTTTTCATGACATGGGCATGGTATATCACATTCAATCAAACACATGGAAGCAAAAGCTCATCCTGCAAAACCGAGAAATGGGCCAAGCAAGTTTCGTTCCGAAACGCTGAGTTAGATGGTATCTTGACGAGCAATTTTTTTCTATATGATACAATAATAAGACGTCCTTCTTTATCTGTAGCAGGCAACGCGCGCGTTCAATCGTTCATCAAAATCCCGATTCCCCCAGTCCCAAAATCATTGTCATCAATATCGTCGTCAAAGTCTCAAAAAAGTGGGAAAACTTTGCCATCAAACCCTCCGTCATCAGCTCCGAGATCCGCGAAGAAAGCAGTTCTTTGTGTCGTTAACAGGCTTCTGTAGTCGTAAGAATGGAGAAAAAAGGCGTTCGTTCATAGCAGTCGTGATGATCCCATTTCATTTCCTCCAGCACCCTCCTTTTGTGCTTCATACCCAGATATATTACGCGTTGAAAAAAGTGCTCCAGACAGGATCATCATCTGAAGTACTCGAGAAATTTTGTACGTTGCAGTCGCATCAAAAATGTGCGACCCCTAAGTTGTTTTGTTCGTTTGGGGGGCCACGGTACGAGTTCCGTCGAAGGACGTCACCCATGCCGTCTCTTACTTCGCGTGGCCCGCTGATCTTCTGCCTCAACTCCTGGGTTCTCTTCTCTCGCTTACGCTCATTCAGCTGTCGCGGCAGGTTTTGCAACCCTTCCAAAGTGCCCGAAATCGAAAAACGACGTCTTCGTTTCGGGGGCCCGTCTGCGTCGCGATCGTCGTTCTGCCTCGTGGAAGGCCCTGAGGTAGCTGGAGATTGGTCGCGGAGCGAGTCGAGGCTGCCGCGGCGTCTCATCACTCGCAGATTCCCACTGTCTGTCCGGCGGATAGTTCGGCGGTCAGGCTCGTTTTGAGATCCAGAGTAAACGTCATCCTCGCCGCGAGCTGGAAGAATAGCAAACGTCTTCTTCACCCGCTCGCTAATACGTCTTCGCGGGCTTGGCCTATTGTCAATGGGAGGGTATCGATAGACTTGGCTGATGGGCTCATCCTCCATCTCCCTCTCCCACACATCGTCATCCTGATCCGAGTAGGCAGGACGCCAGTGCGGATGCAATCGGTCGTCCTCGGGGGGCGGGGCCATGCATTCCGGGCAAGAGCATGGCTCTTCAACAGCAGAATGGTCGTCACCACGAGCCCCAGAGCTTGATCCTCTTCTCGTCAGAGAAAAGGTTCTGGTAAGGAGCCCAGGTCTGCCACTCTTGGGCGGGTACGTCTCCGAGTTGCGTCGTCGGACCAATGCCCTTTTGATAACAGATCTACTCCGCTGAGGTTGCGCCTCTTCCATCGCCTCGAAATAATTGCCCATGTTGCGTTGCCTCTCATGATTGGGGGTTAATCCCGAAGGTGTCGCGGGGATGAACTGAATCGCAGGAGGATTAATCGGAGGGACTGGTGGAGCCGCGCGAGGATTGCGAAGCGGTGAATCAACGTCGTCCATGGAATGCTGAGGTTGCGAGGGTGTGATTGGGCACTCGCCGTCTGGACCTGTAGTAACAATCGTCGGCCTCTGGAGCGTTTGCGGCAACTCTCTCTCGGTCTGCGAATCCTCAGAGTCCTCCGACGGCTTGTTGGAGTGATTGACGACAAGCACGGATGAGTTTTGATGAGGGTACAAGCTCACAGCCTTGGCCTCAGACACTTCGGGCGCAGTACCGCTTGTTTCCACGGAAGCTGCTGAGAAAGGCGTATTCTGCGTGGATAGTCGTTTACCAAAGAAGGGGTCACCGTGACGGTCCACGTTGAGTTTATGGTCTCGGTGATGGTGGCCGTTATCAGTCTCAGAGGATTTCGCTCTTTGGAGGGTCAAGGCGGGTATCCTCGTTTCATGTCCAGGCTGTTGATTCAACAAAGCGTTCTGAGATTTCAAACTTTCCGCGGTGAGCGAGCCAGCGCGGGAAGTATTACGGCTGGTCGGAGCGGATAAAGAAGAAGAACGCTTCGGAATGATGGGCGGATAATCAATCGTGCGTTGGTCGGATCCATCTGACTCGGACATTGAGCGCAATTTTCGTCCTGGACGTTCGAATACAGGTGTAGGCAAGTCGTGACTTTTCGGACCATTTGTGCGAGTCGCTGAACCGACACTGGTACTTCTTTTGGATCGTCTACTGCTGGTTGATCTGAGAGACGGCTCCCGACTAGATCTGGATGATCGACGATCGGGGACAACAATGACTGGAATGCCACCGCTCTTCCAGACTTCTCTGCGTGCTTTGCTACTTGAAATCGAGTTAAAGGTGGTGTTCGAGGCATAGCTGTCATGACGGCTTTCGCTAGGGCGAGTGAGCGCTCTAGGTCGCCTCGGGCTTCCTTCCAACTGAATAGCCGAGTTTGTGGCAGAGCTGAGGGGAGACAGATCAGAGCCTGAGTCCCTCAGTCCAAATTGCTTCCGGACGTGTCTGAGCGTCTGCCTCCTTTGGGGGATTGAAGGAGCTTCGACTAAGATTGCCTCGACAATAGTGGACGCAACCGACTTGTTTGATTTTGCAGATTTCGCAGACATTCCCGACAGTCTGCGTGAGTCCGCGTCAGCTGCCTTCCCTGGAGTTGAGGTGTTGGGCCAAGCGATCTCGCTAGGTGCATAGAAAGCTGCCCTGTCCCGTTGGGACATCGCGCGCACTGCCTTGGCAGCGTTTGTCGGTGTGACAACACGGTCTTCGATGATTTCGACCCTCCGTCTTCCAGTCCTAGGCGGGGTTTCGGGCTTAGTACGCCTCTTTCTTACCGTGACATTTCTGCCCAGGTTGTCGTCCCACTCTTGTTCAACTTCGTTATTCGAGGCCCATTCTCCGTCAAAGGTACCAAAGTCTGCCTTGGCCTTGGGAGTCGGAAGGTCCTCAGTAGGTGACTCCAGCCCGAGGCCTAAACCAACTGCAGGCGGCGTCCTCACCTGAGGCTCGGAAACGCGACGAACCGTGTTCTGAGATGTTCGTGCTGACAGAATATTTGGCCTCACAGTCGATTGCAAGTCCTCTTCAGAGGAAAAGGGCTCTTCTCTGGCAGTTCGGAAAGACTCAGTTCGCGATTCAACGGTGGTAGCTTTCGATACTGTGCGGTCGATAGGTATCGGTCGAACAACCTTGGGGCGAGTAGCAGGTTGAGGAGGCGTCACATCTGGCGTTGGTGGACTTTTTTGGTTCGGAGGAGTGGCTGGGGCGCGCGCTGGAGTTGTTGGTGTCTGCGATTCCGGCGCATGAGGTTCGGCGGGCGCTGGGCTTGGATGCTGGATGGAGTGAGTGCTCGATGAGGTTCGCGAGTGGGAAGGCGGTGTCGGAGGCAAATCCGGGCCACTGCCTATCCGCTTAGGTTGGTGTCTCAGCGTCTGGGGGCTTTGCTGTTGCGGCCCTCGCATTTGCGATGTTATGGCATCCACATCGAGGTCATATTTCCTAGGCGTCGATCGCACTTCATAGGAATGCGCAGAATCGCTTGCATGTCTCCTAGGGTGTGGCAGTACTTTGTGCTTTTTGAACATTCTTTGCGCCTGCAAGCCGTCTGCAGGCAAGGTCGATACTTGTTTCTTGGATCGAACCGACATGGCGGTGGAGTTGAGGCTCGTAGCAGCAGCCATTTCAGATGGCGGTTGTTGAAATGCGTTCCAAAGGCATGCGACGCGCTTCAAATGCACACACGATGACCCTTCGCAGGTTAGCGAGGATGGGAGAGGGCCAGAGTTCTTTGCATGCTGAGCAGAGTGAGGTTCATGGGCGTGTTTGTGATTGAGATGAGGAAGCAAGTGGTCGACGGTAAGACTTTGGACAATTCGGAGTGCCGAGTGAAGTAAGGTGAAGATTGAAAACCCAGTGGTGGTTGAGACGTCAAGGTCTTAAGGGTAGGCGTGAGACATTGAATCGAAAAGACTTGGTTGGTGAATCGCGTCAGAGTCCAGTGGCGTCTAGTGACCGATGGCAGTCTTGAGAGAGACAACAGAAGCGATGAGACGGAGCACAATCCTCAAATTGGTTCAACCCAGCGATATGAGACGGAATCTCTCTGGTTGAGGTAAAGAGTACGTGGTCGCAGTAGTCACGATGTACGGCCCGTGTTTTGTGCTGTAAAGAGAAACAGAAGGAGGGGGATGAGGCGAGGACGAATACTCGGGCGCGGGATGCGGTCCGATCGGGTGCAAGTCGCACAGACCGACGTAGGGAGAGGAGTAGGGGGCCTAGACTGAGAGAGGACGGGACGATATGTGAGATTGACGCAGCGCTTCAGCCGGGCTTGGTGGAAGCGTGAAAAGGAGGGAAAAGAGGGCGATCCAAGGCTTCCTGCAACCTGCGGACGGACGCTGGCGCTATTTTGGTGCAGGACACGGCTTCAGGAGGTTGAGACGACGGAGACAAGTCGACGGTTGTAAAAAGACAGACGGGAAGGATGATTGGCAGGGCGGGAAAGGGTCTGACGCAAAGGAAGAGAATGCGCCCTTTGGGGTGGGAGAAGAGAGACAAGGGCAGAGCAGAGCAGCGCAGAACAGAGATGGAGCGGCAAGTATCCGGACGTGAGAAGATTGGTGGTGGCCGAGGGTTGCAGAGACGGGCGAGGAGGAAAGCTGGCGATAGGTGCGAGAAAGAGGAATGGCGGGGCGTTGCGCGCCGGTAAATGGATACATGATACTTACATCATTGAGGTGCTAGGAACCCTACCTACCTACCTTACCTTAGGCATGTATTTAGGTACCCAAGGCGAGGTAAGGTAAGGAAGAGAGGTCGAGGTGAAGTGAGGTCAATGTACTGTTTCTACTGCAACTGCTTGCAAAAGTACATCAGGGCCGCATCTCAGTCCAATGATACGTGGGTCCAACCTGTTCGTTTCTTGACGGCTGCGCGCGAAAAAAAGACTGGGCAGCCCCCGTCGCAAACTGTGCGTGTTCCGCGTGGACGGTGGATTCGGGGCCTTTCCAAACCTGCCGAGTCAAGGAGATTCCTAGTAGGTTCCTCCCGTCAGGTAGGAGTCGCACTTCAAGTCTCAAGTCCAAAAGAAGGCAGAGAAAGTTGGCTAGAGAAAATTCGGGTGGCGGGGAAAGGGAACGAACAGCCAGGCAAACTGCCCTACCTCAGCACTTACGTATTCCTGGCTAAACCTAAGGGACCTTGAGTTAAGGCAAAAGAATATCCAGTAAATTGTAAACAGCGTCTTGCACAGAGTTGTTTCACTCCCCAGCCATGGTCCAAGATACTTGCACTTGCAGTTCTCTACCCTCTCCTCCGTACGAGTCCCTAGGTACTCCTGATATCGTCGTCCCCCTCCCCCCTTTTGTCCTCCAGTCGCATCGAGTTCGTCTCGTGATGCGCAATTCTGCCAGGATACCAAGAGGTAAGGCGCGTGTGGCCCAGCAGCAGTAGCTCCGCCAGGGGGGCCGAATGAGGAACCCTTCCACCATCCCAAGTTCCCAGCTGTCGCCGTAGCGCACTACGCGGGCTCAAGTCGGCCGGGAAAAACGGGGCCGGCCCAGTCCGCCCGCCAATAAGTCAACCTGCACCAAGGTCGCAACGGCCGCTCATAGGTTGGAACCTGCTTGAGTGGTTGCATCGTGCTGCACGCGTGGTTTCCTTCTTCTGCAAAGCCATGCCAACTTTTCCTTTCTGGTGTATGTAGGTAAGTGTACTCGCCTGCTTTTCTCCCCTTGCCGTCCTGTTTCTGTCTCTGCCTCCCACGGAACCCCCCTCTAGTCTCCTCAGTAGGTACTCAGTTGTATGTGTGGAAGGTATTCTTGTGCGTGTGCGTCTGTCTTCGCATTGGGTCTCCCCCCTCACCGGCTCCAACATGCCCTAGGTATTCCGACCGATGCGGCCACATGTTCTGCAAGCCACATCGCCCAATAGGGAGTCGCTCGCACTTTCCAACCCATAGGTATGGATTCTGAGAGCTTGTGCGTGTCAAATTTTCGTGATGGGCATCCTTCCTAGCTGGCTGAGAGAAGACCGGCGTGGCATCCCACGTATCTCTTAGGCTGCATATCTTGCTGTAAGCGATTTCCACGCCCGGTTGAACGACGCCGTCTGGTCTCCCGTATGAATCAAAAACAGCGCAGATGCAGCAACAAAGAAGTCGTAACCACTTTTTCCCGTGCTTGCCCCAAACAAATCAGAACTGTGCAACTTGGCGTCCTTCTCTCAGACCTGCATGACCTCCAACAAGCCCCGAGGCGAATCAGCGACCTGCCACGGCTTGCTGCATGAGACAAGGTGCAGATTTGGAAACAGAGCCACTGCAAAGGATGCACAGGGAGTCGGGGACGGCAAATTGACTTGCAAGAAAAAAACACGATAGGCAGCGCTGTCATGATTACAGAGCAGCAGCCATAGTTCAGCTCGCCCCGCTGAGGTGCGAGAAGAAAGAAAGAAAGAAAGACAGAAGAAAATTGCAACCGTGCCGTAGGTACTGCGCATTCATCATCCTTCCTTCGACAAGTGCTGTTCTCCGTGGTTGAAGTTTCCAGGGTCCAGTCGATGTTCTGCTGCAACAGTAAAACATATGACCGTACCACGCATTTTTGTCAGTCGAAAAGGTGCCGGATTCGGCTTGTTTCAGCCGGGGCAAGCTCCACGGGCGCGGGATGGCGCCGGGGCGGAGCATTCCCGGGCTCCGCCGTGAACGCCAGGTCTTGCCAGGCGAGAGTCGGCCCGGTGTGGGTCAATAATCTCACGAAGTTCGATGAGCGGCGATGCCATGACGGATCCGGCACCTCAGCACGTGCGGATGAGCCGGAGCAAGGGACAATCCTCCGTTGGGATTTAAGGCCGGTTGAGCAGGTAAGCTGTTCATCTCAGCTTGGAGAAGAAACCCTCAGGTTTTAAGTACCTTCAGCTGAGATCCTGGGCGGTGGTCGATGCCCATACTTGGAATAACATATCGTCCTTATCGATCCCAAGAAGTCATGACAGGCCGCCGATGAAGCCGACTTCCGGGCAAGTATCGTACCCTGCTTATCAGCTCTCCGGACCCGGCCCTGCAACATGTCGCATATCATCGCCATTGTCGATTTCTCCCCAGGCGAAAGTGTGCATGACGGGTTGCAAGTGCACCGAGGTGGCCGTTACTGCTTGTTTTCCTATTCGGGTAAGCGCCTAGCACAGGTTGCATGTGTTAGCGTGCCGTAGCTTTATCTTATCAGCCCCGCGTGGGAGTTGCTGCTTTGCCCCACGTCATCGACGAGGACTCCCGTCTGGAGGAACCTTCTTCACCAATGCATTTCTGAAGAACCAGGACTCTTTTGGAGATCGGAGAAGTCTTCTTCGCTTCCAACGATTCATGAACTAATGTTGTTCAGGGCCATCCCATTGGCTGAGGTGACTCTGCTCGTTCCAGCTCAACAGGCGCTTCCCCGCGGAACCGGGTTGGTGCTATCGACGCTACAGACTTGTTCTTCAAGACCCGGCCAAAGGCCCTGCAGAAGGTGCATCTGGGGAACCCATTCTGGCTTATCTCGTTCAGAGTTTGCATCATAATACCGACAACACTCCAACTTGACCCCGCCCTACTCACAGCATCCAGACCATCCATCCTTGGACCTAGCATCCTAGGAACGGACACTTGAACCGTTCTCCCCACGGCAATGGCTTCGCCGACGGCGCCTGGTTGCCTGGGTAGTAGGCAGAACCCTGCCACTACATGCAGCACCGCTTGATCTGAGGGTTCTTCGTCTGGAGTGCAGAGGCCGGGTACTCCAAGACTCGGAGCCAATCGCAGCTCGAACCAAGCATCTTCGCTGATCTTGCAAGCATCATGACATTGGAGAAGGGCGGAGGGAGCTTTATCTCTTGCCCCGCACTGCGAGCAACGGTCTGCCGCGGCCCTGGTCTTTACCTAACGCCAACACGTTAATCGTTTTGACCGACATTGCGTCTGATGGTTATCCATTGACCAGTAAGCGTCTCAGGGAGCTCCTGTGGTGTGGCTAATACGTCGACGATAAGCTTGCGAGCCGGTCCTGGGGCCATACCTGATGCCCACCATAAAACATCATGCGTGGAGAAGAGCTGTCGAACTTTGGCCAATCTGCTTCTGACATAGAACGGGACCTTGCAGCTCGTCGAGATCATAAAGTCAAGGCCATTCCCCTTCATGAGCTTTTGAATTTGTCCCGAGCAGTAGCTGCAATTTGAAATCGCCGTACTGTCAACTGTCAGCATCATGGTCTCTCGAAGCTTCCTCGCACTCTGCCTTGCGGCAACTGTGTATGGTCACGGCGACCATGACGACCACCAGAAGTCCATGTCCGGACCTCACCAGTCCCTCTGGTATAATACTATCCCGGGTGACGGCGGTACTCAGGTAATTTTAAAACACCATTGACCTGGGCCTCGAGCGTTGTCTTACACACTATAGGCCGACTCTGTATTCTCGGGCATTTCCACCTTTGGCCGCCTGCCGTACCAGCCATGCCTCGGCGCAAAGAACGTCAAGTATGACATTGCATTCATTGGTGAGTATGGGCGGAGAGCAGTCGACTGTGAATGGCACTGACACCACGCAGGAGCCCCCTTCGACACTGGTACTTCATACCGCCCAGGTGCCCGTTTTGGTCCCTCAGGAATTCGCCAGGGCTCGCGCCGTCTGAACCTCTAGTAAGTCTATGCCCACTCCGGGATGCTGGTCCCGCGCGAAATAGAATACTTACCTCGGACAGCGGAGGTTACAATGTGCCATTGGCCACAAACCCGTTCAGCAGTTGGGCTACTGTCCTGGACTGCGGAGACATTCCCGTCACATCGTGAGAAGCCACCACGTACCTTGCTCATCCGCATGCTAACTCGAGGCAAGGTACGACAATACGTGGGCTCTGCACCAGATCGAAGAGGGACACTTTGAAATCCTCTCGCGCCAGCCTGCCACAGATGCGGCGAAGAAGGGACCTGCGAAGAACGAGCGCACCCTGCCTCGTGTCATCACTCTGGGTGGTGACCACACCATCACCCTACCCCTGCTGCGCTCTATCAACCGTGCCTACGGTCCCGTGTCTGTCATTCACTTTGATAGTCATCTTGATACCTGTAAGTCAACTGATCTACAAAGGCGCAAGTAGGAAGACTTACATCTTGCAGGGCGCCCCAAGGTCTTTGGCGGTTCTCCTTCGGAAGTTGCCAGCATCAACCACGGCACCTACTTCTATCATGCCGCTCAGGAGGGTCTGCTGCGCAACGACTCCAACATCCACGCTGGTATCCGCACGACGCTCAGCGGACCCAGTGACTACGAGAACGATGGATACTGTGGCTTCGAGATTGTGGAGGCTCGCGAGATTGACAAGATTGGCACGGATGGCATCATCAAGAAGATCATTGACCGTGTCGGCACAAAGAACCCCGTCTACCTTTCTCTGGATATCGACACTCTCGACCCTGCTTGTAAGTGATAAAATGCTTGAAACATTTGAATGAATATCTGCTGACCGTGGCGCGAAGTCGCTCCCGCCACCGGTACCCCTGAGACGGGTGGCTGGTCCACTCGCGAGCTTCGCACCATACTTCGTGGATTGGAGGACCTCAATCTGATTGCTGCTGATATCGTGGAGGTTGCTGTAAGTTTTCTTCGTGGATGCTATTGCTACTGGGGGCAATGTGACAGAAGACTAATCGATGTTAAATAGCCTGCTTACGATACGAACGCCGAGCATACTACCATGGCCGCCGCTGATGCGCTCTACGAGATCATGAGTATCATGGTCAAGCGCGGTCCTCTCAGCGCCATGGTTAACCAGACCGAGGTCTACGAGGAGCTTTGAGGGAGAACCATTGCAGCATGATGGCGAGGAAGAAACAAGACAGCTCCCTCCCAACGGAAAGGTGTAGAATAACCATGGTGGGATGTGGTCCCCTCGAAGGTGCAGGCGTTGTCGGAGGTCGGAGTTGTGATTGCAAAAGTTGGTGGATGTTGTGGTTCAAAGGTGTGCGTTGGATGTAGTCAATGAATGAATGATTTCTCAACCTGAAGAGTATCTGAACCCATCTGCATGGCTCCAGACCACCCTAATAGACAGCCAACTCCACATCGAAGGTATAGGTAGTAAATTGCAGCAATACGTACTCAAAAAAGAGTCACGAGCATCCAACTGAACTTGGCCTACCTAACTCTCAACGGCAGAAACGGCACTTGCTTTCCATCGATCGACACAGCTTTGCCGCATCAGCTGAACGAAACCCACCGCTTCCACGGTCCTTGCTTTACCCCTCGCCTCGATTGCAAGCCCGTAGCTGGAATGTCCGGCCACCGCGTTCCGAACGCGACGCGTAGTTGCACGAAGTACTGGAATGTTCGCAGTCTGCCTTGTCCAGAGCTTCTAGGAACACAAGTTTACTACGTACAGACTTGGGAGAAGAAGCACAGACCCGCACCTGTCGGGAGCGGCGGGGCGGCCTCCATCGTCGCGACAGGGACTTTAAGTGTTTCTATTTTCGTCGTAGGGCTAACCTGGGCTGTACGGATAGTGCGTAGGGCGGCACGCGCGAGCTGCTAGCGATGAAGATGGCCGGGGGCGCATTCCAGTGGGCTGGTACGCCAACTGCTGCTAGGCCGTTGCGCAACCAATACTTTCAGCTAGAGGATGCCTTTTCTAATGGGCACGTTATTACTTAGGTTTCCGTCCTTGCGAAACGAGTTTAGAAAGAATCGATGATGGTCTCGTCATGAACGAGCGCTGGCTATTCTCGATATTCGGGGCGCGTATAAGCCAATCCCGCCCGTCAGCTCTTCTGAATACGGCCGCCACGGAGTCGGATTCGGTTGAGCTGAAGCCACGAGGCGGTGTATTCTTCTTCTCTTTCTTGCTGGATTGGGTCTTGGTTGGATTGTCGTACGAAGAAGCTCTCAGCTTTACCGAATAAGGTTGCTCGGGTGGTTTAGATCGGAAATGTATTTCGGAGCGCTGTGCAAGTATAGGCAACCGGCCGTTCGCCCGCAAAAGATTCAAACTGAAAGACAAGCGAGAATCGCTCATGCACACAGTCCCCTGTCTTTTTTTTTCTTTCCGCGCGATCAGAGTACATAGACGAGCTGGCGACGATAATGGCGTGGCTTGACGGTTGCACGTGTATGTCTCTCGATCCACCAACACGCACCCCCCTTTCGCAACCGTTCTCGGGTGTTGGAATGTGCGCGAGCGGCACCCCCTCCCTCCCCGGCCACTTTCGAGTTTGCATTCGTGTCGGTTGTCTCAGTCTTCGTTAAAGAAGTGGTCATACCTTGGAAGAATCTCGTGTCAAGCTTGCACCTCTGCACGCGATTGCCGGTGGCTTGATATGCGCTGCGTCCATATGGTCAGCTTCTTGAGAAGAAAATACGGTAATTGTTTGACGTTCAAATTTCACTTTGAGGCAAAACAAAATCCCAGGCCTTGTTATTCTAAATTTTGTTAAATCTGTATCATATCCAAGACGGGAAGTATGGTGAGCAAGATGCAGATCGCAGGTTCATCCCATAGAGGAATATGCTGCAGGGAGGGGTTGGAAGCTTCGCTCGTGATGTCAGTGATGCAACTCTGCTCTATCGAAAATGCCTCTGCTTCCTTCAACAAGCAACAGACGGCCGACAACAGGGACTCCAGGGAGCTGGCATGAGGGGGTGTTGTTCCCTTTGGCCTGCCATCCCATACCTATCCCATTCCTCTCCATTTGCTCCCTCTCTGCATGCTAGGACAAACTTACTCACCCCGGTCGTTCCGGGATTCTGGTTGCAGAGGTAGACGCAGTATCGAGGAAACCCGCCCAGACTGCGTGGGCAGATTCAGATTCAGATTCAGAGGCAACCAAGTCTCATTGCCTTTTGGAGACGAACTAGCAAGAACTTAACCTTCCAAGAAAAGACGCCGACGGCAACCCGATTCGCCAATCGGCAGACCCGCCAGAAACACACCACCAACGCGCCGCTATCAGTCAGTCAGTCAGCCAGCCAGCCCCCCAGCCCAGCTTCGCCATCACACACACCTCAGTTGACGTTTGTCTCAGCGCCGCCGCCGGCTTTTCTCTCGTCTTCGCTTTTCTCTTTCGAACCCAGCGGATCCGCCGCCGTCGTCTTCTACAACGGAGAGATAGCCTGACGTTACTTGGCTTTTCGCATGCGCTAACTTTTTAGGCTCCGGAAGCCGATCCCAGCCATCTTGACTCTCTTCCATTTCCGTGCCTGAAGATGGCTTCTTGCATATGCTTCCCCCCCTTCACTTAGTAGCGTTGCTTCCACGTAGCCCATCTATATATGGATCGCGGATAATTCCACCTCTCATCCCTTCCGTTTCTCTCATTATCAGCATCTCATATCTCACACACCTCAGCATAAAGAAATCACATCCCCTCGTTTTGTGTGAGCTCCAAAAAACCTGCACTTACACAAAGGCTTCGTCTATCCTCCGTCGCCTCCATCCTTTACACCTCGGCCATCTTCACGTCTATGATAGAACTTAGCTGGAAGCGCATCAACATGAAGACGTCAGCTACCCTCATCCTCGCCGCTTCGGCGCTGGCCTCAGCCCAAGTCACATAGTAAGCCAAACCTTTTCCCTCTCCCTTGCCCTAGTCCTCACTAACACCACCACCACAGCAACGCAACAACAGGCCAATACATCTGCTCCCGCCCAAACTCCGCCTTCTGCGCAGGCGACTCCTTCGGCACAGACATCATCATCCGCTGCGACGCAAACGGCCGCGGCCAACCGGGCCGCTGCACGAACAACCTCGCCGGCCAGTTCCCCTTGGGCGTCAACCCTTCCCTCTGCTGGATGTCCCAGCCCTACTCGGGCGACGCCGCCTGCGAGAAGAACTGCGTCGTCTACGCATCTCCCAGCCCCTTTCAGCTCCCGCCCAGCGTCTGCACCCCGTACGCCTCCGGGACGGGGACCGGCACGGGGTATGTCCCGAGACCTACGTACCCGATCGGCCCGCCGCCGCGGTCCTCTGGTAACGGTACGATGACGAGTACTGCCGGCCCGTCTAGACCTACTGGGACCGGAGGCGGCGGCGGTACTGGCGGTGGGCCTGCTCCTTCTGGCAACGGTACTACCTCGACGAGCCGCGGTGGTGGTGGTGGTGGTGGCGGTGGTGGCGGTGGTAGCTCCGGTCGTCCTACTACCGCCACGTCCGGCAGCAGCCCGTCAGGCACGCGGACCCCGATCCCGCCATCGGGTACAATCACCAACCCGACCTCCGTGCCCACCGCCGCGGCAGTCCATAACTCTGTCGGCTCTCTCGTCGTTGCTGGCATTGTCGCTGCCTACTTCATCTAGACAATGTTTTTGTTTATTTCCTTTACTCGACATGGTTTACCTACACCCATCCCCCTCTCCAGGCGAGAGGTACCAAAGGCATCCAACAATACGATCATTCCTTAGCAAATTCACACATACCCCCACACGTCACTAGGCCCGTGAAAGAAGAGTAGGCCCGAATCTTTGCATCATACATTTTACTTTTAATACCAAGTCGGTCACCAATCGCATCATCGTGGGCGGGGAACAGTCTTCATAGAGCCTCGCCTTGAGGCGGAATAACACTTTTACACGGCGCAAAGGAGTTTTTGTTCGAGTCCTCCGTCACTCTTATGAGTACCGCATGGGGACATCATTTAGATTTGAATCTGTGTTTGATTTTTCTGAGAAGAAAAGCGAGTACCATTAAGTAGCTAGTCTGGAGGCCCTGGAGGTACAGATAGATCCAATCATTGACATCCCATTTTCATGTATTCTCTTGTCACTCACTGCGTGTCGTCTGAGACGGCGCGGAAAGTCCTTTTTGCCCTTTCAACCAAGGTTCCATGTCATCCATATCTTTCATCTTGAACCTTGAGAGTGATGTTCTAACGGGAGTAGCTGATCCGCAATATCACTCGTTGATTTGTGCAAACATGGAGATCCCACGCCAAGGTCAAGATTGTGTTGCAAATTCAAGAGTCTGTCGATCAAGCTACAACGGGATCACGTTCTTCACCACGTGCTTTCTTGAGTTTGTGTGCTGGAATATGTTCCCAGGCTCAAGCCTCGGGGAATCCTGTCTTATTCATTGTGACCAGTGCCATTGGACGTCCCTCGTATACGTTCCCCTGACCGTCCTATTCTCATTTCCTCGTTTCTTCCGAATTTTGAATGAACTCCATCTTCAGTGCCTTTGAAACTCCAGTCTATAAACGCCACCCAATGCAATGATGCTGTGAATCAAAATAACGCAACCATAAGGGAGATGGCCATGGCAGCCAACGACACCCCACCTCTTGCACCCCCCGAGTTGGGGAAATGCTTCTGGATCTCGCCAGTGCGTGTCGGTGAGATACTCGAGCAGCTCGCGGTGCCACACTCATACCCGCTCGGGCAGCAGCCAGGAACAGGACCGCCCTCGGAGCCGCACAAGAACCAGCCGCTCGCGCAGGTCTCGGTCGCCTGGGGCTCCGGCACCTCGGTGAGGGGAACGACGACGGTGACGCCGTTGCTAACGATGGTGGTCGATTCTGTGGGCGGGCACGAAGTCGTGGCGCAGTCGCGGCCAGTCTGGCAGCAGCCTCCCCCGGCGCGGGCGAGACAGGCGTAGAATCCAGTCGGGCAGTACGCGGATGTGACTGGCGGCTCGTCTGAGTCGGTGGATGTCGGTCGGAAAGGAGGCACTGCGGTACCTGTTGTCGTCGTCGTAGGCTCCGGAGCCGTGGTCGAGGGCTCGTCAGAGGTTGTGCTCGTCGTAGTTCTCCTCGTAGTCGCGCCGCCCACTGTCACGATGACCGTCACATGTACGGTCGTGGTTCTCCCGTCAACGAGCGTCGTTGTCGAGACGGACGTCGTGGTGATGGTCTGTACGACTGTCGTGCCTGCTCCTCCTCCGCCTCCTCCTCCTCCTCCTCCTCCGCCAGTGCCTGTGGCCGTCTGAGTTGGTGAGGCACTCGTCGCCGGGGGAGGACTTGGTACACCTTGGTCCTGTCAGCGTATACCAAGCGTAAAGGAGCGGATGAATACTTACAGCCAACGCCTTGACAGACATATCCCGGGATGCAACATCCACCACTCAGCTCCGCATCACAGCTGGTGGTACCGCTGGGGCATGCCGCAACGGCTCCACTGCAAGCAGCGCCCTTGGGGCAACAGGCGACGTTCCCAACGTGCTCATCGACTACCTTGACACACACTTCGTTGCTCAGGCAGCACTTGTTCGCCGCTCCGATGTAATCGCAGCTGTTCATAGTTGTCGGGCAAGATTGCCTCTTCTCGAGGATGTGAAGCGCCTCAACGGCGCGCCTAAGGCTCTCCCAGCCCGTGCTAGTAATGCTGTCATGATGTTCCGCAAAAGGTGGTCGGTATGAAAACGAGGAGTTGGACAGAAAGTTGTCGTCGGCCATGCGAGCGGCAAGAAGCTCTTCGCGGGGCGAGAGCGGAGTTGTGTTTATTGTCCCAAAGACGTCGTTCTCGGTGAAGGCGAGGTCATTGGGCAGGAGCTTCTCCCCGGCGTTTGGTGACATTTTGCGGATGACCGCAGGGTGCTCTGCGTTGATGCATGCTGCGGTGAGCAGCAAGAGCGAGGAAGGCAGACCCAGAAATGAAGTAGAACGCATTGTGCCGAGTTCGAGGCAATGGCTTTGGTATCGATCGTAATGTGTTCTGCAGCTGACGATGATGGTGTTGAGGTTGGGTTAGAGTCGTCGACCGGGCCCCAGGCTCTGTGTGTAAGTGGCGCTGGGTCGCGCCTGTCAGTTTAAAGTAGTTCACTGACGCCGACGATCTTTTGACAACGACGATCAAAGATTTGCTGTGGAATGTCAATCTGCACAGGTTCGCTCGGATTGATGTAGAAGATTGAAAAGGGTAAAGAGGGAAAATGAGAAGAGGTCTGGTCGGGCATTTAGTGAGGCGTGGATGGCGCCGCGGAAATCGGTGGCTGGGCAAAGATGCACAATTCACCTTGGGCTAGCAGTCAGTCTCACGCTCCACGCCGGGAGTCCAGATCCCAGCTGCAAGACGATGGAGCTTGCTCGGGCTTCGACACAGGCTGCGACACCTCACCGCCCTCGTATCTGACCGCTGTCAACTTTTTGTCTGTGGCCCGCAGCAAGTACACGTCAAACTCGAGATCTGATCACCCAGCAAAGTTGTGTTTTCTAGTATTGTGTCCCCCTTTCTTTGCTGTCTTGTTATCGGTTTGTTTATCAGTGCTTATTTTCCCAGTCTCCAACGACTGCGGGCTGGCTACCTAGGTACCTATAGCTCTGTGTACGTACCTTACCTGAGCTAGGGATTCTTTAGGGGGCTGGGCCTAGCTGACAGATGCCAAAAAGACGTCATTCAAGGCCGTTTTACCGACAAGCTTTGGTGGCAGGGGCGGGAGAGACACGGACCTGGACGTTGTCAGGGGTTTGGCTGCTAAGGTTTGCAGGGGTCCGCGGGACGGGAAGTCTGGGGCCACCAGGACACCCCAATACCTGGATGTGCTTGCGATCGTGAAGACAGCACGACATAAGGTATGCAAGTTCGCATCAAGGTCTCTTTCTACTCTCTTTCTTCGCAATGAATGTCTATTATGCAGAGAAGTGAAGGCTTGGTTTTGGTTCATCAAGATCGCCGGTCCCTGTCTTGTCAGGTATTCTAAATGTACTTTAACAGATATTTGTACAATATGTTACATGATCATATATAGTATTACATCTTCCCACAAGAGAGGCTAAAACATGCTTTCGCCTGCATCTGCCTTGTGAGATTCCTTCTGCAGCCTCTCTGTGAGACTGCTAGGCTCTGCAGTGCCTCTCAGGAATGAGTTGCAGAGCAAGGCCGTGGCTACGCTGACGTTCAAGCTGTCTACCGAGCTTGACATCGCCACTCGCGGGATCGTGATCTCGTGGGTGGCCTTCTTCCTGATATCGTAAGGGAGGCCTGTGCCTTCGTTGCCAAGAACGAGGATGGATGGCTGCGTTAGAAGAGGCTTCTTCTCTTCGATGCTTTCCGGTGTCCACTGGCGGTTGTCTCTACGCAAGCCAGCTGTCGGTGCGACTGCGGCATACGAGGTCCATCCTGCGGCTGCGCTCGCGTGAAGAAAAGCTCCCGGATCCTCCACGGAGAACAACTGCAGCTCCTCAGAAGCACCTGCCGAGGCCTTCAGTACAGTAGACGTGATCGACGACGACGTTCTCTTCGTAATAGCAACCGCGGAAACACCGAGGAATCGGGCTGTCCGGAGAATGGCACCGAGGTTGCCGGGGTCCAGAATCTCGGTCAGAAGGAGCACAAGCGGCCGAGCCGTACCGGGCCTGGAAGGAATGAAACCCTCGGTTCCGTTGATCGCGACGTCTTCCTTAGACTGACGTCCTACGAAGACGGGGTAGCCCTGGGGCTCGCTATGTTCTCCGCCCAGACCTGTGATCGGCAACTGAGGCAGTGGTGATGTCTCCATCACGATGCCGTTGTGTGGTCGACCCTTGCTCATTTTATCGAGCAGTTGTTGGTCATTCTCGTAAAGCTTGGTGATTTTGACCTTCTTCTTTTCCGCCATGGACAAGATCCATCTATCGTCCATGCTTTCCTTCTTGTTGCTTCCTTGGTAAAGGTAGAGATGATAGAGCTTGCGTTGCGAATTCTTCAGTGCTGCCTTGACGACCGAGCGACCGAAGAGGAACTGCGATGCAGCTGTTGTGTACTGTACCAAGCCACGGAATTCTGTAGGTTCAGAAGATACTTCATGGTCCGGCTGTCTTGATCCAAACCGTCGAGGAGGGGCGGCCTCGAGTTCTCTGCGGGCACCCTCCCGCATGGAGTCCATACGCTCTCGCGCAAAACTTGGTCTCGCTCCTGATTGATTGTCACGGCGGTCCGGACGGCGGTCTGAGAACTGGTCGCGCTGGCGATCGGGGCGGCGATCCTGGAAACGTTCGCGTTGACGATCTGAACGGCGATCCTGGTATTGGTCGCGCTGGCGGCCATCTTGACGATCCTGTCGACCAACTTGGAACCAGTCGTTTCCACTCTCACGCTGTGCAGTTGGCTTCGAGGACTCCTCCTCTTTTGCGCCATTCTTCTCCAGCAGCTTGCCAACATTGTCCTTCAACTCACCACGGTTGAGTTGGTAGACCAAGCTCTTCTTGCCGAAGGAGAACTCGGGGTTGTTGAATCGCTTGCTTCGGGATTTTCTTCCTCCTTCTTCTTCCTGCTCTTTCATCCTCTCTTGCATCTTCTGGAAGGCCTTCTTGGGCTTGAAATGGCGCTGCTCGCGGTCTCGCGGGCCATCGCGACGGCCACCGATGGCGCTGGAGAATCGTTCGCTGAAAGCATCGGGCTTGGATTTGGCAGCATCTCTTGATCTGCCGCGGCCTTTAGACTCCGTCAATCGCGGCCTGGATGCAGGCCTGGAGTTGCGGTCGGTGCGATCGTTGCGTGGCTTGTCGGAACGCCAAATGCCACGATGTATCGCAGAGAGCGATCCATTGCGCGCTTGGCCGTAGAGAAATGGGTTACCGGAAAGTTGCACGGCTCTTTGGGTTGCTGTGAATGGGCGTGAAGCGCTCCATCTTGTAAGGAGACTCATTGCATTGTGTACAAGGGATGGGCCCGGATGATGATGATGATGTCGATGTTGTTGTAGTTCAGCTGCACCTTGTCGAGCAATGTGCAGGTGGGTTTGCGCTTCACTGGGACTCGACTCGAGGAACTTTTTTTCTGCCATTCTAGAGCTGTGCAGGGTCCGGGCGGTGAGAATCACTCAAAGAACAGACCGGGGCTTCCATTGGCCACAGAGGGCGATCTGGTGGGCTTATTCCCGGAATCTCCACACCGAGAACAGGTACGTATCTCCTATCAGCACGCCAATTCCCACTTAGGAACTAAGTTTAATGGGTGCAGCAGTAGCAACGCGGTTTTGAGGTTCGTCGCGTCAACCGTCGAATAATCCCACCTTCACGCCTTGACAAGCAGCTTCCACAACTTGCGCCACTCCCACCCCTGGCTGTCTACTTTGAGCAGCAAAAGATGGAAATCGATTGAACTGGCAGCATTTTTTTTTCTTTTTCTTGGTGTTTCCTCTTGTCTTCAGATTGATCAACGCTTCAGAACCAACCCTCCCCCACCCACCAAATCCCGACACACCCTCATAAATGCGATCAAGTCGTAACTTGTCGCATCATGGACGACCTTCCAGCCGGTGCTGACGACAATGCTACAATGTCACTGGCGGGATCTCCGAGCGATGCCCTATTTGGACTGGACACTGCCGACTTTGATCCCTCCCACGAGACCGATCTTCGTGTCGATGAGAACGAGGCGGAGGAGAAGGTTGCGGACGAGGACGAGGTTATGCTTGACGACAGCATGGCAGACGAAGATACGGAATCTGTGCCGGTAGACGGCGTCTCGATTCAACCAGAGAGTTACAACGCCGCTGCCGAGCCCGCAACTGAGGAGATCGCAAGAACACCGCCCAGAACCGACTTCGGCGTCGATGAACACATTCCGTCCATTGAGGCTGATGATACACACGAAGACGAGACAGCAATCACGAGCGAACGAGTCGATGGCTTTGCAAGTATCAAGCCAGAAGATGAAATAGAGAAGGCGGTAGCGAGATTGCGCCCGTGGAACTTCGAGATCATCCTACCGCGCATATCACCGGAGGAACGCGCCCGGTACCTCTCAGTAAAGAGCGACGTCGTGGATGAAGTTATTGAAGAGGTACCTGGTGTCGAAGGCGAACTGTGGTACAGAGTGGAGTTCACAGATGGACAGCAAGATACCGTGAGTTATTCCTCTAAATACCTTATTCGTAAATATATTTGCAAATATCGCAGCGCTTTCTCTCCTCACGTCTTTGACTCCTCCTTCCCCTTGCGCCCTTCTCTCCTTGTTGCCTCTCCTTCCTACACCGGCTCATTTGAGGTTGCTCTTGCCTGCGAAGCAATTGTCAAATCTTCATACCTACCTTATAAATACCTCAACCCCTACCCAAGTCTTCTTGTCAAACCTCCTACATCCTCACTCTTCACATACAACAGCTCTCGCCCCGAGAGTCTCGTATTGCGGTCGATATTAGCAATCGAGTAGCCCCTTCCCGCCTCACAACCCCCATCAGGTTCATATTGCTCTTTCCAATCTTCTCAAAAATAGTACCTTCTCAACCGCCACTTATCCTCGAAGAGACAATCTACAGCTTAACACAGCCTCTGCTTGTGCATTTCTGAGAACCTAGCTGACTCGCTGAAGATACCTTTCGACGAATTGCTCGCGTATGAAAGAGGCCAATTAGCTCTTAAAACATATCAGGGCATCATGGCTCCAGACACCAGCCACTGGCAAGACGAGTGGGAGGAGTCGATTGCAGAATCTGATGCCAATCTCGATACTGTTGAGCTTGACGAAGACGAAGTTCCCCGTCAATCTAAACGTCTACGAAGCTCGACACATCGCCGCACGCGCGAAGACTCCGATTCCGACGAGGACCTTCGTTCCCACCGTTCCAAACGCCAGCGTACGTCTACAAGACCGAGCACGAGACACAACTCGAAAGTGATCTCAGACGATGGGGGCCCGGACGAGGTTCCCGCGCGCGGCCGACAACTTAGAGAGCGGACTCAGAAACAGCTCAAATTGACAAGCATGGCCTTTGCCAGCATGCCCTTGAGTCGGGACAACGATTTGGACGAGTTGTCTCAGGACCACCCTCGCCAACAATCCGACGACGACGATGACTTTCAGATCATCACATCCGACCTCTTGCCAAAGTCCTCGTCGGCTAGGCGCAAGAAGTCACGCCGCCTTAGGGTTAAGGCCAAAACCATCGAGCAACCCAGATCTCGTGGCTCCTCAATTGAGTTTGAGGATCGTCGCCGGTCTGGCAGATCCACAAGGAACAAGGGCAGCATGCTTGATCTTGCATTGATGGATGAGGAATCATTCTACGTTGAAGATACAGCACCCGTCGGCGTTCCCAAGGTCATGAACATCAAGGAAGTCTTCAAGCCAATTGACCATGACGCACCCTTCAATCAATATCACTCCGATATCTGCGCCACGTGCAATACTGGTCCTGCCGCCAACAAAGGTCCCCTGATTGGCTGTCAAGGCTGCTCCTTATCTTTCCACAAAAGTTGTATCGGCTACAGATCTGCCAGAGAACACATTGTCACCAAGGTCGGCGTGGACGATTTTGT